TCAGATCCTTGAAAAATATTCTTTAAAATATTCTTTAAAAAATCTGCGCTCTTCAGATCCTTGAAAAATATTCTTTAAAATATTCTTTAAAAAATCTACGCTCTTCGGATCCTTGAAAAATATTCTTTAAAAAATCTACGCTCTTCGGATCTTTGAAAAAATATTCTTTAAAAATCTACGCTCATCAGATCCTTGAAAAAATATTCTTTAAAACATCTACGCTCTTCAGATACTTGAAAAAAATATTCTTTAAAAAATCTACGCTCCTCAAATTATATTCTTTTACAAAAATCTACACTCAAGTGGTCCCAAAAAGTTTCTTTTTTCTCGTTGTCAAAAAATTGTTTGATTTAATTCGAATCTACTCTAATTCTAGAATGTCCCTAAAAAATTGCAAGTAAAAATCTCAAGAACTCTTGAAGATATAACCGATTTATTGCGTCAGCATCAAGTGACGGTAGGAGTGATTCTCAAACTTTAAACGCGAATGGCGGGCACGATAACTCAGAAACTAATAACCCAATCGGTTCCAAATTTTGACACGTTCCTCTGGGAGTGTTAACTCTCGTATGAACTAGGATAAAGCCAAGTTTGTGGTAAAAAAAAATTTCCCAAAAAATTTTTCAAAGTTCCGCCATTTTGTTAATTGTTGTGCGATGTCAATATTCCTAGTTCATACGAGAGCCAGACATTTACTTTTTCTAACACCGTTGGAATTTTCGGATTCCGATGTTCCAGTGAGGAGTTATCATGCCCGCCATCAAAAATAAGGACTTTTCTTTGATCACAAAAAAACAACAAAAATGTTTGTAAATTATTTTTCTTCCTTTTTAAATCTTCAAATATATTCTGGTAATCATTTACCAGCCCATTTAAAATCTTAAAAATAAAAAATCGAGAATGGAGGGGTTCCCTTAAATCTTAGTTCTTCAGATCCTTAACAAATATTCTTTAAAAAAAAACAAGCGCGACAGGTCCTTAAAAAATGATCTCAACAAAATCGACCGTTATCAGATTCTTAAAAAATATTTTTTTAATCTACGTTCTTAAAATAAATAAAAAATTACAAATTTTCTACAATTCCATAGTACTGGCTGACTTATAACTTCTATTAAACCATTAAAGCGGGTAACTTTCATAAAACTTCGATCCATTAGGATATGAACAACAACAAATTCCAAACTCCAGCAACAACAACAACATTGTTTATTAAACTATAAAATATTTGCTTGAACTTTGGCCAGTAATGGTGACCAAGACCAAGACTACATACCTATTTTTCTCTATACAACAACAAAAATCGAACAACCAACAACAACAAAACTTAGTTAATAAACAGTTTTACAACTCGTTAACATCAATTATGAAATATAAAGAAGTCATTATTTCCATTTTTTTTTCAAAACAGTTCTAAAAGGTTTACTACTTTGTCTGCTATAGAAAAGAGCTGCTTAATGGTTTAGTCAGGAAATCATTCAAGCATGACATTTTTTCTCGTCCAGCATCGTCATCCCCAGTGACCGGCCATTAGGAAGTTTCATGGGGATTTGAAACTTCAAATATATGTATATACGTACAATTAAGGATAATACGCAAACACACACATATGTTTGTAGACTAAATCTACTACATGTAAATCACATGAATTAATAACAACTAAATATGTTGCCTACTTTTTGGCTTTGTCAACAGCAATAATATACTATAATATACTTTTAGGCTAATGACTATCATCCCGATGATGATTTCAATTGCGAAAATTCTCATTCAATATTTACAAAAGAATACACATTTCAATAACGACATAGACAGAGAGAGTTCTATGGAACTCTGGGAATAATGACAAAATCTTCTTCTATGGAAATTTTTGTAAATGTCAGACTTTTGGCTGCTAATGGTGTTTACCTGTGCATACGCATGTGTATATATGTGTTTGTGTATATATTTATTCATTTGCATATATTTCCTCTTAATCGTATGACAATAATCGCCTTATCAGTTTCTGTTAAATATATATATGTATGTGTGTATGTGTACGTGTGTTTAGTATTCTATATAATTAAGAGCACTTAATGGAGATTTATACCCTAAAAGGCACACAAGTCAAAATGTTGTTTAGATTGAATTTTGCTTAAGGGGAAAATTGCAACTACACACACAAACACATTTGATTTGAACTCAGATTATGTTTTCTATAAATGAAATATTTTTTTTATGGTAAAAAAAAGGTAAAAAGTAAAGAATATTTTTGTAAGAACTGTACAAGCGTCATTTTTGAAAGAGAGATTTCTAGGAGAGTATATATATATGGGCTGACCACATGATACCCTACACAACTTCCACGAAAATCTAATTTCATGTGGTCCTATATTCTGAGATTGGAAAATAATCACCGTGGTTTGTGATGATCGATTTGTGGCCTATAGATCGACTCAAAAAAAAACACAAAAAATTAAGTTTTCGGTCCACTTCATCCCAATATTATTATCTGACTATTGTCGAAAATTATAGGCGTTGTCTTGACCATACATGGATTCTCTTGCAAGTTTCAAAGCGATCAGCGCTATATTTTCAACCTCCAGGGTTACTAAATAATATCTGAATACGTAAGCACCTGTAAATATTTGAGTGTAACTCCCACTCCCCGAGTACATAAGACAATATAATTGGTATCAATACAAAGGTCAACCACTCCTCTTGGATATACTATCAACTTCTCGGCTCTATGTCCTTCAGGAGTAAATATGTAGTTGGTCCATTTCATCCTAATATTATTATCTGAACATCACCGTTGTCCTTGACCATAACTGAAACCTCACGAAACATTTCAAAGCGATCAGTGCTATATTTCCGCCCTCCAGTATGGTAATAATATCTGACTACGTAAGCACCTGCAAATATTTAAGTGTAACTCCCACATCCGAGTACATACGACAATATAATTTAATTGGTATCAATTTAAAGGCGAACCACTTCTCTTGGTTATACTATCAACTTCTCGGATCTGTGTTCTTCTGGGGTAATGATATACGCTATAGAATACAAATTTTGTAATTTTTCACACAAAAGTCAGGGTCCATTTGACCCGCTAAATATTGACCGATCATTACCCCAAAAAGGCGGTCTTATTCTTTGGCCTGGTCCCCTTCTCTATACGCGATGTTTGGACCATAATTGCGGCCTTTGGAGCGACCAGAAAAACCGACAAAAATTAAGTAGTTAATCTATTTCATCCCCTAAATACTAACCGATCATTACCCAAAACCATAGGTGTCTTCATTGGGCCGAACTCATTCTACATGCAAGATTTCGTGAAGATTAGTACATAACAGTGACCTGTGTCGATAGTATTCAGATATTATTTAATAGACCAGAACCACACTAGAGGGCGAAATATATCGCTGATCGCTTTGACATGTTCCATGAGATTCCAGATATGGCCAAGGACAACGCCTATAATTTTCGGCGATGATCAGATAATTTTGGGATGATTTTTTGTGTTTTTTTGAGTCGATCTATAGGCCACAATTGAAAGCCACATCCCACGTTGAAGGGAATATAGACAATTAATTAGAAGGGCTGTACTGAATATTGGTAATATTCGGAAAATATGTCAGTGCTGTTGACCTCTAATCGGGCAAGAGGGTGCAACTATCACGAAATATTACCCAGGCTCGGAATAAAAATTCGTAAAAAAATATAGTTCTGTGGTAGTTGTGTAGGGTATAGTATGGTCAGCCCCGTCCGACTATACGTAATTATAGTTAAAAAAAATCCTCCATTTATAACTTAAAAAATCCACATTAAAAATCCACATCGGCCGGGCCGAACTTTGGATACCCTCCACCATAGATATACTGACAGGTACTAGAAATGAAAATATAGGGAACATACCAAAATGTGGATCTATACCGACATTTCTATAAAGGATAATTATACACTATGGCTATAATGGATAATTAGACACTGTGGCTAATCGAAATATTGGTTCTAGACCCCATGTTTTTTTGGACCAAATCCGTTTCAAAAAAAATTTAAATTTCATCAAAACTTTGTCCATCTTATTATTTCTTGCAATTCCTTCAGAAGATAGCGTGATTACAACAGACGGACGGACATGGCTAGATCGCCTTAGAATTTTACCCTGATCAAGAATTAATATACTTTATAGGGTCGGAAATGAATATTTCGATGATTTACAAACGGAATGACAAAATTAATATACCCTCCATACTATGGTGGAGGGTATAAAAATCTCCAAAATATAACTAAGGAATACTTATCTAAAAAAGGCCTCTTCAAAAGTCTTCTTTTTTGTTGAATTTTAATTTTTATAAATATTTGTTTAGAGCATGACTATGTTTTATGAACTTGATTTATATTTATACATACAGTCAAACATGGCTACAACGACCAACATTTTTTTTAATTTTATTATATCAAAAAAGTATATCATTAATAATACACATTTCTCTTTTATTGCCTTGGTGTGGTTCGTTCTAACCTTGTTTGTTCGTCTATTGCTGTAATTTATGACTATGTAATTTATTTATATGCGTATTCGTATTTGTATATATATCTATATATATATATATGTGTGTGTACATTTAAATTTTTAGCTTTGTTTTGATATTATTATTAGCTAGAATGTGGATTTTATATTCTTTTGTTTTATTTTATATTTTAGTCTTTTGTTTTCTTTTTCAATTTTATTATTTATTTTATTTTTTTATTATTTGTTCTCCATAATCATCCACCCCCCGCTCTCCACCCACCCGCATTTCCTTTGCCATACTAATTGTTCTCAGTTCTTGTATAATAATTACTGACTCAATAGTAGCCATTTATATTCAATATGAAATTATACATTTTTTTCCATTTAAAAATAAAACAATAATATTAAATATTTTTTTCTATTCTCTCTTCTTTGTTTTGGTTTTTTTGTGTGCTTGCTCTCGATATTGTCATTGTCGACACGTATTCTTCTACGGCAACAACAGCTGGTGGCATTAATACTCAAGGAGGCACCAACATCCACGATTTGGATACGAACAGCATCAACAGTCTGCAACCGGAGACTAAAGTAATTGAACAGACAACCGGCAACGAGGTTCTAATCATGAATGCCAACGATGACGATAGAACGGCGAGTTTCTTCGCCCAACCGGGAATTTTGGCGGGTGAGTAGGAAAGAAAAAAACCAAAAACAAAATATTATGAGGTGCTTATTTGGTAACCTTATGAATCACAGAACAAAAAATCGATTAAAACCTAATAATGAAATCTTAACAACATACGAAATTCGATCAAATCACAACAACACCACCATAGAAGTGATAATAACCGTAGATCCGCATACAGATCAGACATACATGGGTTCTAAAACATAACTTCATAAAACTTCCTGTCTTGAGTGTCGGCTTTTTTCAAGTCGGAAAACCCCAACGATGACTCCTACCCCATTTGCGATGGGGATTCAAATAGTCGATTGACAGGGAAGAGATGTATTTCTCCTCGATTTTTAAGGTCATCGAACAGTCGCTTCACTTTGAAATTATAATTTTAAAGAATACTTAACCTAAAATTTCTCGCAAGGGCCTCCTCTCTTCTCCATATTAACAGATTAGCATTTGTGTTTACATGTCAAGAATTTTAATTTATATGTCAAGCAAATATTTGCTTAGTTTGACCAAACATTTTGTGGCAGTGAGATACGCACGCTATTCTCTTTTTCAAATATGAGTGGTGTGTGTTATTGTGTTGACTGACTGGATTAGTAATGCCCATAAGGCGGTTTTTCGTCGCAACAAAGATGATTAAAAAAAATTGAAAATAAATTTTCACTTTTTCACAGACCTATCATCGATTTTTTTAAATCTACCCGACGGGTGGATTTAAAAAAAAAATATTTTTTCAAAGTCTATACAAGGCGTGTATTTGAAAAAAAATAAATTTTCAGGGTCTATTCATGACGCAGATTTTTAAAAGAACATTTTTTGAAGGTTAACACCTAAAACAGGCGTGGATTTATTAAATAATGTTATTTTTTTTAAGACATAAAAAGGTGCGGATCTTTATACCCTACACAACTATGTTGTCAGGGTATTATAGTTTTATGCAGCCCCAAGATTTTGTATCGCCGCGAAATATTGCTCCTAGACCCACCTTTAAGTATACCGATCGTTATATCTCGACTAGCTGAGTCCATCTAGACATGTGTGTCCATCCGTCCGTCCGTCCATCATAATTTGAAAACACGATACAGGTCAGTTATTGACCAATCTTCCCGAAATTTTGCATGTAGGATCGATTCCGGCCAATGAAGACCCCTATTGTTTATTTTGGTAAATATCCGTTAATATTTAGAGGATGAAATGGACCAAAAACTTTATTTTTGTCTGGTTTTCTGGCCGCTTTAGCGACCACAATTATAGCCCCAACATCGCTAATTTTTACATGGAATAGGGGATCGGGCCAAAGAAAAAGCAAGTCCGTTTTAATAAAGATCGGTCAATATTTAGCGGGTTAAATTGACCCTGACTTTTGTGTGAAAAAACGACAACATTTGTATCCTATAGTGTATAGATTTACCCCTGAAGGACATAGACCCGAGAAGTTGACAGTATAGCAAAGAGGAGTGGTTGACCTTTAAATTAATACCAATTACATTGTCGTAGGTACGCGGATGTGGGAGTTACACTTAAATATTTACAGGTGCTTACGTATTCAGATATAATTTAGTAACCCATCGCTCATCGCTTTGAAATTTTCCATGAGAATCCAGATAATGGCAAGAATAACGCCTATAATTTTCGGTGATGATCAGATTATAATATTGGGATGAAGTGGACCGAAAACTCAATTTTTTTTCGAGTCGATCTAAAGACCACCATTGAAAGTCGAACATCACAAAACAACCCACCGTGAAGGGAATCTGAACAAATAATTAGAAGGATTGTACTGAATAGTAATTATTTGTTGACATCTAGTGGGTCAAGAGGATGCAAACCAAGCTCAGAATGTAGTACCACAAAAAGTTAGATGTTCATGGAAGTTGTGTAGGGTATCATAGGGCCGACCATATGATACTGCTCACTGGTTAGAAATTATTTTTCAAAGCTCGGATTTTTTTAAAAATTATTTTTCAAAGTCTGGATTTAAAAAAAAAAAAGTCATTCTCAGGTCCCTGAGGATGATTTTTTTCTATAGAGTCAGGCCTGTACTCTTTAAAAAAAATCCAGTTGTGGATTTTTTTAAATATTTTTTCAAGGCCTGGATTTTTTGAATACATAGAAAACCATTAAGAAAAGTAGTAAAGTCGGACTGGGCCCACTATATGATACCCTTCACCACTTTGGACATATTCTACATATGTATCCTAACAGACATCGCCTTTTCGAAGGAATACTAATTTTAGTACCTTGTGTAATTCAATTTTCATTAAATAGGACGAAACTATATATGGGAGCTATAACTAAATCTGAACCGATTTTCACGAAATTTAACACACGGCATTTAAGACTCAATTCAGTACACTATGCGAAATTTCGTGCAAATCGAAAGTTATATAGGGACTCTGGTGCATCATTTTCGTAAAATCGGACATACTTATATACGGGAGCTATATATAAATCTGAACCGAATATTACGAAATTTAGCACACATCATTCTGGACCTAATTCAGTACCCTATGCCAAATTTCGTTCAAATCGAATGCTATATATGACTTTGGTGCACCATTTTCGTAAAATCGGACATAATTATATACGGAAGCTATATCTAAATCTGAACCGATTTTCACGAAACTGCACTATGCTAAATTTCTTGCAAATCGCAAGATATATAGGGACTTTGGTGCATCATTTTCGTAAAATCGGACATACTTATATACGGGAGCTATATATAAATCTGAACCGATTATTACGAAACTTGGCACACATCATTCTGGACCTAATTCAGTACCCTATGACAAATTTTGTGGAAATCGAAAGATATATAGGGACTTTGATAGACCATTTACATAAAATCGGACGAAAATATATATCTATATCTGGACCGATTCTCACGAAACTTATCACACATCAGTCTCGACCCAATTAAGTAGCCTATGCCAAATTTCGTGGAAATCGAAAGATATATAGGGACTTTGGTGCACCATTTACATAAAATCGAACGAAAATATATATGGGAGCTATATCTATATCTGGACCGATTTTAACGAAACTTAACACACGTCATTCAAGACTCAATTCAATACACTATACAAAGTTTCCTGCAAATCGAAAGTTATATAGGGACTTTGCGGCATCATTTACATAAAATCGGATGAAACTATATACGGGATCTATATCTAAAATCTGAACCAAATTTCACGAAACTTATCACACATCATTCTGGACCTGATTCAGTACCAAATTTCGTGCAAATCGAAAGATATATAGCGACATTGGTGCCCTATTTACCTTAATATGGTAGCTATATCTAAATCTGACCCGATATTCTTCAATTTCAATAGGATTCGTCCTTGGGCCAAAACAGTGGCTTGTGCCAAATTTCATCCAAATCGGATCATAAATGCGACCTCTACTTTGTTTACAATTTAACATCTACAGATGGACATGCATAAAACGACTCAGCAAGTGATTCTGTGCATATTCCCAAAAGGAACCATGGGTTTATATCGTTTCCTTTTATCTGTTACAAACATATGCACAAAGACATAATACCCTGTACCACAGTGTGGTGAATGGTAAACCAAATCCTCTAGTCACTGAGAATGACTTCTATAGAAAAAAAATACCTTAGGTTCCTGAGGTCCCAAATTTTCTCATTCATGAGGTCCTTGAGGAGGACTTTTTTCTATTTCCTCAGGTCTTTTTTCTATGTGGATGATTTTTTGTCTATAGAAAAAATTCCTTAGGGTGACTTTTTTCTATAGAAAAGAATTCCTCAGGTCCCTGAGCATGACATTTTGTCTATAGAAAAAATTCCTCAGGATGACTTTTTTTCTATAGAAAAGAATTCCTAAGGTTCCTGAGGATGACTCTTTTCCAAAGGAAAAAATTCCTCAGGTCCCTGAGCATGTCTTTTTTTTGGATTTCCTCAGATCTCTGTGGATGACTTTTTTCTATAGAAAAAATTCCTCAGGTCCCTGAGCATGTCTTTTTTTCTATAGAAAATATTCCTTAGATCTCTTTTTTCTATAGAAAAAATTGATCAGGTCCCTGAAAATGACATTTTTCTATAGAAAAAATTCCTCAGCTCCCAGAGGATGGCTTTTTTCTATAGATAAAAAAATCCTCATTTCCCCGAGGATGACTTTTTTTCTATAGAAAATAGTTCCTCAGGTCCTTAGGAAGATTTCTATAGAAAAAAATCCTCAGGTCCCTGAGCATGACTTTTTTCTATAGAAAAAAATTTCCTCAGTTTCTGAGGGTTTTTACGTTTTTTGATTTTCTTTCCGAGTTGTTAACACTGTTCGCACTGATCTCATGTGTGCTGTTGATACTAAAATAAAATAATAATTAGCTGTGACTTAATTTCTGTGTGGTTCCGAACGACATTTTTATGACTCACACTTTAGTCGTTGAAGAATTTCCAAAATAAATCTCAGTCGTTGAGACCGAGAGAGGGAGAGTTCACTTTGCCAAATATGAACCTTTTATGATGGATGTTGGTGTTTGACAAGTTCTAATACCGTGGGAGAGTGGGAGGGGAGTGAGTGGGAGAGAGAGGGAATGTAAACATCGTACAGATATTTTTAACTTTAGGAGAATTTGTTGGGATTTCTCAGTTACGTTTGATCAAAGTAAGAGGAAAGATAACGAGAGCTGTGCGAGATTTAAGAATTGTTTTGGAACCGAAATGAGTATGTGAGAATTAATTTAAGAATTTTTATATATAAATAATTATTTATATTTTTAATTAAATTTTTTATTGTATTTTGATATTAATTCGTTCTTTTTTCTTGTTTTGATTTTAGCGGTTATTGGCGGAGCTGTTGTGGGTCTATTGTGTGCCATTCTGGTGGTCATGTTCATTGTCTATCGCATGAGAAAAAAGGATGAGGGTTCCTATGCCTTGGATGAGCCAAAACGATCACCTGCTATGAATTCCTATGCGAAAAATGCAACAAATCGAGAATTTTTTGCCTGAGAAAATGAACGGCGTTTTTAAAGAATAAAAAACCAACAACCACAAATAAAACAATAACAACCTTTTTTATGGAATAATAAATTTAAAATAAAACAACAACAAAGTGGAAAGCAGCAGCAAAACAACATCACCTTTATTTGTATTTAAAAAAAAAACAACAACAAAAACAAATGGAAAAAATAACTACAACAACAACTGATAAATAGGCATTTTTTTATAAAACAAAAAGTACTGCAAACTTGAATTGAAGAACAACAACAACAAATACAACAATTTTGAAATGAAAAACTGAATATAGAAATTAAATCAAAGTTATATATATATATAGGAAAAATAATTCTATATATAAATGTGGAATCATCTCCATACTCAATTCATTAAAAAATCCACTGATACACCTTTTGCAAAAAAAATGTCTGCATTTTCCCCCCACATTTGGTTCAAAATTCCATAAAAAAATCGAAAAAAAAATCTGACAATTTATTCACGAAACAAAGTCTAATTACACTAACAACAACAACAACAACAAACAAAACAACCAATACATATGTAATTGTAAACAATAATTATTCTTATAAACAAAAAAAAATATTATTAATAATATTATTAAACATTCTTCTTTTTTTATTATTAAATTTCTCATATATAAATATTATTACAAAAAAATTAATTTTTTTTCTACTATTTTTTTTTCTTTAATTTAACAAAAAAAACATACACTCGAAAAAAAAACAATTAATTGAAACTCATCAACAAAATGAAAAAAAAACTAATTAATGAATGAGAGAAAAAAATATTATTATTTAAGTATAACAAAAAGAGAAATTAAACAAAGCGATAACAAAAATTAAAAAAAAATCATTACAAATAATATTAAATAAATGTAATATTTAGTGTAATTCGTATATATACAAAGGACAAAAAAAAAACAAGAAGAAAAAATAACATTGAAAAAAAAACACAAAAAAACATTAAAAAAAATAAATAAATAAACAACAAAAAGTATTTTAAGCTGAATCATGTGAAGAGGAAAAAAATTAAAAACAAAAGAAATAAATAATTAACAAAAAAAACAGTAAATTAAAAAAATAACTATTAGTTCTTAACTTGAAAAAAATAAAACATTAAAAAAAACTTTTTTTTTCAAAAAAAAATTAAAAAAAAATCAAGTACTAATACAATAACAGTAACAATGAACATATGATTGAAAAGCGAATGAATAGAAAAAAAAAAAAACACAAATATTTGGATGCTAAATTTTTGTTCAGTTCCATTAATTTTTGATATAAAAATTTTCTATTACAAAACAAAAATTCGAAAATAAATTAGAAACCTCTTTACTTTTTTGCTATAAAATTTTCATCATTTTAATATTTTTTTGAAAAATAAAAATCATAAAAAATAAATAAATAAAAACCTATAAAAACAACATGAATTAGAGTAATTATTTTTCATAAAAGAAAAATTTATTTTTTTCTCTCTCACTGTGCTATTGGAGTTAGGTGATTTTTGCAAAGTAACGTATTGTGGGAATAATATCTTTAAAAGGGTAGTATTACAAAAAAATATTGAATTAAAATAAATATAATGAAAATGAAAAAATAAAGGACAGGGTATAGATTATTCCTCTGCTCTTTAGAATTTTTTTTTCAAAAATAACTACACCATTTCTATGTGTGAAAAAATAATTTTCTAATTTTTCTCTTTGGAGTCATTCAAATGAACCAATAAAATCATAAATGTGTGTAGTATGTTTTAGACATTTTTGGGACACATGCTGGCCCTATGACACCATTTCCATGAGGGCAGAATTTTTGAAAAAAAAAATACAATTTAAAAAAATAATATTTTTTTATAAATTTCTAATATTGATAGAAAATGTGCACGATATATCATTTAAAAACCATTTTTTATTCCCAAATTTTCCCCCATGGTGTTCTTCAAATGTCCCATATAAAAACATTGATAGATTTTTAAATTAGATATTTTTTGAATAATTTGCTGGGTACATTCTGACCCCTTTTGACACTATTTCATAAATAGCTACACCGTTGCCGTTGTGTAATAAAAAATATTTTTCTAATTTTTTCTTTACGATCATTTCCAAATGATCCAGTAAAATTATAACATTGTGTTGTGTGTTGCCTTTTGGCTGTATTTTGTTTGCTTTAAAAATAATTTTGTTTTATATTCCAAAACATCTACACCATATCCATGTGGACAAAAAAAATATTTTTTTTTCAATTTTTCCTCCATGGAGTTCTTCAAATGCCCCCCAATTAAGATCATAAATTTATATATTTTTTGAATATTTTGTAGGGGCATATTCTGACCCATTTTGACACTATTTCAGAAATAGTTACACCGTTTCCGTGGTGTGATAAAAATATATATTTTTTTAATTTTCCCTTTAAAATCTTTCAAATGACCCGATAAAATCATTAAATTGTGAGTTGCCTTTGGAATAGGTTTTGTTTGAACACATTCTGGTCCCATGACACCATTTCCATAATGGGCAAACATTTTGAAAAAATAATTTTAATATTTTTTTTTATAATATGAAATTTTGAATACATCTTTCTAACATTCATAGAAAATTTTCACAATCTGTTCTTTAAAAGTCGTTTTTTTATATTCCCAAACTTCTACACCATTTCCATGTGTACAAAAAAATTTTTCAATTTTTCCGCCCATGGAGTTCTTCAAGTGCCCCCTAATTAAAATCATAAAATTTGATATCTTTTGAATATTTTGTTGGAACCTTTTGAAACCTTTGAAATTACTTTTAGAAAAATAATAACATTCCATGTATGAAATAATATTTTGTTTACCTTTTTATAAAAATATGAACAACTGTATTTTTTTTTTGAAATTTTTTAAGACACAATCTGGTCCCATGACACCATCCCACGACACTATGTTGGCAAAATTTTTGGAAAAAAAATTTATTGTAATGTTGAAAAAATATATATTATTATTTTACTAATTTGTAACATTGATAGACAGTTTAAACTAGATGTTTTTTTTTTAAAAAAATCCTTGTTTTATATTCCTAAAAAACTACAAAATCTGTTCAAAAAAATATTTTTCAATTGTTTCCCCCTTGTAACCCTTCATATGCCCACAAAAAAATTAGATATCTTTTGAATATTTTGTTGGTCAAATTCTGAACCCTTTAAAAATAAATTTTGAAAAATTTAATTTTTTTGAATGAAATTCATAATTTTTTAATAAAAATTTTGAGTTTCTACAAAAATTGTAAATTTTTCAACAATAAAAAGCCATACCATTTTCATATATTTATATTTTTAAATATTTACACCGTTTCCATGTGAGCAAAAAAAAATATTCCTTACAAAAAATTTATAATTTTAGTATTTTAAATTTTTAATCAATATTTTTTGTAAACTGTTTAAATGTTTAAAATTTTTAAGGGTAATTTTAATACATTTACAGTAATGAATTAATTAATTACCTTTTTTTAAATTATTCTAAGAAACATTTGAATCAATTAGTTAAAAAAATCTCAAAGGATTTTTTTTTCATTTGTAAAGGGTGAATAATTTTTTAAGGGTAATTTCTTTTTTTTCTTAATTTGAAATCGTTAAATAATTATGAAAATACAGAATAATTTAATTTTTAATTAATTTAACTTTTGTAAAATTATTATTTTTCACACATAACCTCAAAATATATACTCACACCCACTACTCTTGCAAAAATCACCAAACTTCCAATAACCAAAAACAACAACTATAAACCATGACAAGCCACCCCCACTAATTAAGCCGAAAGCCAATAATTAAAACTTCTTTGTTGCAATATTTTTGAAAAAGTACCCACACATAATCAAAACATCCTTAACATGCGCCTTTTTTTAAACATATAAATAATTCTTACAGCTAATATTTTATATATAATTTTCCATTGTAATTAAAATAAATTTTGTGTTTTTTGTGCTTTTTTTTAAAAAACAAATCAAAATAATTTTAAATTTAAGCTAATTTACAATTAAAAAACAACAGCTATATAACAACAACAAAAAATGGCAGCTATTAAAACCATCTCAAAAAAAAACACATAACACTGGCATCTTACCGAACTCGTTTTTTTCTACTTTAAATTGTTATAATAATTAATAATGGAAGGAAGAAGAAGAAAAATAAATATTATTTAAAAAATATTTTTTCTTCTTTAAAAAAATAAAACATATGTTTATGTTGTTGATTTAAATGAAATAAAAATAATAATATTTACTTTCTTATAGCCAAATATGTTTTGCTTTGTTAAAACTAATATTTAATAAAAAAAACAAATCAGCAACATTTAACAACAACAACAACATGAAATGCCATACTAAACAAAATAATAATAATCTTAAAATACTTTTTTATATTGTATTAAAATAAAACAAACATATTATTATATATATGAATATAATTTAAGTTATGTTTAGACCAGAAAATTGTTTTGTAAAGAAGAAGAAAAAAAATGAAAAAAAAATTCAATTTCATGACAACTGAAAAATAATTTGTCCAACAATACTTTACTTTTAACAAAATTTGTATTATTTTTTTGCTATGTAAAAAATGGTCAATTACAAAAAATTAATAACAAAAAAAATGTTTTCTATATTTCCAAATATCAAATAATTGACCATTTTGAAAAAAAAATCCATATAATCCCATACTACTACTAATCTTACTTACTCACATATATTTTGTATTTACTCTCCCCCTTTATTTTTTATTATGAACAATTAACCTTTATATATACAAAAACAACTTATGTATTTTTTTTTATATATAATAAAAATTACTTACCATTTTTTTCTTATTACCACAACCATATATATATACCAATGTTATTAATCTCCTCTAACTCCTTAGCTAAAAAAAACAACAAAACACCATTGTATGATTTTCCACTAAATATACAGCTCTCTAAACATACATAAAAACAATATACACATACTCTACTCTCCACTAAATTCAATAATATTTTTTTTAAATTTTTTTTAAATTCTTGTAAAATTGTCTTCTTTATTTTTGATCCATAGATCCATCCCCTTTTTCTAAATTTTTTTAATTTTTTTAATAATTCGATTTTTTTTTATTTATTTTTTAATAATTCGAAATGACAAAAACATGCAAAAATTCACACCCGACAGTTTGTATGAATGTACTGAATTAAAAAAATAATAATAATTGGTTTTAATTTGCTATATAAAAAAATATTATTATTATTATTAAAGTGAAAGTAAAAAAATAATAAAATAAGAAACAAAAAGGAAAACGACGGATGGAAACTATATAAATAAATATATAGGAAAAACTCTACAAAAAAAAAACAGTAAAATTTATGAATAAAACAAAAAAATAAAAAACTAAAAATAAAACAACAGGTGTTTTTATTTTAAGGATAGAATAATACGATAAAACCTTCTCTGGTAACAAATTTTGTGATAGTTCCCCTGAAAAATATTCTCTAAAAAAATCCAAGCCTAAAATTATGCAGAAAATTATGTGATAGACCGTCAATAATTTTTTAAACCCCAAAATATTTTCAGAAATATATTTGGAAAAATCTAAAACCAAAAATTTCATCTAAAAAAATACAACAAAAAAATAACGTCAAAACAAAATGCGAATACTTTTATTAAAACAAACATTTTTGTTCTTAAAAAAAATATATTCAAAAAAAAATTACAGACTGTAGTGAAGACCACATTTCCACCTTTCATATGACACCCATATCATGAAAATATCTTTAATAGGTCAAAAGTTACAAACAATCTAAAATTTACCAGATTTTTTGGCAACTCCGGCCATGAGCCATCATCAGCGCCATCTATTGATGGGCATGATTTAAATATGCAAAGACGGAAATTTAATGTTATTTTCTTTTTGCCACAACCTACACTGTAGTGAAGACCACATTACCACCTTTCATATGATACCCATATCATGAAAATATCTTCAATAGGTCAAAAGTTATAAACAATCTAAAATTTAGCAGATTTTTTGCATCTTGGCAACCCCGGCCATGGGCTATCATCAGCGCCATCTATTGATGGGCATGATTTAAATATGCAAATACGACAATTTAATGTTATTTTCTTTTTGCCACAATCTTATAAAAACTATTTTCAAATTACAGGCAATTCGGTTGGAAAACGTGTCCAAAATCCCCAGAATACCGAATATTGGACGTAACGTTATATAGGGGCTACCCTGAAACTTGGATCAATATTAATAATTTTTGGTACGGACATGTGCTACATAATGAGAACCCAAAATACCAAGTTAAAGCCAATTCGGTTGGAAAACGTGTGCAAAATTCCCAAAATATCGAATATCGAGAGGTAGCGTTATATGGGGGCTACCCTGAAACTTGGGTCCATATTAATAAATTTTGGTACGGAGATGTGCTACATAATGGGAACCCAAAATTCCAAGTTGCAGCCAATTCGGTTGGAAAACTTGTTCAAAATCCCTAAAATATCGAATATTGAGGGGTAGCATTATATGGGGGCTACCCCGAAACATGGGTCAATTTTAATAATTTTTGGTACAGAGATGTGCTACACAATGAGAACCCAAAATACCAAATTCCAGCGAAATCGGTTGGAAAACATGCCCAAAATCTCCAAAATACCGAATATTGAGGGGTAGCGTTATATGGGGGCTACCCTGAAACTTGGACCAATATTAATAATTTTTGGTAGGGATATGTGTAATTCAATGAGAACCCAAAATACCAAATTAGAGGCAATTCGGTTGAAAAACTTGTTTAAAATCGTCAGAATACCGAATATTGGGGAGTTCCGTTACATGGGGGCTACCCTGAAACATTGGTCAATGTTAATAATTTTTGGTACAGAGATGTGCTACACCAGGAGAACCCAAAATAACAAATTCCAGCGAAATCGGTTGGAAAACATGTCCAAAATCCCTAGAATACCGAATATTGGGAGGTACCGTTATATCGAGGCTACCCTGAAACATGGGTTAATTTTAATCATTTTTGACATGGAGATGTGTTACACAATGATAACTCAAAATACCAAATTCCAGCGAAATCGGTTGGAAAACATGCCCAAAATCCCCAGAATACCGAATATTGTGAGGTACTGTTATAAGGGAGCTACCCTGAAACTTGGACCAATATTAATCATTTTTGGTATGAATATGTGTAATTCAATGAGAACCCAAAATACCAAATTACAGCCAATTCGATTGAAAAACGTGTCAAAAAGCCCCAAAATACCGACTATTGGGAGGTACGGTTATATGGGGGCCACGCCAAAACGTGGACCGATATATGCCATTTGCAATACCAAACATCCTAGAAGTCCTAATAATGTCTGTGCAAAATTTCAGAGCTTTATCTTAAATATTGTGATCTCTATCGGGGTTTCAACAGAAGGACGGACATGCCATAAAATTTTATTCAGTTCAAAAATAAATATACTTTGTGGGGTCTACGCTGAATATTTCGAGATGTTGCAAACGGAATGACAAATTTATGCACCTCTTGGAGGAGGTTATAGAAAAAATCAGTCGATATTCTAAATATCTTCGAACTTTCACATAATGTTATTTTTCTTATATATAACATCAGTTTATATATGTATTGTCATTATGGAATAAAACTTTACATTTCCCTCTAAGCATCTGTGCAAAATTCATGAAAATCGGTTAAGTAGTTGCCGAGTTATTTGCATTTGAAGTTAACGATGTTCCGAAACATACTTGCTGTTCGCTGCTGGGCGCCTATTACCTGAAAATGAAAAATCACACAAAAATGGATTTTTAAAAAAGGGCAAATTTTTCTTTCATAATGTGGTGGCTGCTGGTTTGTAACGAAAATTATAGCATACTTTTAGGCCGAGCACAGTCTGTGTGAAGTTCGATGTTTAAATTAAAAGAGGTGATTGTTTTTTAGGCACAAAATTAATGTAACACAACTTGAAAAAAATATGAAATTAAAATCCATTGATTATAGAGCTTGATTTTTTACAATTTATTGAATAATTATTTAATATTTATAAAAACGTATACAAAAAAATTACAATATATATTTAAATCGTATAATAAAGCTATACACCATTAATGACATGAAGTGAATGCAATTACATTTACATATTTACATTTGTTAAATCCGAAAAAAATGTATGTACATAACATTTTTACAATTTCGATTTTCGGGCATTTTCCTGCATAAAGGGTTTCAAATATTTGCCAAAGAAATCGGGTACTGGTTTCTTGTTCAGCGGATGTTTGAGAGCAGCCTCAAACAACCGTTCATAGACATTACCATCATAGGAGCCCAATGCTGAACTCAATACTTTGTCGTGAAAATCAAAACCATCGGTAATGGCCACCGCATCGGGACGCAATCGCTTGAGTACCTCCTCCAAACGAACTTGCAGTGCGGAAATTTCATTTTCACTAACAGGCACGAACTGCAAAGAAAAATTACATTATTTTAATGGGGATCTTGAAAAAGTTAGCAATTTTTTACTTACTCTCAAAATATCACCCAGATGACGGAAGAAGGTCTGAATCAAATGCAGCTCCAAGAGATTTTCCAAGACCTTTTGAAATTCTGGGGAACGTTCGTGCTTTGTGGTTCCATTGGTAACCTCTTCATAGAAATTCGAGGCCACATAGACACGGCCATGTAATTCAGCGGCCTTTGTCAGCTCCAAGCCGGTATTGTTAACGGCCACAGGTTGGCTTTGGCCCTCCTTCAAGCGGGCGGAATAACTTCTGTAGGCAACACGGGTGGCACTAAAATTTATAATAGTTTTTTTATTACTATCAGAATCTCAAGTGCGGATTTTTGAAGAAACATTTTTAGAGGACCCAAGCAAGGGGTAGATTTATAAAGAATACTGGAATACTTTTTCAAGGCCTATCCAAGGCGTGGATTTTTTAAAGAATACTTTTTCAAGGCCTATCCAAGGCGTGGATTTTTTAAAGAATACTTTTTCAAGGCCTATCCAAGGCGTGGATTTTTTAAAGAATACTTTTTCAAGGCCTATCCAAGGCGTGGATTTTTTAAAGAATACTTTTTCAAGGCCTATCCAAGGCGTGGATTTTTTAAAGAATACTTTTTCAAGGCCTATCCAAGGCGTGGATTTTTTAAAGAATACTTTTTCAAGGCCTATCCAAGGCGTGGATTTTTTAAAGAATACTTTTTCAAGGCCTATCCAAGGCGTGGATTTTTTAAAGAATACTTTTTCAAGGCCTATCCAAGGCGTGGATTTTTTAAAGAATACTTTTTCAAGGCCTATCCAAGGCGTGGATTTTTTAAAGAATACTTTTTCAAGGCCTATCCAAGGCGTGGATTTTTTAAAGAATACTTTTTCAAGGCCTATCCAAGGCGTGGATTTTTTAAAGAATACTTTTTCAAGGCCTATCCAAGTCGTGGACTTTTTAAAGAATACTTTTTGAAGGGGTATCCAAGGCCTGGATTTGTCTAAGGCGTGGATTTTTTAAAGAATACTTTTTCAAGGTCTATCCAAGGCGTGGATTTTTTAAAGAATACTTTTTCAAGGCCTATCCATGGCGTGGATTTTTTAAAGAACACTTTTTCAAGCCCTATCCATGTCGTGGATTTTTTAATGAATACTTTTTCAAGGCCTATCCATGGCGTGGATTTTTTAAATAATACTTTTTCAAGGCCTATCCAAGTCGTGGACTTTTTAAAGAATACTTTTTGAAGGGGTATCCAAGGCCTGGATTTGTCTAAGGCGTGGATTTTTTAAAGAATATTTTTTCAAGGGGTATCCAAGGCCTGGATTTGTCTAAGGCGTGGATTTTTTAAAGAATATTTTTTCATGGGGTGTCCAAGGCCTGGATTTGTCTAAGGCGTGGATTTTTTAAAGAATAGTTTTTCATGGGGTGTCCAAGGCCTGGTTTTGTCTAAGGCGTGGATTTTTTAAAGAATAGTTTTTCATGGGGTGTCCAAGGCCTGGATTTGTCTAAGGCGTGGATTTTTTAAAGAATATTATTTCATGGGGTATCCAAGACCTGGATTTGTATAAGGCGTGGATTTTTTAAAGAATATTATTTCATGGTGTATCCAAGGCTTGGATTTGTCTAAGGCGTGGTTTTTTTAAAGAATATTATTTCATGGGGTATCAAAGGCCTGGATTTGTATAAGGCGTGGATTTTTTAAAGAATATTTTTTCAAGGGGTATCCAAGGCCTGGATTTGTCTAAGGCGTGGATTTTTTAAAGAATATTTTTTCATGGGGTGTCCAAGGCCTGGATTTGTCTAAGGCGTGGATTTTTTAAAGAATAGTTTTTCATGGGGTGTCCAAGGCCTGGATTTGTCTAAGGCGTGGATTTTTTAAAGAATATTATTTCATGGGGTATCCAAGGCCTGGATTTGTATAAGGCGTGGATTTTTTATAGAATATTATTTCATGGTGTATCCAAGGCTTGGATTTGTCTAAGGCGTGGATTTTTAAAAGAATATTATTTCATGGGGTATCAAAGGCCTGGATTTGTATAAGGCGTGGATTTTTTAAAGAATATTTTTTCAAGGTGTATCCAAGGCCCGGATTTGTCTAAGGCGTGGATTTTTTTAAAGAATATTTTTTCAAGGTGTATCCAAGGCGTGGTTTTGTCTAAGGCGTGGATTTTTTTAAAGAATATTTTTTCAAGGTGTATCCAAGGCGTGGTTTTGTCTAAGGCGTGGATTTTTTTAAAGAATATTTTTTCAAGTGGTATCCATGGCCTGAATTTTTTAAAGAATAATTTTTCAAGAGATATCCAAGGCCTGGATTTTTTAAATAATATTTTTTCAAGGCCTGGATTTATCCAAGGCGACGCTTTTTAAGGCCCAAAATAAGGCGTTGATTTTTAAATAATATTTTTTCAAGGCCTGGATTTATCCAAGGCGACGCTTTTTAAGGCCCAAAATAAGGCGTTGATTTTTAAATAATATTTTTTCAAGGCCTGGATTTATCCAAGGCGACGCTTTTTAAGGCCCAAAATAAGGCGTTGATTTTTAAAGAATATTTTTTCAAAGTCCAAAACGGGACGTGGCTTTTTTGAAGAATATTTTTTGAAAGTCCAAAACGAGACGTTGCTTTTTCGTAGAATATTTTTTCAAAGTCCAAAAGAAGGCGTGGATTATTTAAAGAATATCTTTTCAAAGTCTAAAACAAGGCGTGGATTTTTCGAATAATGTTTTTTACTTACCCCACACAAGCAAACTGCAATGCCTTCACCAAACAATCCCAGGTGCCAGTCCACTGAGGGAAATGTGCTGCCTTGGTGCATTCCGAAAAGTAAGCCATGGTGGGCATTAGCTGTTTACCCTCCAAAACATCAGCCCAAACTTTCATAAGGATTTTTCCCACTTGCAAATACAGTACGGAGTTTTCACCCTCATAGGTGCAGGCAGCTGTGGACATAGCAAAAATATTACCCAAATTGGCCGCTGTCAAATAACCATGACCACCACAACCCTGACGCAAACGTTCAATGCCATATGTTGAGTCATAAGAACATGACACCTTAAGGATGCAAGCCAAAGCATGTAGTTCGGGAAGACGTGAGAAATCTTTGCGATTAATTGCCTGTGCGGTTTCATTGTACATGAAATGTAAATTGCCAGCGGCCAAGCGATAGGCAATTGCGGTGGCAATTTCCGGAATTACTTTCATTTGCTGTGTCATATGTTCCAAGACTTTGGGTTCGGGTTGACTGAAAAGAAGAAAATTTTCGTTAATATTTAAAAATTAAAAAGATTCGAATTTCTACTTACCCCTCCTCAATGGGACTTTGACGTCTTACCACGGAGTACCTAGTCACAATGGTGGCAGCCTGAGCCAACATCAAGGCATTACCAATGGCAACCATACAGCGTACATATACCATGGGGAAATACGAGAGCTGTGAAACAGGACTCTTAATAAAGGTGCCATCCGGCAGAACCTGTTGATTTTTCATCAACATATTTGTGCGGGGCACACGATAATTCTTCAAACCCAAGAAACCATTGTTGACACCATTCATACCCAATTTTTTGCCAATTTCACCAACATGCACACCCGGCAATGGCATATAGGTCTCTTCGTCACGCACCTGCACCACAAACATTTGTATACCCTTGGGCTCGTTGTCGATATACAATTGGGCAACAAAAATGCAATAGTTACAGGTTTGACCCACTGTCAAATGAAACAAAAAAAAAATAAATCAAAAAAGAAAATAAAACCAAAAAAATTTTGTTTCTTACATCCTCCTGGCCACCATTTATACGCTGTCAAAGTGGGTGTATTCAACACAAATTCCTCGGTTTTGCGATCATAATCAGCCCGTGATTCCAAACCACGCAAGAATGTACCATGACCCAATTCCGTTTGGGCATAAGTGCCAATAATTTCACAATTATCTGCACGACGACCAAATTTCTCATATTGTTCTGGAGTACCTTGACCCCGCAGAGCACGGGTAAACATGACAAGATGAACGGCCAAGGGATTGCCAGCAGGCATTAAAGCAGTACCAATTGGACCGCCCATTAGGGTTCTGAATAAGACATAAAAAATAATATATTAGGCATTTTAGGTGTGAGAAGTTATCGAAAAACTTACGGATAAACTTCCGAACCACCTGGATGCAAACGTTCCTGTATAGCTCTCAATTTATTGGTGGCCTTGACGGCATGCTTAACAGCCATCGAGGCCATTTCTTCATACGAAGCAAATTCATGATCCAGAGGATCGTCCAAGTCATTGTACAACTCCTCTTCTGCAAAAAAGGAAAAGAGAATGAAATTAATATTTTTCAAAGAAAGGAATAGGGACAAAAATATGTATTTTTTAAAATTTCTTTCCTTTGGGGGCCTTAAAAAATATTCCTAAAACCCATGCATTTGTGGGTCTATGAAAAAATATCCCAGTAGAAAGTGTCTTGCAGACAACATTAACGAATCGTGTAAGACAATGGCAATTCCTTGAAGACATTAGTTGACGAAATTTTCACACAAGTGTCGTAGCATTCATGCACGACAACTTGAGCGACAGGGTAAGCGATATTGTCGTTGAAGACAACTTCGGCGACTAAACTCCCTATTTTCGTTAAGGACGTTTGAACAGTCGTTGATGACAAATACCAATTATCATTAATTGTCATCAAAAAATCCACGCCTTGTGTAGACTCTGAAAAATGTTCTTTAGAAAATCCACGCCTTGTATTGACGCTGAAAAATATCCTGTGATAAATCCAAGCCTTGTATAGACCCTGAAAAATATCCTGTGATAAATCCACGTCTTGTATAGACCCTGAAAAAATATTTTTTAAAAAATCCACGCCTTGTATAGACCCTGAAAAATATTTTTTTAAAAAAATCTGTCATTATCAGGATTAATATCGATATTAGGATGATGACAAGGCTATATTATAAAAAATAATAATGAAATATATTAAAAACGATTCTAGGTACAATTTAAAGTGTAGGCCAGTTATAAGGCCCAGTCTGGTGTTGTTAAAAGTCCAAACAAACAAGTGTTTCTTATCTCATTATTAAATAAATAATACTTTCTATATTTTTTGCAATCTTATCGCATTGCCCCCCTACGGTATTTTTTGAAATACTAAACAATTTGATAAAAGAAATGAACTTGATCGTTCTGCAATTTCATTGCACGTAGACATCTTATATTTTTAGATGTATGGACATTTTTTGCCACAATATATATATATATAGGGGCCTAGCGTTTTATGGGGCTATAATTTGGGTCAATATTAATAGTACATTCAATTCGATTGGTAAAACGTGGCCAAAATCGACTGAATACCGAATATTTGGTGGTACCGGTTTATGGAAGCTATCCTGAAACTTGGATCAACATTAATCATTTTGTGCCATTGTGCCATTCTATGAGAACCCAAAATATCAAATTACAGCTAATTCGGTTGGAAAACGTGTCCAAAATCCTTAAAATATCGAATATTAAGGGGTACTGTTATATGGGGGGCTACCCTGAAATTTAGGTCAATATTCATAATTTTTGTTACGGAGATGTGCTACACAATGATAACCAAAAATACAAATATTACAGTCAATTCGGTTAAAAACCCTGACCATGATCCCCAAAATAACGAAAATTGGGGGTACAGTTATATGGGGGCCAAAGCAAAACGTGGACCGATAAATCTCATTTGCAATTCTAAGCATGTCTTACACAATGTCTGTGTAAGAGTTCTATCTCAAAAATTGCGATCCCTATAGTGATTTTAACAGATTGACATAGACTTTTTCTGATCAGGAATATATAGTTTATGGGGCCTCCGGTGAATAATTCGAGATGTTACAAACGGACTGACAAATTTAATATACAATCTACCTTATGTTGTAGGGTGGAAAAAGTTACGCTTCGGTGACTACTGTTTCTTGGAAAAATAGTTGTTAAAAATTCAAGTTTCGGGATCTATTATTGATTGGAAAATACTTTTGATCTGCTCTATATCATCGACTGATTGCCTTAGTTGACGTTATCTCAGTCCAACAAAATGTTCGGTTGAAATGGTTGGTTGTACCCGCTGACAGATGTAAATCATTGAGCATAAAAGCGGAAATCCATTAGTTGCAATTACGGCCCCAAATTCGAATCGAAACAGAAGGAAAAATTAGATTGGGGAAAAAGAAATCATTTTTTTTTTTTTTTGTAAATGTTTTAAAACAGTTATGGTCGATTTTTAGCTCCTGGACGATGATACGACTGCCGGTCAACTTCGATCATTTCTACGATCGACATTTTCGACAACCGACCTGTGCGAGATGCATCTTTAACATCAAAAATTCCTGAACGGAATCTACGAATCCATAATAGCACATAATTGGCTGTTATAGTATCGGAACCATGAACACCATTCACAATTTTAGCCACTTGGCTTGCATACAATGTACCGAATATTCTGTTTCTTCACTTCCATTTTTAACACCCTGTAACTCAAACTGAATGCACCAAACAAAAAACAGCAAAACAATTTTTTTTACTTCACCTTTCCAACGCACATAAATCTGAAATTGTTTGATCGATACTTTACAATATATACCCATCAGTAAAGCCATCTGCTAAAAAAAAATAATGGATTTTCCCCCAACCAAAACAAATATTAATGTAAAATGCTCATCGATAATACAAGTATTGATCTAAATTTTATTTACGCCTTTTCAACAGACATACCTTCTGTTATTAATTTGTAGTGTTTCGATTTAAAATTCCCCCCATCTACTATCAGGCACACTTCACAAATTTAGACTCTGAACTTTAATTTATTGGAAACTATGTCTTTTATTTTATTTTGAAATAAACCCCAAGATATTGTCAATTCATTCCCCACAAAAAATGTAAACAAATAAAATAGTCTCTCCATATCAGCAGAGATGTCCCCCACAATCAAGAGGTCAGTTACACGAAGAGATAACAGAAAAGACTCTCATGCTCACTATGTTGCTCTTATGCAAAAGAAAAATATTCACACTCTCTCTTATTAATTAATTATGAATGTTTTTTGGTTTTTATATTTTATTTGTATTGTTTTTTACACGTTTTTATTATACCAGTTGCTGTTGTTGTGTTGCCTTTGTTTTATTTCATCACTAACCCACTTACCAATCATTCGTTTCATATCAACAATTTCCTTGCGTCCCCAAAAGAACGCAGCCATTTCATCCGAATTGAAGCTGGCATTTTTACGTTCAATTGCCAGATCGGGATTTACGGTTTTGGGTATTTCGATTTTATTCATTTTCTTTTAGTTTTCGATTTCGATTATTGTAATTTTCTTAATTAAATATTGCAAAAAAAATTAATTATTTTTTCACACACACAATCACTTGATGTTTACACTCAACCCGTTCGATCGATCTGCCTCCAGTTGCGATCACTGTTCGCGTACGACTAACAGGTTTCATTGCTAAATATTTACATTTCAGCTTTAAGAGAGTCAACCAAGGAATGGTTACTCTTTGTTTTAAACAAAATAAACAAAAAAAAGCTTTTGATAGGCCAAATCAGCTGTTGATAAGAGAAAAAATTGCTGGCTAGCTATTTATTTATTTTATTGTAAATTAAACAAAAACAATTAATATTAGCGGGGTAAAAGGGGGAAATGCAAGTTTTCAAGGGCCCGTACGCTAAACAGAACCTTATAATGTAGCCTTTAAAATCTACTATTTGACTCGCATTTTAATCTCTAACAACATCTCAATTCGCTCTACCGATTTACAATAAAACAATAATCGGCTTATTGAAAGCCCATAGTCCAAATTTTCTATCTTAGTTTGAAGTTTGGCTTTCATTTTTGGCCAAGAGGAGGGGCAAAGTCCGAATCAACATTTGGGGTAGCATAGTTGGACTTGACCTTTGTTCGATCTTTGTTAATGGAAATAAAAACTATGACAGCGTATCGGAAATATTGAATAAAACATTAAAAAAAATCCTAAAAAATTTGAAAAAATAATCTTTAAAAAAATCCACGCCTTGGATAGACTTGAAAAAATAATCTTTAAAAAAATCCACGCCTTGGATAGACTTGAAAAAATAATCTTTAAAAAAATCCACGCCTTGGATAGACTTGAAAAAATAATCTTTAAAAAAATCCACGCCTTGGATAGACTTGAAAAAATAATCTTTAAAAAAATCCACGCCTTGGATAGACTTGAAAAAATAATCTTTAAAAAAATCCACGCCTTGGATAGGCCTTGAAAAAGTATTCTTTAAAAAATCCACGCCTTGGATAGGCCTTGAAAAAGTATTCTTTAAAAAATCCACGCCTTGGATAGGCCTTGAAAAAGTATTCTTTAAAAAATCCACGCATTGGATAGGCCTTGAAAAAGTATTCTTTAAAAAATCCACGCCTTGGATAGGCCTTGAAAAAATAATCTTTAAAAAAATCCACGCCTTGGATAGACTTGAAAAAATAATCTTTAAAAAAAAATAATCTTTAAAAAAAATAATCTTTAAAAAAATCCACGCCTTGGATAGACTTGAAAAAATAATCTTTAAAAAAATCCACGCCTTGGATAGACTTGAAAAAATAATCTTTAAAAAAAATCCACGCCTTGGATAGACTTGAAAAAATAATCTTTAAAAAAATCCACGCCTTGGATTGACTTGAAAAAATAATCTTTAAAAAAATCCACGCCTTGGATTGACTTGAAAAAATAATCTTTAAAAAAATCCACGCCTTGGATAGACTTGAACAAATAATCTTTAACAAATCCACGCTTTGGATAGACTTGAAAAAATATTCTTTAAAAAAATCCACGCCTTGTTTTGGCCCCTGGAATAAAATATTCTTGAAAAAATCCACGTCTTGTTTTGGCCCCTGGAATAAATTTTACTTTAAAAAATCCACGCCCTGTTTTGGCCCTAAAAAAATATTCTTTAAAAAATTCACGCCTCTTTTAGGTGTTGAAAAAATATTCTTTACAAAAAAATCCACGTTTATTTGTCTTCAAAATTGTTTACAATTTAGCTTTCCTGGCATTGACAGCATTTTCCTTCATGAAAGGCTTCAAATGAGTTTCGAAAAAATCAGGAACCGCTTTCCTATTCAAGGGATGCTTAAGAGCAGCCTCAAACAAACGTTCATAAACATTTCCATCATAGCAGCCCAATGCGGAGCTTAAAATTTTATCGGGAAAATCAAATGCATCCGTTATGGCCACAACATCGGGACGTAATTTTTTCAAGACCTCCTCAAGTCGAGTCTGCAGAGAGGATATTTCTTCTTCTGATATTTGAATAAACTGCGAAAAGGAGAAATATTAAAAATTTGAAAATAATTCCAATGGAGCACTTCGTCTTACCCTTAAAATATCTCCCAAATGCCGGAAGAATATTTGTAGCAAATGTAATTCCAACATATTCTCCAAGACCCTCTGAAATTGTGGTGATCGTTGTGAATGCTTTGGATTTTTCACCACCTCTTGATAAAAATTATCGGCCACATAGGCTCGACCATGTAATTCCGCAGCCTTGGTTAATTCCAAACCGCTATGGTTAACGGCAGCTGTTTGACTTTGACAAGATTGCAGGTGGGTGTTGTAGCTATGGAATGCTAGGCGTATGGCTCTGTGGTATAAAATGAAGAGATTAGAATTTGAAGTTTTTCTTAAAAATTTCATAGGCTCCATGGTCGAACTTACCCCACACAGGAATATTGTATGGCCCTCAGCAAACATTCCCAAGTCCCCGACCACCGAGGGAAATTTGCAATCTTGGCACACTCTCCAATATAAGCCATTGTCGGACTCAATGGCTTCCCCGCCAAAACTTGTGACCAATTTTTCATCAAGATTTTTCCCACTTGCAAATATAGCACGGAATTTTCACCCTCATAGGTACAGGCCGGAGCAGCCAAGGCGAAAATATTACCCAAATTCCCAGCCGTCAAATAACCATGACCACCACAAGCCTGACGAAGACGTTCAATACCAAATGTCGAATCATAAGAGGTGGCGACTTTGAGAATACAAGCCAAGGCATGTAGTTCGGGGAGTCGGGAGAAGTCCTTACGATAAACAGCCTCCGAAGTTTCATTGTACATAGTTTGCAAATTTCGGGCGGCCAGGCGATATACCACAGCGTTCACTATCTCTTGAATGACTTTCATCTGTTGCGTCAAATGTTCGAGAATTTTTGGTTCTGGGTGCCTGAAATAGGGACACAAAAAATTTAAACCTTAATAGACGATCTGAAGGGAGTCTTTCATAGACGAGCTGTGAAGGGAGTATTCCATAGACGAGTTGTGAAGGGAGTCTTTCATAGACGAGCTGTGAAGGGCGTCTTTCATAGACGAGCTGAAGGGCGTCTTTCATAGACCAGCTGTGAAGGGAGTCTTTCATAGACCAGCTGTGAAGGGAGTCTTTCATAGACGATCTGAAGGGAGTATTTCATAGACGATCTGAAGGCAGTCTTTCATACACGATATGAAGGGAGTCTTTCATAGACCAGCTGTGAAGGGAGTCTTTCATAGACGATATGAAGGTAGTCTTTCATAGACGAGCTGAAGGGAGTCTTTCATAGACGAGCTGTGAAGGGAGTCTTTCATGGACGAGCTGTGAAGGGAGTCTTTCATACACGAGCTGAACGGAGTCTTTCATAGACGAGCTGAAGGGAGTCTTTCATAGACGAGCTGAAGGAGTCTTTCACAGACGAGCTGTGAAGGGAGCCTTTAATAGACGAGCTGTGAAGGGAGCCTTTCATAGACGAGCTGTGAAGGGAGTCCTTCATAGACGAGCTGTGAAGGGATTCCTTCATAGACGAGCTGTGAAGGGATTCCTTCAAAGACGAGCTGAAGGGAGTCTTTCATAGACGAGCTGTGAAGGGAGTCTTTCATAGACGAGCTGTGAAGGGAGTCTTTCATAGACGAGCTGTGAAGGGAGTCTTTCATAGACGAGCTGTGAAGGGAGTCTTTCATAGACGAGCTGTGAAGGGAGTCTTTCATAGACGAGCTGTGAAGGGAGTCTTTCATAGACGATATGAAGGGAGTCTTTTCATAGACGAGCTGAAGGGAGTCTTTTCATAGACGAGCTGAAGGGAGTCTTTCATAGACGAGCTGAAGACAGTCTTTCATACAAGTTATGAAGGAAGTCTTATATAGACGAGCTGTGAATGGAGACTTTCATAGTCGAGCTGTGAAGGGAGTCTTACATAGACAAGCTGTGAAGGGGGTCTTTCACAGACGAGCTGTGAAGGGAGTCTTTCACAGACGAGCTGTGAAGGGAGTCTTTCACAGACGAGCTTTGAAGGGAGTCTTTCATAGACGAGCTGTGAAGGGAGTCTTTCATAGACGAGCTGTGAAGGGGGTCTTTCATAGACGAGCTGTGAAGGGAGTCTTTCATAGACGAGCTGTGAAGGGAGTCTTTCATAGACGAGCTGTGAAGGGAGTCTTTCATAGACGAGCTGTGAAGGGAGTCTTTCATAGACGATATGAAGGGAGTCTTTTCATAGACGAGCTGAAGGGAGTCTTTCATAGACGAGCTGAAGGCAGTCTTTCATAGACGAGCTGAAGACAGTCTTTCATACAAGTTATGAAGGAAGTCTTATATAGACGAGCTGTGAAGGGAGTCTTTCATAGACGAGCTGTGAAGGGAGTCTTTCATAGACGAGCTGTGAAGGGAGTCTTTCACAGACGAGCTGTGAAGGGAGTCTTTCACAGACGAGCTTTGAAGGGAGTCTTTCATAGACGAGCTGTGAAGGGAGTCTTTCGTAGAGGAGTTGTGAAGGGAATCTTTTATAGGCGAGCTGTGAAGGGAGTTTTTCATAGACGAGCTGTGAAGGGAGTCTTTCATAGACGAGCGGTGAAGGGAGTCTTTCATAGACGAGCTGTGAAGGGAGTCTTTCATAGACGAGTTGTGAAGGGAGTCTTTCATAGACGAGTTGTGAAGGGAGTCTTTCATAGACGAGCTGAAGGGAGTCCTTCATAGACTGATCTGATGGGAGTCTTTCGTGGAAGAACAAAAGAAATAATGTGTAAACTTACCCCTCCTCAATGGGACTCTGACGCCGAATGACAGAATACCGCGTAACAATAGTCGCAGCCTGGGCCAAATAATTAGCATTTTGACGGGCAACCATGCAGCGTACAAATACCATAGGGAAATATGAAACTTGTGAGACGGGGCTCTTAATGAATGTACCATCCAGCAGAACTTGTTGATGTCTCATCAGCATATTTAGGCGAGGAACACGATAATTCTTCAGACCCAAGAAACCATTGTTGACACCATTCAAACCCATTTTCTTGCCAATTTCTCCCACATGGACTCCCCGCAAAGGCGCATGAGTTTCTTCATCACGTATTTGAACCACAAACATGCCCAGACCCTTGGACTCGCCGTCAATATATAGCTGGGCCACAAAAATGCAATAGTTACAGGTTTGACCCACTAGAAAAAATGAGAGGTTATCCAAATCTTATTTATTTGTCGTGTAAAAGAAGACTTACATCCTCCTGGCCACCATTTATATGCCGTCAGTGTGGGTGTATTCAAAATAAACTCCTCTCTTTGGCGATCATAATCGGCCCTTGCCTCCAGACCTCTCAGATAGGTGCCATGACCCAACTCCGTTTGAGCAAAAGTGCCAATAATTTCATTATTATCAGCCCGCCTGCCAAATTTCTCATATTGTTCATCGGTACCCTGCTCCTTGAGGGCACGGGTGAACATGAGAATGTGAACACTCAAGGGGTTGCCACTGGGTATTAGGGCCGTAATGGCCTCATCACCCATTAGGGCTCTGCAAAATATCAATAAGAATTGTATTTGAACCATTAATATGTATTCACTTACGGATAAATATCGGAGCCACCAGGATTATAACGATCCTGCAGCTCTTTTAATTTCTTGGCCGCAGCTATGGCATGCCTTACAGACATTGTTGCCACATCTTTATAGGAGGCAAATTCAACATCCAATGGATCATCCACAAGTTCACAGGCCTCCTTTTCTGTAAATTATCAGAAAATGCACTTAATATACAGATTTCGGAAATTCTTTAGAGTTCAGTTCGACAAGTCTGAAGTTTGATTTTAATGTTTTTTTAAGTCTTTTTTTATATAGTAATAAAAAAGATAGAATTAATTATAATTTTTAACCGCAAAAACAATATTGGACCCCTAATATGTATTATTGTTGTATTATAGAAATATTAGAAATCCGCAAAATTGATAACCTGGAGTAAAAAATATTTGGGTGAACATTTGGACAGGTATTGATAAGGTTTAAGATTATTGAAGCAATAATTGTCATGTTTTTTACAAAATTTTCAAATCTTTATAGTCGAACTGAAGGTAGACTTTATAGACGAGCTAAGGGTCAGAGATTCTTTATAGGCAACCAGAAGGTCATCGAGTTTTTTAGATGAGCTGGGAGAGGTCTTTACAGGTGAGCGTCTTTATATACAACCAGAAGCTAACCGAGTTTTTATAGACGAGATGGGAGAGTTTTTACAGGTAAACTAACGGGAGTCTCTATAGACGAGGAGACGGGTGTTTTAATAAATTAGCCGAAGGGTATATTTATACAAGAGTTAAAAGGAGTTTTTATAGACGCGGTAAAGGGATAATCAAAGCCGAGCCTATCCGAGTTTTTATAGAGCAGAAGAGCTGAAAGTCTATATAGATTAGCTAAAGTTTATCGTGTTTTTACAGACGACCTAAATGGAGACTTTACAGACGAGCAAAAAAAATGTTCATAGACGAACTAAAGAAGATTTTCATAGGCGACCTAAAAGACAATAGGTGAACTAAAGAGAGAATTTATAGATGGGCTGAAAGGAGTCCGTATAAAATCGCTTCCCAAGTTATTTATGATGTCTGCAGTCATGGTTTGTTCCCAGCAACATCTCAACCCATCTTTCCATATTTGTGGATGTCATCAGGCTTCAGGTTACCCTTCAATTGGTGGGAAAATGGGCCAAAGCATCGGAAAATTGTAAAATCATTGGTGACTATGCTCAATCCGAATTGACCCTTTTATAGACGAGCAAAAAAAGTCTTTCATAGACGAACTAAAGGGAGATTTTCATAGGCGACCTAAAATACAATAGGCGAACTAAAGAGAGCATTTATAGATGGGCTGAAAGGAGTCCGTATAAAATCGCTTCCCAAGTTATTTATGATGTCTGCAGTCATGGTTTGTTCCCAGTCAACAGCAACATATCAACCCACCTTTCCATTATTGTGGATGTCATCAGGCTTCAGGTTATCCTTCAACTGGTGGAGAAATGGACCAAAGCATCGGAAAATTGTAAAATCATTGGTAACTATGATCAAACCGAATTGACCCTCAAATTAACGAGGATTAAGACGAGGATAGATTATGATCCAAAAAAACACAGGTTAGGAGGATGTAAGTTTCGAGGGTTTTCTTCCAGTGGGTCACACTACCAATCATTCCATTTTGGTGGCTCAGCTGTCCATTAACGGCGAACACAGGGGCATAAAAATGTTCATTGTTCAGGTGCGTGACTTGGAGACCCACATGCCAATGCCTGGTGTGGATATTGGTGAAATTGGTAAAAAAAAATCGGTATGACCGCTGTGAATCAGGGTGTCTTGGGCCTGAGGAATGTTCGCATACCTCGTGAAAATGTGCTTAAAATGCCAAAGTTATGCCAGTTGGTACATTTATTGAAAGTCTTGTTTCGAGCTATCCTATATGAAAATCGTCAATACACGGTGTTTGATTGTTAATATGGATGACTCCTATTTATTGGAGGATGCCATAGGTTATTCAGCTGTGAGGAGGCAAAGTTCATTCCATAATCCGAAGTACGTGGAGGATTTTTTAACAAGAGAAGGATTTAATAATCAAACGTTTGTTTTTTCCTTTCCAGTGATCCTGAACCCCCCAATTATGTACCCCGAAATTGCCACCGGCATTGCCTATCACCTATCGGCCGAGCACATGTGGGAATTGTATCATCGAACTGTGAATGAAATCAATAATGTCCAATATTCTTGTCATACTAATATGCCCTGTCTTGTGCCCTCAAGGCCCTATGAACCACTGATGCCTGTTTTGGTATTGAACTCTTGCGTCTATCATGTGGTCGTCATGGCATTATGGCTTTTTCCAATATTGGTAAGATTTATGGTAATGCAGAGGCGGTCTACACCTATGAAGGTGAAAATACTGTGCTCCTGCTGCAAATTGCCCCTTCCTGGTGAAAACATGATCATATTTGATTTAAGTTAAACATATATTACCCAGTTATGTTATTTGCGGAATGGACAGGAAACGAATTCGTTCCCCAAATGATATTATAGCTGGGAATGTATTGTAGAGGCTTTGAAATATGATTAAAAAATATGTTTCAGGGCGGTTTGTATTTATAGAACCAGTGAGCTGAGCAGTATAGTCGGACGGAGTCGTTCATACAATACCCTACACAACTGCCACGGAACTGTAACTTTCTGCGGATGTTTATTTCAATCATGGGCAATATGTCCGATTAGAGGTCAACAACACCCCTTCCTTACACTGATATATTTTCGGAATATTACTAATATTTGTTCAATTTCTTGTTCAGATTCCCTTCACCGTGGGTTGGGTTTTGATGTTCGGCTTTCATTGTGGCCTATAGATCGACTCGAGAAAAAACACAAAAAATAGGTTTTTGGTCCACTACATCCCAAATTATTATCTGATTATCACCGAAAATTATAGGCGTTGTCCTTGACCATAACTGGAATCTCATGATCGACTCAGCCAGTCGAGATATGACGATCGGTATACTTAACGGTGCGTCTAGAACCAATATTTCGTTACAAATACCCTGACAACATAGTTGTATAGGGTATAAAAATATGGGCTTTTTCTTGTGCTTCAAAAAATATTTTATTTTTAATGTTTAAAAATCCTCACCTATTATAATGTTTTTAAAAATATTCTTATGCTTCACAAAATATTTTTATAAATATCGACGCTACTTCTTATTGTTCAAAAAATATTTTTTTAGAAAATTTACGCCTATTGTAAGCCTATTTAAAAAATTCTATGACTAAAATATACGACTCTTTTTATGCTTTTAAAAATATTTTTAAAAAAATCTACGCCTTTTCTTACGCTTATTAAAAAATTTTGAAAAATATATATTTTTATTTTTTTGTGTAACTTATATATCATTCTTTCCTTTGAAATATATTTTTCATTTTGTTTGTATAACTTACCTATTATCCTTTTTCTTTCCAATTTCTCTTTGCAGCCATATAGCCAAATTGACATTTCCTCTGAACTGAAAGTGGCATTTTTACGCTCAATGGCAATATCAGGATTAACTGTCTTTGGTATTTCAAAATTTTCCATATTTTCTCTTCGAGGTGTTTAAAATAATACTTGTTTGCTGACAACTGAAATATTGTTTGAAAAAAATTCGATTGTTTTTGGCAATATGAAAGAAGTGACTGTTATTATTTTGTCACGAAAGCTTTAGGTCACTTAGCCAAAAAAACAAACGGCAATTGTACGTACATACGTATATAATATATATCAGTTAATATATATTAAAGTTATTTTCATGCAACACTGCAAAAAATCGATAAGGAGAGTTATTTGCATTCGCTGCACAGTGTTTTCAAGAAATTTAAAATGCAATCGATTCAAAAAGTAAATATATAGATTACAGTAATTATATGTAATTACTGCATATACATAACATATATCTATACTAATAAAAGAGTGATTGGCTGACTGACTGACTAATTTAACGATTCATCAACGCCCAGACGAAACGGTCCAAATGTGACAGATAAGGCTGGGTTTTTGGAAATTCGTACTAAAACGGTACGAAAAAATTTAACGATTCATCAACGCCCAGACGAAACGTCTGAAGCTAGAATCTTGAAATTTTGGGTGAGGGTCACCCTTGGTCCACAGATAAGGCTGGGTTTTTGGAAATTCGTACTAGAACGGTACGAAAAGTACTAAATGTGATAACATTTGTATTTGGCGAACCGGGGGAGCTAGAACTCTGAAATTTGGTTTGGTGGTCGTTGATTGAGTATAGGATAGATAGAGTGTAGGATAGATGTCAGGATTCAGTTTACGAAAATAATACTTATGGGTACTAAACCGATAGAGCTAGAATCATGAAATTTTGATTTAGGATCACTGTGGAGGTGTAGGATTGGGGTATGTAGAAGGGTTTGAAATTGGTACTACTATGTACTAAATTTAGTACGTTTTGATTTTTTTGGGTGAACCGAAAAAGTTGGAATCTTGAACTTTTGATTTATGAACACTGTGGAGGTGTAGGATTGAGGTATGTAGGAAGATTTGGAAATTGGTACTACTATGTACTAAATTTAGTACAATTTGAATTGTGGGTGAACCGATAGAGTTGGAATCCTGAAACTTGAATTTAGTATCATTGTGGGGGTGTTGGATTGGGGTATGTAGGAAATTTTGGAAATTGGTACTACTGTTTACTAAATTTGGTACAATTTGAATTGTGGGTAAACCGATAGAGTTCGAATCCTCAAATTTTGATTTAGGATCACTGTGGAGGTGTAGAATTGGGGTATGTAGGAAGTTTTGGAAATTCGTACTACTGTGTACTAAATTTGGTACAATTTTAATTGTGAGTGAAACGATATAGTTGGAATCCTGAAACTTGAATTTAGGATCACTATGGGGGTGTAGGTTTGTGGTAAGAAGGAGGTTTTAGAAATTCGTACTACTGTGTACTAAATTTGGTACAATTTAAATTGTGGGTGAACCGATAGAGTTTGAATCCTGAAACTTGGATTTAGGATCAGTGTGGGGGTAGGATTGGGGTATGTAGAATGTTTTGGAAATTGGTACTACTGTGTACTAAATTTGTTCCATTTTGAATTGTGGGTGAACTGATAGAGTTTGAATTCTGAAAAATGGATTTAGGATCACTGTGGGGGTGTTGGTTTGGGTTAAGTTGGTAGTTTTTGAAATTCATACTACTGTGTACTAAGTTTGGTACAATTTTTATTGTGGGTGAACCGATAGAGTTTGAATCCTGAAACATGGATTTAGGGTCATTGTGGGGTGTTGGTTTGGGTTAAGTAGGAAGTTTTGGAAATTCATACTACTGTGTACTAAATTTGGTACAATTTGAATTGTGGGTGAACCTATGGTGTAGGTTTGGGTTAAGTAGGATGTTTTGGAAATTCTACTACTAAATTCGGTAAAATTTCAATTGTGGGTGAATTAATAGAGTTGGAATCCTGAAATTTGAATTTGGAATCATGGGTTGAGGAGGGTAATTTTTTAAAATTTGGATTTGGGCGAATCTTTAGAACTCGAATCAGGAAATTTGGTACTTAATGGTACTCAAATTTAATTTATGGTTGATATCTAAAAATAAAGTAATATGTTAATATATTATTAAATATATCCTACATTCTAACGAAGTTGCGGGCATATGCTAGTATATATAGTAGATAATACCTCCATATATATATATATATATAATAATAATAAATAATAAATAATATGACCTTGTTTTTATTTAAACATGTTTTTAATTATTTTGTCATCGTGTTTATAAACTATTAACATATTAAATTATGCAACAACAATTGCTGTTTTTTTCACATTAAAATTATTTAAATAGCATTATTTATTTAATTTACAAATTATTTTACAATTTTCATTAAATAAACATAAAAACAAATAGTCAATACAATACATATATGTGAATGTACACACCCATAACAATTTAACTACTCAGTACATTTCTCTACATTTTCGATTTCATCAATGGTTTCAAATGCTTCTCGAATGAATCTTGTACGGGTTTCTGATTCATTGGACTCATTTTGGCAGCTTCGAAAATACGCTCATAAACATTACCATCATGGGCACCCAAAACCGAATTGAGAACACCATCGGGGAAATCAAAACCATCGGTAATAGCAATAGCTTCAGGACGTAATTTTTTCAATGCAGCCTCTAAACGATTTTGCAGGGATTTTACATCGCTCTCCGTTAAGGGGATAAAACGTAAAATATCATTCATATGACGCAAGGCGGTATGGACCAAGTACAGCTCGACCAATTGTTCCAAAACGGCTTTGGTGGGTTTCGACAGATTGGCAGTTTTAGGACCGGTGATTTGTTGCCAGAATATTTCGGCGACAAATTGACGACCATGGAGCTGGAAGGGGATTAGAAGCGAAACAAATTAATTAGGTGTTCAATAAAATATTAAAAAAATATATATTTTTTAAATCTACGCCTATTTGTATGCTTCAAAAATTGTTTTTTTTTAATCTATCAGTAAGGCCTCAAAAAATTTCAAAAACCAGTGACCGGATCAGTATAGACTGACTGGCCGACCATATGAAACCCTACACAACTTCTACCAACCTCTAATTTTTGTGGTTCTATACTCTGAGCCTGGGTAAAATTTCGAGATATTTGCACTCTCTTGGCCGATTATAGGTCAACAGCTCCACGTTCTAATCCTGGCAAATTTTCCAAATCTTTTTTTCCGGGTGTGAATATTTCTCCCATAAAATAAAAATGTGGTCACTTTAGGTTGTGGTTGATTTGACCCTTGGAATATTGACCGATCATCATCTAAACAGCCGTTCAAAATAATTGTTCAGATCCCCTTCACCGTGTATAATATCTGATGTTCTGCATAAAATAAGGGTCTCTAGAGCGACTATAAAATCTGACAAAAATAAAGATTTCGGTTTATTGCACCCTAAGCACCATCTCAACATCACCGAAAATGTAGGCATTGTCATTGGCCATAACCGGAATTTTTCAAAGCGATCAGCGCGACATTTCTGACCTCTGACATAGACACCTTCAAATGTTTACGTATAAACATTTGTACCATATAATTGGTATCTGTTTAAAGGTCAACCACGCCTCACGGATATACTATCAGCATCTCGGATCTATGTCCTTAAGGAGTAAATATATTCGCCATAGAATACAAAATTTGTCATTTGCCACACAAAAGTCAGGGTCCATTTGACCCGCTAAATATTGAACGATAGTTATGAAAACAGTTATGTTTATTCTTTGGCCTAATCCCCTTCTCCATGTAAAATTTCGCGATGTTTGGGCCATAATTGTGGCTTCTGGAGCGACCAGAAAATCAGTCAAAAATTAAATATTTGGTCCCTTTCATCCCCTAAATATCAACCGATCTTTACCAAAAATAGGGGTCTTCACTGGCCAGAACCCATTCTACATGCAAAATTTCGTCAAGATTGGTCCATAACTGTGGCCTGTATCGTGTTTACAAAATATAATGGACAGACGGACGGACACATCTTTACCAAAAACAATAGGGGTCTTCATTGGCCAGAACCCATTCTACATGCAAATTTTGGTGAAGATTGGTCCATAACTGTGGCCTGTATCGTGTTTACAAAAATAATGGACAGACTTACGGACAGACACACATGTCTAGATCGACTCAGCTAGTCAAGATATGACGATCGGTATACTTAAAGTTAGGTCTAGGACCAATATATTGCGGTTATGTTTATTCTTTGGCCTGATCCCCTTCTCCATGTAAAATTTCGCGATGTTTGGGCCATATTTGTGGCCTCTGGAGCGACCGGAAAATCAGTAAAAAGTAAGTATTTGGTCCATTTCATTCCCTAAATATCAACCGATCTTTACCAAAAACCATAGGGGTCTTCATTGGCCAGAACCCATTCTACATGCAAAATTTCGTGAAGATTGGTCCATAACTGTGGCCTATATCGTGTTTACAAAAAATAATGGACAGACGGACGAACGGACGGACACACATGTCTAGATCGAATCAGCTAGTCACGATATGACGATCGGTATACTTAAAGGTGGGTCTAGGACCAATATATCGCGGCGTTACAAACCCTGGGGCTGCACATAGTTGTGTAGGGTATAAAAATCTACGCCTATTGTAAGACTCGAAAAGGCTTCCACAAAATATTTTTTTTAAACATACCTCAGCTGCCTGCAGCAATTCAATACTACTATTATTAAATGCCTCGGGTTGTGTTTGTCCAGCCATCATTCTCTCCGAGAAGCTTTCAAAAGCTATGCGAGTTTTACTGCAAACAAAAAATATTTCAAATAATTTTTTGAAATCTTCCAATTCCAATGCCATCAAACTTACTGGGCAGCGGTATATTTCAAAGCCTCTACAATACATTGCCAGCTATCATTCCATTTGGGGAACGAATCCTTCTCCTGGCCTTTGCGCAAATATTCTACACTGGGTAACATTTTTTTACCCTCAATCAAATATGACCATGATTTCACCAGGAAACGGGCAATTTGTAGCAGGAGTACGGTGTTTTCACCTTCATAGGTGTAGGCCGCCACGGCATTACCATAAATATTACCAATATTGGCAACAGCCATGAAACCATGACCACCACATGAAAGACGCAAGCGTTCAATACCAGCACAGGCATCTGTCGTACATAGGGCCTTAAGGGCACACGACAGGGCATGCATTTCAGGAAGGCGAGAATATTGGCCATTGTTGATTTCATCCACAGTTTGATGATACAATTCCCACATGTGTTCGGCCGATAGGTGATAGGCAATGCCGGTGGCAATTTCGGGGAACAGTTTCAATTGTTGGGCCACATGATCCATAATTTGGGGTTCAGGGTCACTGGGAAGAACAAAAATTAATTATTCTTGTGGATCCTTAAAAATATAATCAACTTACTTTGGATTAATGGGACTTTGTCTCCTCACAGCCGAATAACGTGTGGCAATTGTGGCAGCCTCCAATAAATACGAAGCATCCAGATTAACAATCAAACATCTTGTATACACCATTGTCATATAGGACAGCTTCGATACAGGACTTTCAATAAATGTACCATCTGGCATAACTTTGGCATTTTTCATAAGCATATTTTCACGAGGTATGCGAACATTCTTCAAACCCAAGAAACCCTGATTTACAGCAGCCATACCAACTTTTTTACCAATCTCTCCAATATCTACACCAGGCATTGGCATGTGGGTCTCCAAGTCACGCACCTGCACAATGAACATTTGTATGCCCTTGTGTTCGCCGTTAATGTAAAGCTGAGCCACCACATTGGCATGATTGGCAGTGTGACCCACTGGAATAGACAAAAAAATAACTCCTCAATTAAAAATTCAAAAATTCCCCTTCCCTCTAAACTTACATCCACCAGGCCACCACTTGTAGGCCTGCAAACAGGGTGTGTTCAAAACAAACTCCTGTGTTTTGGGATCATAATCGGCCCTCGTTTGAATACCCCTGACATTGGTGCCGTGGGCCAATTCCGTTTGAGCATAGGTACCAATGATGTTACAGTTCTCAGCTGCCTTGGCCCATTTCTCTACCTGCTCCGGGGTACCCTGACCCTTGATGACATCCACAAACATTGTAATGTGTGTTGAGACGGGGCTATTGGCTGGGAACAAACCATGACTGCAGACATCATATAGGCCCTTGCTGAAATGACAGGGTAGATATTATAGACCCTCATAGAACCAGCTATTAGAAATATGTTTCAATACTCACGGCCATATATCATTGCCTCCAGGATTTCTTTCCTTTTGTAATTTCTTTAATTTTTTGGCAGCAATTGCTACTTGTTCCACAGCACGATTATAGACACCCTCGTGATCGAGATATTCATGTTTCAAGCCATAACCCTTTTCAAGGTCCTTGAAAAGTACGTGTTCTGAAATTGGAACAAAATGAATTGAGGAAATATTTTTAAAAAAATCTACCCCTAAAAATATGTTTAAAAAATCTACACCTATTCTTATGCTACAAAAGTCGATGACTATTGTATATTATTAATATTTTTACAAAATTTATGCCAATTTTAAGGCTTGAAAAAATATATCTTCATCACATCTATAGGTCATATTTTACGACTCCCATAAATACTCCTTTCAGCTCTTCTACGAAAAGACTCCCATCAGTTTTCTTATCTACCTTCCAACCACACCCACACATTGAAACCGCACAAAATCGTCTAATCATTGATTAAATATATATATTTGTTTGATAGTTTTCTTGTTAAATATGATAATCTTCTGATAAATACTGACCCTTGTATTCGTCTCTTGTATTATCAATCCGAAGTACAAACGTGACGTGTAAAAACACTTTTTTAACCCAGACATTTTTTTTATCAAATTCTCCACCTGTTCTAGACCAAAAAAACAACGAAACCAAAATGTTACTATGAAAATTTATTATCAGATAACAACAAAATCGCATGTTCGAAATTAATGTCAGTTCGGTTATATGTGTGTTGGTAAGGTATTAACTCTAAAAATCCACAAGTGCAACTAAAATTAAAAGTAAAAACAACAATTTTTTGTACAAAAATAATGCACTTCATATCGACGGTATAAAAAATTGAGTCATTAGAAAAAAAATTAATATGATTGAGGGACTCAAATCGAAATCTTTCCCAAATAGGCTAATGGGTGTCTTTCATAGACGAGTTAAATGGCGTCTTTCATAGACGTGCTGAAGGTGGTCTTTCATAGACAAGGGGAGTGGGTTTTTTCATAGACGTGCAGAAGGGGGCCTTTCAGATATTAACTGAAGGAGGTCTTACATAGACGAAGTGAAGGAGGTTATAAATAGACGAGCTGAAGGGAATCTTTTATAGACGAGTAGAATGCAATAAAATGGAATGCGAGCTGTAGGGATTCTTTGTAGATAGGCTGAACGGAGTCTTACATGGACGAGGTGAAGCAGAGTGTCATTGTAGACGAATTATAGGCCAGCCAAATGAATTCTGAAATAGAGGAGCTGAAGTGAGCCTTTCACAGAAGCTGGGAACCTTTCATTGCCATTCATAGACCAGATGATGCAGGAAGTCCTTCATAGAGAAGCTGAAGTAAAATGCGTTTTTCGTACTATTTCAGAAGGTATTTTATTTAGAGAAGGGTTCCGTAATGCTTTCTGTCTTTTGAAGAACTTCAAAAGGCATTTTGCGTCCTTTAGATGACCTTCTAGCTACAGAAGAGCTTCGTGAGGTCTTCTATTAATGGTAGGGTTACAGAATGTCTTTGGTATATAAAAAAGCTTCAGCGGGCTTCCTGTCTATAGACGAATTTCGGTCTACAGAAGAGCTTCAGAGGGTCAGCTATCTAGGGAAGATCTTGAGAAGGCCTTCGGTCAATAGAAGAGCTCCAGAAGCTCTTCAATCTATGGAAGGGCTACAGAATGTTTTCGGTCTATAGGAGAGTTTCACAGGGTATGTTGTCTATAAAAGAGCTTAGTATTTGTCTAACGAAGACTTTTAGAAGGTCTTCTGTCTGTAGAAGATCATCTGAGGTTCATATAATAGACCCTCTGATTCAGAAGTTCTGTTATTTATAGAAAAGCATATCCATCGATCTCTTCTATAGAAGAGATTCATTGTAGCGAACTTACTGAGATATATAGGTGTAGATTTTTTAAAGAATATTTTTCTGAAGAATCTTTTCTATGGGAACTTCCTTTGAAATAGTCTTGAATTTTTATAGATTTTTTCAGTGAATTTCCTCTGGCTCAGGCGTGAATTTTTATAAATTTTTTTTTTCAGTGAACTTTCTCTGAGATTGGCGTGAATTTTTATAGATTTTTTTTAGTGAACTTACTCTGAGATTGGCGTGGATTTTTTAAAGGTTTTTTTTTGAAGTATTTCCTGACCTATAGGCATGGGTTTTTAATGAATATTTTTCTCAGAAACTTATTGGTCTACAGACGTGAATTTTTTAAAGAATTTTTCTGAAGTATATCCTGACCTATAGGCGTGGATTTTTAAAGAAAATTTTTCTCAGGAACTTATATAGATTTTTTTCAGAGAACTTCCCCTGAGATAGGCGTGGATTTTTTAAAGATTTTTTTGAAGTACTTCCTGACCTATAGGCGTGGATTTTTAAAGATTTTTTCCAGAGCTCAGAAAGACCTATAGGCGTGGATTTTTAAAGATTTTTTTGAAGTGCCTCCTGACCTATAGGCGTGAATTTTTAAAGAAAAATTTTCTCAGGAACTTTAAAGAATTTTTCTGAAGTACTTCTTGGCCTATAGGCGTGGATTTTTAAAGAATATATTTTTTTTTTTACTTCCTCAGAAATAGGTGAGGATTTTTTGAACTTTTTTGCCTTCAGGCGTGGATTTTTAAAGAATATTTTTCTGGAGAACTTCATAAGGTTCAGGCGTGGATTTTTAAAGAAAACTTTTCTGAAGAACTTTCAGAGCTATAGGGGTGAGTTAAAAAAAAAACTTCAAGCCTTAGTCTTGGATTTTCAAGAATTCCCTCAAATATAGGCGTAAGTTTTTAAAGAATATTTTTCCGAAGAACTTCAAGAGCTATATGCCTCACTACTGAGAAAACAATGCCTCATTACCGAGGTCATATTTATTATAGAAAAAATGCCACATAACAAAGGTAAGATTTTTTGCTATAAAAAAATGTCTCATTACTGAAGCCAGATCTTTTTATAAAAAAAATTGCCTCATTACTGAGGCCAGATTTTGTTCTATAGGCAAAAATTGACTCATTACTGAGGTCAGATTTTATTTCTATAGAAAAAATCAGACATTTTTCATCTCTCCTTTGAAAAACTCCCTTCAGCTATGGACTAGCTTCAGCTAGTATATGAGAGACTTTCTGACCTCAGGTTGTCTATGAAAGACTCTCTGACGTCCTGATTTGTGATCTGCTATGAAAGAGCGTACATTTTTAAAGAATACTTCTCTTCAAGAGCTATATGCGTGAATTTTTAATTTTTAATTTCTACAAATATCGGGTTTTTCTTGCTTTCAACCCACTGTGTCTACACTACACGTGTCTATTCTCTTAGTTCACAAAGAAGATTGAGTATCTTTTAGTCTGTTTTTGACGAATTTATTATTGCTCTTGAACATAATTCTCACCAATTGCGAACTCATCTCATTTATCTCATAAATACACTACTACGACATTGTCTATGTCTCAATGAAATCGTAAACAAAAACAATAACAGAGAAACTATTAACAAAGAAGTGACCTTTACACCATCAACATCAACTTCTTCACAGCTCAGCTAACAGAAGAGATACGGCTATACAGGTGGACTTGTTATCTCAAACACTATTTCTTTTATATTTTTTGTTTTTGTAATTATCCTGTTATAAAGTTCAAATAGTTTTTAAATTCAAATAAATAATTTTTAATAAAAAGAAATCACTTCATTTATTTACCAATTTCACGTTTATTTTTTAATTTATCGGCACCACCATGGAACCACTGGGCCAACTCTTCACTGTTACAGCTGGCATTTTGACGTTCTTTGACAATATCGGGATTTGGAGTTGAGGGTACGATCGAAGTCATTTTGTTGTTACTTTTTTGTTATTTATTGATAGCAATGTAATAAATGTTTGCACTTGTACTTTGTGGAGGGAATTTATTTCGAAAATTGTTTGATTAATACACACGCACACACACACAGCAACACAATCCGCCCGGCACAAGACGACCAACCACTCTTTGAAACCGTGTTGTCACAACCGTCTCAATTTTTCAACTAAATTGTAGATTCATTGAGGCAAAAACTTTTATACCACCTAAAGAGTAAAACGATGTCAAATTTTATAAAAGCTTTTCAGAGAGGGAGAGAGAGTGTGAAATATAAAAATCGAAGACAGTGGTGAAAAGATAAGGCGATGGAGGTAATATAATCATTGGAGGTAAAATAAAAATACTTTTTATTTTATGTTTGATAGAATAGAACAGAAGACCTCTAGAACCTAGTCCGGAGATCTGGAAGTAGTCCTTGTAATTGAGCTGGAGGAGGTTATTATGGAAGAGCTGGAGATAGTCTTTATAAACGAGCTGAAGGGAGTCTTTATAGACAAACTGGAGATGATATTTACAGACGAGCTGGTGGGAGTTTTTTTATAAACGATCAGGATGGAGTCTTTGTAGATGAGCTGGAGGCAGTCTCTGAAGATGAGCTGGAAAGAGTCTTTATAAACGAGCTGCAGGGAGTCTTTACAGACGAGCTACAGGGAGTCTTTAAAGACGACCTACAGGGAGTCTTTCATAGACGAGCTGTGAAGGGAGTCTTTCATAGACGAGCTGAAGGGAGTCTTTCATAGACGAGCTGTGAAGGGAGTCTTTCATAGACGAGCTGTGAAGGGAGTCTTTCATAGACGAGCTGTGAAGGGAGTCTTTCATAGACGAGCTGTGAAGGGAGTCTTTCATAGACGAGCTGTGAAGGGAGTCTTTCATAGACGAGCTGTGAAGGGAGTCTTTCATAGACGAGCTGAAGGGAGTCTTTCATAGACGAGCTGTGAAGGGAGTCTTTCATAGACGAGCTGTGAAGGGAGTCTTTCATAGACGAGCTGAAGGGAGTCTTTCATAGACGAGCTGTGAAGGGAGTCTTTCATAGACGAGCTGTGAAGGGAGTCTTTCATAGACGAGCTGTGAAGGGAGTCTTTCATAGACGAGCTGAAGGGAGGCTTTCATAGACGAGCTGAAGGGAGGCTTTCATAGACGAGCTGAAGGGAGTCTTTCATAGATGAGCTGAAGGGAGGCTTTCATAGACGAGCTGAAGGGAGTCTTTCATAGACGAGCTGAAGGGAGTCTTTCATAGACGAGCTGAAGGGAGTCTTTATAGACAAGCTGGGAGGATTATTTATAGATGAGCTGGAGGGAGTCTTTATAAACGTGCTGTAAAGTGTCTTTATAGACCAGATGGAGGAAGATTTTATAGACGAACCTAAAGAGATATTTATAGTCGAACCTAAGATGGACTTTGTAGTTGAGACGGAAATAGATAGAAAAGAGTCTTTATAGAGGACTTCAGAATTTTTTCTGCCCACAGAATACCGGTTCGAGAAGAGCATCAGAAGGTGTTCTGTCAATAGAAGAGCTTAAGAAGTGCTGATATGTATAGAAAAGATTCAGAAGGCCTTCTCCCAATAGAAGAGCTTCAGAAGGTCTTCTATCCACAGAAGAGGTTTTAAAGAATATTTTTCTCACGATGTATTTTTCCGCCCGAGACGTGAATTATAAAATAATATTTTTTCAAGAATTTCTCGAGCAAAAGGCTTGGATTTTTAAAGAATATTTTTCTCAAGCACTTCCTCAACAATAGGCGTGGATTTTTAAAGGATATTTTTCTCAAGAACTTCCTCAACAATAGGCGTGGAATTTTAAAGAATATTTTTCTCAAGAACTTCCTCAACAATAGGCGTGGATTTTTAAAGAATATTTTTCTCAAGAACTTCCTCAACAATAGGCGTGGATTTTTAAAGGATATTTTTCTCAAGAACTTCCTCAACAATAGGCGTGGATTTTTAAAGAATATTTTTCTCAAGAACTTCCTCAACAATAGGCGTGGATTTTTAAAGAATATTTTTCTCAAGAACTTCCTATTTTCTCAGGAACGTGGATTTTTAAAGAATATTTTTCTCAAAACATCCTCAACAATAGGCGTGGATTTTTAAAGAATATTTTTCTCAAGAACTTCCTCAACAATAGGCGTGGATTTTTAAAGAATATTTTTCTCAAGAACTTCCTGAGTCTCAGGCGTGGATTTTTAAAGAATATTTTTCTCAAGAACTTCCTCAACAATAGGCGTGGATTTTTAAAGAATATTTTTCTCAAGAACTTCCTCAACAATAGGCGTGGATTTTTAAAGAATATTTTTCTCAAGAACTTCCTGAGTCTCAGGCGTGGATTTTTAAAGAATATTTTTCTCAATAACTTCCTTAGCATCAGACGAGGATTTTTAATGAATATTTTTCTCAATAACTTCCTTAGCCTCAGACGAATATTTTTAACTTCCTGAGCCTCTGGAGAATATTTTTCTCAAAAACTTCCTCTGAAATAGGCGTGGCTTTTTAAAGAATATTTCTTAAGAATTTCCTGAGTCTCAGGCGAAGATTTTTCTCAAGAACTTCCAGTGCGTCAGGCGAATATTCTTTTCAAGAAATTCCTGTGTCTCAGGCGTGGATTTTTTCGAACTTTTTTCGTATTTCATCAGTCATATTTTTTTTATTAAAAATCACTTAGAAAAAATAAATAAAGCTTTACAAATTTGATTTCATAAAAGGCAGCATATGACTATGGAACACCTCCGGCACAGGCTTCTTGTTCAACGGACTCAGTTTTGCCTCGGCAAAGATGCGTTCATAAACATTGCCATCATACGAGCCCAATGTGGAGCATAAATTTTGATCATGATGATCAAAACCATCACAAATGGCCACAGCATTTGGTCGTATTTTTCGAAGTACATTTTCCAATCGTGTTTGTAGATCACGCAGCTCAGCATCGGTAATTGTTATGGCCTGCGAAGGAAACTTTCTTAATTTTGAAAAACAATTTACAATGCGGGGTTTACCTACCCTCAAAACTTCATTCATATATTGCTGGACATTGGTAAGTAAAAATAGCTCCAATAAATTTCCCAGGACTTCATTAAATTCCGGTTTACGTGTTTGAGCTTTGGGACCGGTGACCTCCTCCAAAAATGTGCCGGTGACAAAACAAATGCCATGTAGCTACAGGGGAGAGGGAATTTAAATTTGGAATTTTGACATATTTTAGAGGAAAACATACCTCAGCCGCTTGTGTCAATTCAATACCGGTATTATTGTTGGCCTCTCCGGGAGATTGTCCAGCCTTCAGGCGAGCCTCAAGATTTTCATAGGCCAAACGGGTTTTACTGGAAATAAAAAAACAATTTTCAATATTTTTGCATACTATAGAGAAAGTTTATAATGACGGAATCCAAAAGTCCGAAAAAAGTTCTGCTATTTTGTTGCATCGTTTCTAAGCAACTTCAACTGTCTTCTAACCACTACTTACTTAGCCGAAGTAAATTGTAGAATCTCGATTAAATTCTCCCATGATCCCGTCCATTTGGGTGAATACTTCTGCCTAAAAGCTTCCTGCAAGTACGTGACACTGGGTAGCACCGGCTTGCCCGCCACGGCCTGCTTATAAGATTTCATCAGGAAACGGGCAACTTGTAAAAGTAAAACTGTATTTTCTCCCTCATATGTACACGAAGCGGTGGCATCCGAATATAAATAACCTAAATTAGAAGAGGCCAAATAGCCGTGACCACCACAGGCCAAACGTAAAGTTTCCGTCCCCGCCATCGCCGTTTTCGAACATAAAACTTTCATGGCACACGAGAGAACGTGAATCTCTGGTAAACTGGCGAATTCACCTTGTTGAATTTCTTCGGAAGTTTTTTGGTACATCTGAAACAGTTTTTCCGATGCCAATTTATAGGCAATACAATTAGCTATTTCGGGAAATAGCTTCTTTTGTTGCGTGACATGATCGATGATTTGGGGTTCGGGGTCCCTTGGGATAGAAAATATATTTTTAAACTTATAAAAATCTTTAAAAAAATTAAACATACTTCGGATTAATGGGACTTTGTCTCCTGACAGCCGAATACCTTGTGGCAATAGTGGCCGATTTCGATAGCACCAACGAAATATTATTCACAATAAAACAGCGAGCAAATACCATCGTAAAATAGGTCAAAACCGATGCAGGACTCTCTTCAAAGGTACCATCCCGATGAACCTTTGCATTTCGCATTAACATATTCGTGCGCGGAATGCGTACATTTTTCAAACCCAAATATCCGTTGTTGACCCCAGCAAAACCCATTCTCTTGCCAATATCCCCAATATCAATACCCGGCAGGGGCATATGGGTTTTCTCATCACGCAAAGGAACCAAAAACATGGCCACACCTTTACAGCTGCCATCGATATAGAGATTGGCCACCACAATGCAAAAATTAGCCGATTGGCCCACTGTAACATGAAAATAAATTTAATCTTTAAGGAAAACCCATGTTGGTCACCAAAAAATACTTACATCCTCCTGGCCACCACTTATACGATGATATGGTTGGAGTATTCAATATAAATTCATCGGTTTCACGATTAAAATCCGCCCGAGTCTCCAATCCTTTCAGATAGGTACCATGCCCCAATTCCGTTTGAGCGTAGGCTCCTCCAATTCTTAGTTCTTGTGCAGCTTTACCAAATTTCTCAAACTGCTCATCGGTACCCTGTTTTCGAATACAATCGACGACCATGGCAAAGTGTACAGCAAAGGGATTTCCGGCGGGAATGGCACCCCATACAATAGGATTGATCATCATTGTTCTAAAAATTTCAGGAAATTAATACATACATGGTGCTTATAAAAAGCTTCAAAGGTAAATGAAAATTTTTTCTCTTATGTCATGTAAAATACCTAAATTGAAGCTAGTTCATTGCTAGAAGATGAACCTACGTCACAGCATGGACCTATATTGACAATTTTGTTCACTCGGGGTATTAAACCCGAAATATTAAGTTACAGTCGTTTCGGTTGAAATGTGGCTATCATATTGAGAATATCGACGTTGATTGGAATATACGGCTAAAATCTCCAAAATACTGAAAATAGGAAAGTAATTTTATCGCCAGGTCCATCAAAATACCGAAAAAGGGATTGTGAGACATTAATTGGGTGACTGTACGGGAAATTGTATGGTAAAATATGTATTACCTAATAAGATTCCGGATTTTAGAACGAAGCCACTTTGATTGGAAAATTCGGCAAGGAACTTCAACAGTTCATAAGCAGTGAGCGGAGCAGTATAGTCGGACAGAGCCGACCATATGATACCCTACACAACTACCACGAAAATATAACTTTCTGCGGTTGTATATTCTGAGCCTGACAATATTTCGCTATATTTGCACCCTCTTGGCCGATAATAGGTCAACAGATTCTCTTTCTATCCTTGACATATTTTCCAAATAGTGTTTTCTCGAGGTGAGTATTTACATCATAAAATAAAAAGTTGGTCACAAATTTAAAAAAATCCCAAAAAAGTCTGTGACTTCTACGTCGCTCTACGAAGAAGATTTTTTACAGGTTGCAATTTTCAAATATTTCTTCACAGCTTAGAATTTAAGGTCAGTTTTAAAAGCTTTCATAATTAGAATATTTTCAGGTATCCCTACGAAAATGAAATATACTTACGGCCAAATATCATCACCACCCGGATTAAGTTCCTCCTGTAATTTTCGCAATTTTTTCGCCAGTCTTAGGAAATCATGTATGGTGGTGGTGTATATATCTTCGTGGGATAAATCTTGAAATCTTTTCGAATTCTCATCCATGTCATCGTAAATATAGGACTCTACAATAGAAAATTCAAAATGTTATAAAAATTCCTAGCATACCACCTCTACATCGTTAGCGGATAACCCTCAGCCTTATGGCTAATGAGGGTATATACTCTTTGATACGGTGAAAATGTGCCACATCGAAATATTGGTTTTTCTTTGGACCAAATCCGTTGCAGAAAATTTGGAGTCGATTTACACATGTCCGTCCGTCAGTTGTCCGCCTGTCTGTCTGGCTGGTGCCCAGTATAACTCTCGAAGGGAATAACCGATTTTATCAAAACTTTGCACTTCTTGATATTTCTTCCAAACTTAGTTTATGTTCGAATATCGGTCCACTCCCTCTGGTACCTCGCCCATAAAATGATCAAAATTGTGCTAAAAAAATAATTTTATAATAACATGCAAACGGACTTTCCGATTTTAACGAAACTTTGTACAACTTATCATCTTTACCAAGCCTAGATCAAGTTTGAAGATGGGACCCATTGATCCACTCCTTCTGGTACCTCCCCAAAAAAAGGTCAACATTTTTAATATTTATAAATCCAATATCAGGCGAATTGAATGTCCGATTTTAACCAAACTTTTCACAACCTATTATCTGAACCAAGAATTGATCAAATTTGAAAATGAGACCCAGTGATCCAGTCCTTCTGGTACCTCTCTCACGAAGGGTCAACATTTTCAATATTTATAAATCCAATATCAGGCCCATTCGCATGGTATTGGATTTATAAATATTGAAAATTTCTAGTTAGGACCAAGCTTTGCACAACCTGTTATATTTACCAGGTGTAAATCATGTCCGAAAATGGGACCCATTGGTCAACTTCTTCTGGTACCTCCCACACAAATACACAACCTGTTATATTTACCAAGTGTAAGTCAAGTCCGAAGATGGGACCCATTGGTCAACTCCTTCTGGTACCTCCCACACAAATGGACAACACTTTCAATATTTATAAATCCAATATTAGGCGAATGGAATGTTCGATTTGAACAAAATTTTGCACAACCTACGAGTATTATCTTTACCATGCCTAGATCAAGTCCGAAGGCCCGTCTGTCCTGTCCTCTGGTACATCCTACAAAAAGGGTCAATATTATATATTTGATCAACATAAAATCCGAAACATCTACTCCGCAAATCATAGGGTGAGGGTATATACCTGTCGGCAACACCGACGGACATTTTTTTACATGTTGCAAAATCCTCATTGTCGGTATTTTAGTATATCTTCGACATAAAGATCCAGCCCATTATTCATTATATCGGAAGTCGCTGCAGTATAATATATTTCTAATGGGTTTGTGAAAATACATTTTAAATTTTATAGATGGCAGCCAGTTAAAATAGATGATTGTCCTTTAAAAAAGAGAACGTATGGTCACCTTAACGATAGATGTATTCCGTTGTATCCGAGCTACTCTTTACATAAATATTTATCTGAAAGAACCTTCAAAATATTGAAAATCGGATAGAACCGACATATGGTGGCAATGCACTAAACGAAGATCTTCATCGATTTTTTGGTTGGGACCATATTGTAGAACCTTTTTTCTGCAGAGATCCCATATAAAGATGACACCCCACTCTTTTATTGTATTTTTAAGAACATATATACATTATGGGTCTACCAATTTAATATATAACTTATGATGGAGGGTATAGAAATCAGTAGCATATTCCTGCAATAGTGCCTTGAGTTTATATATTCGACTGTAAGTTAGTTTAATATTAAAACAGTGTAGCTTATTATCGCAGATCATTATTTTACCCCCATGAGTATTAAATTGTTCTAAAAATGTTTGATCGCAAAATACAATGAAATCTTATCGAAACTATAATGATTATCCGTGAGAAACACTAAACCAATTGGATTTTTATTCGTCTGTTTACCGAGCTTTTAATAAAATGTATAAAAATTTGCCACAAACAATTAATAAAATAATAATTCCTCACATATTTCTTAATTTTAGATTTTATTGCAAGAATTACAGTCTCACACAAATGTTGGTATGTTTCAAATTATTGCATTCATTTTGTCAGATTTTCTACATACAGTTTCGGCATTTTTACTAATTTTCATTAACAGTTTTTAAAAATCTGTATTTGTGATATTTTGATCAAAATGATTTCCTAATATCGGTTAAATATATTTTGAAAAATGAGTATTTCAGAATCTCGTTAATGTTCTTGTATTGATAAAATAAATTATAAAATATATCAAAAATTAATTTACCTATGTAACGTTTAAATTTCAATTTCTCTTTGCCGCCACACCACCACACGGCAAAATCTTCCGTATCAAATGTCGCCGCATTTCGTTCTTTTTGTAAATCTGGATTGATCGTTTTCGGAATAGAAATACCATTTGTTGACATTTTTTCTTTCGTTCGTTCTTTCTACTATTCACCACAAAACATTCGAACACAAACTAAATGCAAAATATTTAGGAGAAAGTCCAAATAGGCTTCCATTCCATGTTACGGTATGACTGCTCTTTGCTCCGTAAGAAAGCTTCCTCATTATCTCACATGTGTATAGTTTTTGTTGTTGTTGTTGTTTTTTTATATAAAAAATATAAATATATAAAATGTGTTTCATTGTACTTATCGTTAAGTGTTTTTGATAATGACATGTATATTTTTACGTCATAGACGCGTAATGTTATCAAAGAACAGCTGATCGGTAGTGTGTTTTAAAGAGAGGGTGAAAATTATGTTTTTAAGAGAGAGACTTAATGTTTTAAGTGATCTTAACATAAAACACATAACATTGTACTGGATTTAGTAAATCTAGTGGGTTTCAAATGCCAATTCCATTGAACATGTGCCAAATACATTTCCACAGACACGGTTAACTCTACAAAAAGGTATAATGTTTTAATCAGTGAAGCCTGCATCGTTTAAACTAAACTCTTCTACAAACATGGGTCCTGACCTTTGTCAATATCAAAAATGTTCCGCCAAGTCTTTTTTACAGCAACGATATTTTTTCCTTCAAGAACCTGAATTTCAAATTACAGGCTGTTCAGTTAGTCCAGCAATGTATAAACTATGATACCTAGAAATATCCCGCCAATCCCTACCAATGTTTTACATTTCAATTTATTAGATGATCATCTGTGGAACCAAAGGCATGGTTTGTCTTCAAAAGTTGCTTTAGTTAGTAATCGAATTAATATTCATTATTCATAATCTACCGATCCCTATTACTCCCTAACATTCCTTTTGCCGAATTTACCAAACGTGCTCTATTATATTCATGTGCGGGCTTGGCGGGCGATATAATAAAGCAGTAAATCTCTGACCAATGATTACTAAAATTTAAAATATCGATCGATGGTTTCAGATTTTCTTCTAGAATAGTTTTTTTGAGGTTCCGATACATATTTTCCCTCTATAAACACTAACTTTCTTATATTCAAGTGCAAGCTTTACTTACCTATCTGGCTTGTGACAGAACATTTGTTCCATAAAACGAGATTAAAAAAAATTTCCAGGCGCGTCGGTTTTTTCGAAATAGGCTGGCTTTGATATGCCTTTTGTGCTGGGGCATCCTCATCCATTCTCACAACACCTGACTATATCTATGCCCAATAATAGATCATACAGCTCATGGTTTATTCGACAACGATATTCACCTTCAACGCAGATCGGTGCTCCGAGAGCTGCCTCGACTGCTTGCGCAAGTACCCATGTTTCAGATCCATGTAACTGCACGGGTAGTATCAGCGTCTTGAAGAGTGTGTGTTTGGTCTGGCGAGAGTTAGCCTTATTTTTGAATTACTTACTCAGACCATAGTAGCATCTATTGGCCTAATGTTGGCATTCTCTGAATTTCAAAACTGATGTCAATAATAGTATTTATGGCGGTACTACATTGAAGCTGTAGTTTTCAAGTTCCACAGTTGGACCGAGTCTACTGGACGTCTTGCGCGTTGATACCATCAGCTTGGTCTTCTCGAGATTTACTGCCAGTCCCAATTTGGCCGACTCCTACTCAATTCGTACAAAGGTGACTGTTACCGCTCATAATGTTCGACCCATTATGTCGATGTTACACGGCGTAGGCGAGTGAACATATGTTATTTTGTGTACAGAGTGGCATTTTCGTTCACATTTGCATCTCGTATGACCTTTTCCAGCAGGATGTTAAAAATGTCACGCGATAAACTGTCACCTTGTCAGAGTCCTCGTTCGGTATTAAAGGGCTCCGAGAGGTCCTTTCCGACTTTCACTGCTGAACTTGTGCCACTTAAAGATATCCTCCATAGCCGTATTAATTTTGCAGGGATGTCAAACGCAGACATGACTTTAAACACCTCTGAGCGGATTGGGCTGCGGCTTTGAAGTCGACGAAAAGGTGAAATATGTCGATGTATTTTTCGTGGGTCTTTTCCAGGATTTGGTGAAGTGTGAAAATCTTGTCTATAGTGGATTTGCCAGGTCTAAAGCCGCATTGATAAGATTCAATAATATCACTGACAATTGGCTTCAGTCGTTCACACAACTGCTAGAAAGCACTTTATATGCGATGGGAAGGAGACTAATTCCACTATAGTTGGCACATATCGTCTTGTCTCCTTTTTTGTGCACGGGACACTCTATGCTGAGGTTCCAATAATTGGGCATGTATTCCTCTAGCCAAATTGTACTAATCAATTGTTGCATATCCTGATCAGCGTCTGACCACCGGTATTGAATAGCTCGGCTGGTAATCCATCGGTACCTGCTGTTTTATTATTCTTCAGCCGACTAAGTGATATTCTGACCTCATCTTGACTAGGTCAATCTATATCGTCATTTCTAATTAGTCCTGGGGGTAACTTCTTCAACGTTACTATTTGATAGCAGAAGCTTTGCAAAATGCTCCTTTCAAATCCTCAACACGCTGTATGTACCTGTCACCAGGTTTCCTTTTTCATCCCTACATGTGGATGTGTCTGCACCTAAGCCGTCGGTTTGGTGTTTTACTCGTTGGTAAAATTTCCGGACTTCATTCTGACTCCTGTACATCTCGATTTGCTCACGATCAAGTTTTTCTTGTTTTTCTTCTTTCTTTTGGAAATACGTTTCTCCCCTCCCCTTTTCTCCCGATAACTCTGGTGTTTTTTTTTTATCAAATTCTCATCGAAGTTTACTATTTTTCGCTAATAAGTGTTTTATTTTTGCGGGTTTCGACTGTGGATCCCATTATCATTTATAGTTATTTGTATGGTTCGTGGCTGTACAACTGTTCCCGACCTTATTTCAAGATTTTAGGGTAGCTTTATGGTATTATCTTTCGGATTTTTACCCACTTCATTCAGAATGAAACTAACGTCTCTTCGATTAAAATTCGTTGGGCGCCAAGTGCGCAGTTTGTTTTCGGTACTACCAGTTTAATTGTAGTTATTAATTATAATATGAATTGTTGATATGCAAAAAATTAATAACTTTGCTATTTCCCATAACGATTTTTTTGAGAACCTCAAAGGCTGCCATGATATGGGTGTAGTCAGTTTGTCTCCAAAAAATTCTCGATTTATAACGTCTTCAAACACTGTGCATTGATAGCAATAACAATATATCTGCTAAGTCATTGTTATATTGACCGATTTTTATCTATGAAATTTGGAAAATAAATAATGCAGTACTCACAGATTAAGAGCAATTGGAACTCTCTTAAAAATATATTTTTGATGTTAAAACAAAAATGAACATTAATGAAAAAAATTTTTTTAGTGAATTTATTCTCCATTTTACAATTTTATAAATATTAAAAAATTAAATAAAATAAACCATATGTTTACAAACAATTTTTTAAGAGAAATGGTTGGAATAAATCATATGTTTACAAATGAGCGAGACTGATCTGATCTTGCGATCGCAAGAGAGTTCGTCACGTATCTTGAAAAGCTCCATTGTCTTATCAACTAACAGCTAAGATAATGGTAAATCTTACACGACAAATGTAGCCTGGTGGCGATCAAAGAGCAATTTTTGTTTTTGTATGAACGCAACGGAACGCAGCACTTTAACATAGCACTTCGTGGTTAGTTTGTCTTCAGAAGTCGGAATAGTTAGACGCGTGCCAGTATTTAATCGGAAAAACGAAATAAAGAAATGAGTCTAATACCGAAAACTGTTAATCCCGATTTACAAAAGGAACGTCAAAAAGCTTCTTTCAATGTTGAAGATTTTGCTTTGTGGTATCATGGCGGTGAAGAGAAATTAAAATTCAAGAGATATTTAGGTGAGTGGCAGTGATCGGTAATGTTTTGATTTGGGTTTATTGGGAGAGAGAGAGAGTGAGAGATGTAAAAGTGTTTTATTGAGCTATCAACCAGTACTCTGTGAATGAGATGTCACCTAAATAACACAAGCTGTTTATTTTTGTAAACAAAAATATTTTATTGGAGTTATCTTTACGATACTTGAACGCCAAGGGGTAATATATGAAGAAAAAATTGTTATTACTTTTATTTGAAAAAATAAAGCTATAGATACAGATTTTGTAACTAAATACTTAAGTTGTAAATGAAACTACTTTAACAAAAGACAAACCAAAACTACATTTCAATAAATCTAAGCTTCAAAAAATTTAGAATCATTCGACAAGACAAATTATGGACCGTATTTATCGCCTACATACACGTTAGTTATAAACATTTAACTCTTATGGACAATTATGCCTCGAGGAAATAAAAAAGGGTGATTAGGTAAATATATTTGACATCGTGTTCTTGATTTATCGATTATATTCTTAAAAAACCTTATGTTTTGGATCTACAGTTCCGATTAGAATCAGTGACACAAGCAATTTCTCCTATGGATAGATGGTAACTACGGCTACGCGACCGAATCTCCTTTTAATTAGAAAAGTGTTTGTGGGTAGCCGACCTTCGGCCGGGGATTTAAGACTTTCTCCTATGGACAGGTGGCAGCTCCGGCTACGCGATCGCATCTCCTTTTAATTTGAATAGTGTTTTAAATTGATACCCACATTGCCTCAGTAAATGTTAAAAACCGTGAGAAAATATAAGGGTCCCAACGGAACTTTGGAGGCCTATATCTCCGGAGCCCAATATAAAAGAAAAAAATATATTAACAAAAACTTTTTTTAATAAAAAATAATGTATCCATATTAATTATAATATCTGAGTTATGTGAACGTAATCTGATACATGTTGAGTATATTTTGAATTAAAAAAAAAATTTTTTTGTTTCTTCATCCGTTCAAAAATTTAGTGCCACCTAGCTAAATCCAAAAGTAGACAACGCAATATCTTACAGAATCTAAAATACTTTAGATCGTGCTTCTTGTGACAATAAACCGAAAATTTATAAAGAAAATCGAATATCGACTGTAGATTTCTTCATGATCAAAATTCGACTTCGATATTTAGATTTTTTTAACATGGTACAATAATACAAGGTGGGGTATATTTTTATAACAACTGAAAGAATACACCTCTAACTTGCGGAATGTTGAGGCAGCATTTAAATCCGACTTAAGCGCCGAGGTACATAAAAGTAATGTATTGTCTTGTCTTTAGAAGAAGACTATAGAGGTGAATAAGTGGAAATTTTCGAAAGGTTAATGCAGTCATAAAATTTATGTGTGTGCAATGACAATAAAGAATTTGACAGAAGTCCTCACTCATTTTGTAATGTAAACAAATGGACACACTGATATGTAGGAACAAGTCAACCCTGAATGTGAACTGTGAGAATTGGTAGCCATTGTGTGTCTATGATTTGGATAAGTTAGATTAGTTTAAGTAGTTCTTAAGGCAAAATGTTTTACAATAAAATCAGAATCGAAATAACATCCAAAAGAATTGAGATGGGTCGTAAGCGCCTGCAGTTAGGTCTGATTCGAAGATAACCTATATCGAGTTTTTATTGTAAAGAAACTATAAATAGCTTCTGGAGAGAATATCCCAACAGTTTGGCTATTTTGCAAAAACAAAATAGTTTTCCTTGATTTGTATACCCTACACAACTATGTTGTCAGGGTATTATAACTTTGTGTAGCCCCAAGAGTTTGTACCGCCGCAAAATATTGGTCCTCGACCCACCTTCGTCATATCTCGACTAGCTGAGTCGATCTAGACATGTGTGTCCGCCCGTCTGTCCATTATAATTTGTAAACACTATACAGGCCACAGTTATGGACCAATCTTCACGAAATTTTGCGTGTAAGATGGGTTCTGCCGAATTTAATTTTGGATCTATTACTATTTTTCAGAAATTTTTAAAAACATATTGTTTTTTTATTAGTGAATTTTTATTTTAATATTTTTCAAGACATGGATTTTTATAGGCCTTTTGAATTAAACATTTTTTCTACAGATTTCCTTAAAATTTCAATGATTTTTCAGATATTTGTATACCCTTCGCCACACTGTGGTACAGGGTATTATGTCTTTGTGAATATGTTTGTAACAGGCATGGTTCCTTTTGAGAATATGCATAGAACCTCTTTCTGAGTCGATTTACGTATGTCCGTTCGTCCGTCCATGTATTTTTGTGAACAAAGTACAGTTCGCATTTATTATCCGATTTGGATGAAATTTGGCATAGGTCACTTATTTGGCCCAAGGACGAACCCTATTGAAATTGGGAAAAATCAGTTCAGATTTCGATATAGCTCCCATATATATTTTCGTCCGATTTAATGTAAATGGTGCACCAAAGTCCCTATATATCTTTCGATTTGCACGAAATTTGGCACAGCGTAATGAATTAGATCTATAATGATGTATGTTAAGTTTCCTGAAAATCGGTTCAGATTTAGATATAGATTCTATATCTGACCAAATGAAAAATTTAGTATCGGTTGCAGAATGACATGTTTATGGATCCAATTTCATGTTACTGGTTCTTTTAAAAATGCAACGCGTGTTAGGATTCATCTGTTGAATATACCCAAAGTGGTGAAGGGTGTCATATAGTCGGCCCCGTCCGACTTTACTACTTTCCTTACTGGTTTTTTAATGTTTTTCAAGGTCTTAAATCAAAGATTTGGACGATAAACGTAATAACTTTCAAGATTGGTCACACGAAGACATTTTCGCTGATGCTGTAAAGAATGGCATTGAATTGGCTAAAAAATTGCGAAAATTACAGGAGGAAGTAAATCCTGGCGGAAATGATATCTGGCCGTAAGTAAAAATATCTATACATATAGGAGAACGTAATTCACATATCTAGCAAGGCAAAGCTATCGGCATCCACTTTTACGGGACTTTTTTCCTTTATCCTCTTTCAGCGCCCTCTATGGTTGCCCGGAAACATGGGGTGCCATACCCTCGGGAAATCCATTCTCGGTGCATTTTGCCATGATGGTGGGTTGTATTCGTCAACAGGGTACCGATGAACAATACGAAAAATTCGGTAAACGTGCTGAGAATTTCGAAATAACTGGAGCCTATGCTCAAACGGAGTTAGGACATGGAACATTTTTGAGAGGCCTGGAAACCCGGGCTGATTTCGATCGTAAAACCGATGAATTTGTTTTGAATACACCAACAATTACTGCCTACAAATGGTGGCCAGGAGGATGTAAGCACCTTCAGATTTCATAGTGAAAATTTTATTGAAAAATCCCTTCTCTTTCCAGTGGGTCATGCAGCCAACTATTGTGTGGTGGTGGCCAATCTCTATATCGACAATGAGCCCAAAGGTGTGGCCATGTTTATGGTGCAATTGCGCGATGAAAAAACCCACATGCCTTTGCCCGGCATCGATGTGGGTGATATTGGTAAGAAAATGGGTTTTGCTGGTGTCAATAACGGCTATTTGGGTTTAAAGAATGTACGCATTCCGCGCACGAATATGTTAATGCGTCATTCACAGGTTTTGCCCGATGGCACATATGTTAAAAGTCCTGCCTCCGTTTTGGCCTATTTCACCATGGTCTTTGTTCGTTGTTTGATTGTGCGCAACAATTCGACCATGTTGTCAATGGCTGCCACCATTGCAACACGTTATTCCGCGGTACGACGACAAAGTCCCATTAATCCCAAGTAAGTGGAAGTATAGTTTTTTTTCGGAAAATTTTGTATAATTGTTTTTATTCCTTTTTCAGAGAACCTGAACCACAAATTATTGATCATGTTACCCAACAAATGAAGCTGTTCCCCGAAATTGCCACCGCCATTGCCTATAGGCTGTCATCGAACAAACTGTGGCAGCTGTATGATCAGACTGCTGAGGATATTAAACGTGGAGAATTTGGCCGTCTTCCGGAAATGCACGCCTTGGCCTGTTCGTTGAAGGCTTTGTGTTCCCGAGATTCCGCAAATGGTGTAGAACGTTTGCGTTTGGCCTGTGGTGGTCATGGTTATTTGGCTTCGGCAAATTTGGCCAATCTATATTCCGCTGCCACAGCTGCTTGTACTTATGAAGGGGAGAATACTGTATTGCTGTTGCAAGTTGGTAGATTCCTGATGAAATCTTGCCGCATGTTAATGGCCGGTAAGCCCTTGGTGCCAACAATTTCCTATTTGGAAGATGCCATTAAAGTTAATGGTCTTGAGCGTTGGACTGGTTCCTGGCAAAATATTCTACAGGCTTTACAAATTGCCACGGCACAGTAAGTTAGGCGGGGTGGAGCAATGCGGAATGATGGTTTTAATTTTCGATTTTTCTATTTCAGTAAAATTCGCATCACTTTTGAAAATCTAACTGCTCGCCTTAAGGCCGGACAAACCGAGGCTGAAGCTGCCAACAATACTGGTATTGAATATACACAAGCTGCTGAGGTAAATTGCGAACAAAAATGCCTTTCGAGTTCCTGAGAATTTTTCTGAGGATCGAGCTGAAGCTCAGGGAGTCTTTATAGACGAGCTGAAGCTCAGGGAGTCTTTATAGACGAGCTGAAGCTCAGGGAGTCTTTATAGACGAGCTGAAGCTCAGGGAGTCTTTATAGACGAGCTGAAGCTCAGGGAGTCTTTATAGACGAGCTGAAGCTCAGGGAGTCTTTATAGACGAGCTGAAGCTCAGGGAGTCTTTATAGACGAGCTGAAGCTCAGGGAGTCTTTATAGACGAGCTGAAGCTCTGGGAATCTTTATAGATGAGCTGAAGGGAGTCTCTTAGACGAGCTGAAGGGAGTTTTTATAGATGATCCGAAGGCCTTCTTTGTAGACGTTTTGAAGTCTTTAGGCGAGCTGAAGGGAGTCCTAATAAACGAGCTGAAGCTCAGGAGTCTTCATAGACGAGCGGAAGTTCAGGAAGTATTTTTATATGAGCTGAAGTTCTGGGAGTCTTTGTAGAAGAGCTGAAAGGAGTCGTTTTAGACGAACAGAGGGAGGCTTTATAGATGTGTTGGGAGGCGAGTTTAAGAATGTTTTTGTAGAAAATCTGAAGGTAGTTTTTGTAGACGATCTTCAGTCAGAGAAGTCAGGAATAAATCCGAAGGCCGTCTTTGTGGATGTTTTGAAGTCTTTAGGCGAGCTGAAGGGAGTCCTTATAAACGAGCTGAAGCTCAGGAGTCTTCATAGACGAGCTGAAGTTCAGGAAGTATTTTTATATGAGCTGGAGCTCTGGGAGTCTTTGTAGAAGAGCTGAAAGGAGTCGTTTTAGATGAACAGAAGGGAGGCTTTATAGATGTGTTAGGAGTCGAGTTTAAGAATGTTTTTGTAGAAAATCTGAAGGTAGTTTTTGTAGACGATCTTCAGTCAGAGAAGTCAGGAATAAATCTTTTGAAGAACTAACAATTACTCTCAGGCCTAGAGGACTGAAGTATCCTCAGTCTATAGGAAAATATAGCCAATTCATGTTGCTTGATTTTTTCTATACAAAAAAGTAAAATCAGTTTATCCGACTTAATTTTTCAATAGAAAAAATCACCGCAATTGAAAAGTCTTTTTTCTGAAGAAAGATGAGTGGTCTTCATCTACTGAGGCTAATTTTTTTTATATAAAAAAGTAACCTAATTTTTTTTTCTTTAGAAAAAGGGAATGATGTTAGATTTTTTATTCAAAAAATATATCTAAGAAACTTTTTTCTACAGAAAAAAATCGAACCCCAGAAGCCGGATATATTTTTTATTATTATTTCCTCTCCCCGCCTTTTAGTTACACGGCACCTGTTTTGTTGCTGCCACCTTCTTGGAAGAAGTAACTGGTTCCAATGCAAGGACCAGAAGTCCAGCACTTAATAAAGTTTTGGAAAACCTCTTGGAATTGTTTTTGGTTAATACTGCTCTAAAGAATATGCATGAGATTTTGAGAGTAAGTTCAAAAAATAATTTTCCAAATTCATATTTCTCAATTCATATATTTTTCTCCACTCAGGTTGCCAACATTACCGCTAGCGAGCTGAATGCCTTGCAAACCCGTTTAGAGGATGCCCTTAAGGCTTTACGCCCTGATGCTGTGGCTATTTGTGATGGTTTTGATTATCATGATCGGAATTTAAAGTCCACACTGGGTTCCTATGATGGCAATGTCTATGAACGAATCTTTGAAGAGGCCAAAAAGAGTCAATTGAACAAGAAACCTGTACCGGACGTTTTCTACAGCCACTTGCAACCGTTTATGCAATCGAAAATGTAACGGAATTTGATATAGGAATTCATGGTTCTACTTGTAAATAATTTGTATTGTTTAATTTTTAAATACTGAAGAATACATAAATAACCTCTGAGATAATACATAAATAACCTTTGATATAGGAATTCATGGTTCTACTTGTAAATAATTTGTATTGTTTAATTTTTAAATACTGAAGAATACATAAATAACCTCAGAGATTTTATTAAATCGCAAAAAAATACAATTGATAAATTATGGCTTATTGGAAAAACTGTAAGAAATGTCGTAGATTATAGATATTATTGAATATATTTTTAGTTGTACTGAAATTCCTCAGGCCAAAATCAGCATTATATGACGAATTTGTATAATTTTGGTATACTTGTGGCCTCTGATTATGCATACTGACTTACATTGATGAAGTCATCTTGATGATTCTATTAGTTTTCTGTTAATATGAAGAAGAACCTCCGTAGAGCTTCTCGCCACATATACGGACATCTATGGAGCTACTCACTGTATATAAGAACCACTATAGAGCTCCTCACCATCTATATGAACTTCTATAGAGCTCCTCACCATCTATAGGAACGTCTATAGATCCTCCTTACCACCTATACAGACCTCTATTGAGCTCCTCACCACCTATACGGACCTCTATAGAGCTCCTTACAACCTATACGGACCTCTATAGAGCTCCTTACAACCTATAAGGACCTCTATAGAGCTCCTTACAACCTATACGGACCTCTATAGAGCTCCTTACCACCTATAAGGACCTCTATAGGGCTCCTTACCACCTATACAGACCTCTATAGGGCTCCTTACCACCTATACAGACCTCTATAGAGCTCCTTACCACCTATAAGGACCATTATAGAGTTCCTTACCACCTATACGGACCTCTATAGAGTTCTTCTCCCCATATGCGGACCTCTTTTAATATCTTGTAGTTATATTAAGTTTGTACTATCATCCTCCTGGCCAAAATTTAGTCTGTAATTGTTGGGGTATTTTGCACAATCTAATCATGTTTTGCGATCAAAATCAACCCTTGTTTGTAAGCTTCATAAAAATGTTCCATACTTTATTTAACATATTTAACAACAAATTATTTATAAGAAATAAACAAATGCAGAAAAATCTACTTCTATGTCCCGGTTTACAAAAAATCGGCTAAATACATTACAAATTAGATTTCATAAATGGTTTCAAATGGGTGTGAAAAACTTTCGGGACAGGTTCTTTGTTCAGCGAACTATTTTTAGCTTCCTCAAAAATGCGCTCATAAACATTGCCATCGAAACAGCCCAATGTCGATAATAGATTACGATCGGGAAAATCAAAACCATCACAAATGGCCACAGCATTGGGGCGCAACACCTTCAAAGATTCCTCCAAGCGGGTTTGCAGAGAACGTAAATCGTCATCGGAAATGTCAACCACCTAAAATAGAAAATTGTTATTTAATAGATTATATATAAAAAATTGACCTTAACATACCCGGAATATATTATTCATATTGTCCAAGGCCATCTTCACCAAATATAATTCCAAAATATTTTCCAGTACCTTGTTCAGGGCTGGTGATCTAGTTTTGGCATTAATTCCAGTGACTTCTTGCAAAAAGTTAGAGGCAATAAAACATCGACCATATAACTGAAAATTCGGGAGATATTTTTTATATGACACCCAAATAAAATATTAAAAAAATACTCGAATAATACCTCTGCAGCTTGAGTCAATTCAATGCCGGTATTGTTGGCAGCTTCACCTTGTGTTTGACCAGCCTGCATGCGAGCGGATATATTCTCTAATGCCAATCGCGTTTTGCTGTATACAATAAAGAAAAATAAAAACAGAAACAATATTGAAAAATAACAGGAAATAAAACGAAGTTCCGAACCCCAAGTAATATTTTTATGACCTGGGGATATTTATCAGTGCAAAATATCAATCACTCCTTACTTTGCCGCTGCACATTGTAAAGCTTCAACAATATTCTCCCATGATCCCGACCATTTTTCCAATTTCATTTTTCCCAAATAATCCGCTGTCGGAGCCAAAGGCTGACCCGCCATTGCTTGCTGAGCAGATTTCATTAGAAATCGACCAACTTGCAACAGAAGCACGGTATTCTCTCCCTCATAGGTACAACCAGCCGTAGCTGTGGAATATAAATTGCTCATATTCGATGAAGCCAAATAACCGTGACCTCCACAGGCTAAACGTAAACGTTCTATACCCGCTGCTGAATCGGATGTACATAGAACTTTCATGGCACATGATAAGGCATGTATTTCCCCCAAGCCATCATATTTTCCCTGTTTTATATCCGCTTCCGTTTGATGATAGAGTTGACGTAATTTCAATGCGGCCAAACGATCAGCTATACAGGTGGCAATTTCGGGGAATAATTTCATTTGCTGAGTTACATAGTCCATAATTTTTACTTCGGGTTCTCTAAAAAAAAGAAAGGTGAATTAAATAATTTAATAAAAAAAAGTATACATATGTATAAGTAAGTATCGGAGAGGTGGTGTGTATAATTACCCTAGTATACTAAACATTAAGAAATACTAAAAAAATATGGACTACGCCATCTATAGGCAACTTTATAGAGCTCCTTTCCACCTATACGGACCTCTATAGAGCTCCTCATCATCTATACGGACCTCTATAGACCTCCTCACCACCTATACGGACCTCTATAGAGCTCCTCACCACCTATACGGACCCCTATAGAGCTCCTCACCACCTATACGGACCTCTATAGAGCTCCTCTCCACCTATACAGACCTCTATAGAGCTCCTCACTACCTATACGGATCTCTATAGAGCTCCTCACCACCTATACGGGCCTCTATAGAGCTCCTCACCACCTATACGGACCTCTATAGAGCTCCTCACCACCTATACGGACCTCTATAGAGCGACTCACCATATACAAAAACCTCTATATAACCCCTCGCCATCTATAGGAACCTCTATAGAGCTCCTCATCATCTATACGGACCTCTATAGAGCTCCTCACCACCTATACGGACCTTTATAGAGCTCCTCACCACCTATACGGACCTTTATAGAGCTCCTCACCACCTATACGGACCTTTATAGAGCTCCTCACCACCTATACGGACCTTTATAGAGCTCCTCACCACCTATACGGACCTCTATAGAGCTCCTCACCACCTATAAGGATCCTCACCATCTATACGGACCTCTATAGAGCTCCTCACCACCTATACGGACCTTTATAGAGCTCCTCACCACCTATACGGACCTCTATAGAGCTCCTCACCACCTATACGGACCTCTATAGAGCTCCTCACCACCTATACGGACCTCACCATCTATACGGACCACTATAGAGCTCCTCACCATCTATACGGACCTCTATAGAGCTCCTCACCATCTATACGGACCTCTATAGAGCTCCTCACCACCTATACGGACCTCTATACAGCTCCTCACCACCTATACGGACCTCTATAGAGCTCCTCCTCACCTATACGGACCTCTATAGAGCTCCTCACCATCTATACGGACCTCTATAGAGCTCCTCACCACCTATACGGACCTCTATAGAGGTCCTCACCACCTATACGGACCTCTATAGAGCTCCTCACCACCTATACGGACCTCTATTGAGCTCCTCACCACCTATACGGACCTCTATAGAGCTCCTCGCCACATGTCCCTCTTTGTTCCTCTTATGGACCAATTACACAAATATAACAATTTTTTACCCTCTCGTTGTTTTGGATTTCATAGCACAAAACCCCACTTACTTTGGATTAATGGATCCCTGACGCCTTACAGCCGAATAACGTGTTGCTATTGTCGTGCCTATGGCCAGCATTGTTGTATTATTTGCCGATATCCAACAACGTCCAAATACCATAGAAAAATATCCCAATGCTGCTGCTGGACTTTGAACAAATGTTCCATCGGGTAAAACTTGGGCGTGACGCATCAACATATTTGTGCGAGGTATACGAACATCTTTCATGCCCAAATAACCATTGTTGACACCATAGAATCCAAGCTTTTTGCCAACATCACCCACATCAATACCCGGCAGGGGCTGATGAGTCTCTTCATCACGCAGAGGAACCATAAAAAAGGCAACACCTTTGGGTTTATTGTCAATATAGAGATTAGCCATGACAAGGCTATAATTTGCCGAGTGGCCCACTGAAATTGGAAAAAGGATTACATTATTTTTCCTCTTTGAATCATATCAAATTCAGATGTACTTACATCCTCCTGGCCAAAATTTATAGGCCGTAATTGTTGGAGTATTTAGCACAAATTCATCCGTTTTGGGATCAAAATCTGCCCTGGTTTGCAGACCTCTCAAGTATGTTCCATGCCCCAATTCCGTTTGTGAAAATGCAGCACAAATTTCTAAATTCTCAGCACGTTTACCAAACTTTTCAAATTGTTCATCGGTACCCTGATTACGTATGGCATCGACGAGCATTGAAAAATGCACAGTGAATGGATTGCCACCAGGCATGGCACCCCACAATTCGGGGCCACTAAATAAACCGCTGTGAAGAGAAGATTATAAAAAGGGGTTTAAATAAACTAATAAAAGACAGAAGGAAAGGAAGAAAGTGGGATGGACCGACTATTAAGTAGACCACACCACTGCTTATAATCAAGATGCGCTCCTCAGCCAGAAAGACGTAGCATCAGCTATATAAACCCGAATTTATATATGGGAGCCTTATGGAATTGACTTCGAGACTTGTATGAAATGGGATGGATTTTTATATGAGAGCAGCATATAAATCTCAACCGAATTAAATCAAGTTTGACATTATAAACAAAATGCAGTACACTAGGTAAATTTTCGTACTATTGGTTCAATCAGTTTTGAAATTCGGAGAAGTATAGTTTTGGCCAACAGATGCTACTATGGTCTAAGTAAGCAGTTTATAAACAAGGCCACCTCCCGCCAGCCCAACTCACACTCTACAAGACGCTGATACTAGCAGATAAGGCAGCTCTTGGACTGTTTAAGAGAAATTTCTCCGAAAGATCTATGGGCCGATCAGCGTTGATGGTGAATATCGCAGTCGAATGAACTAAAGGTTGTTCCATCTACTCTCGGACATCGGCATTGTCAGACGTATCGAGCTGCAGCGAACACGTTGGCAAGGTCATGTTGTGGGAATGGAACCTATTGATGGCTCACGCAGAAGGGGAAGGCCACGAATTAGATTAAAGATCAAGTAGAAGAGAACATTTCGAAATATGCACGCAAGACCGACGAGCCTGAAAATCTTTTTTAAGCTCGTGGAAAGCTTAAGCTTATGGAAAGAAAGTTCTGTCACAAGCCAGCTATGTAAGTAAGTAAATACAGGTCGCATTTATGATCCGATTTGGATGAAATTTGGCACATGTCACTTATTTGGCCCAAGAATAACCCCTAATTAAATTAGAGAAAATCGGTTCAGATTTAGATATAGCTCCTATATATAATTTCGTCCGATTTAGGTAAATGGTGCACCAAATTCCTAATATTGGTCCAATTGAGACAAAATTTTGCAGAGAGTACTGAATTAGGTCTAAATTGATATATGCCAAGTTTTGTTAAAATCGGTTCAAATTTGGATATAGCTCCCATATATTGGATATAGCTCCCATAATGCCAATATTTGCCCGATTAAGACAAACTTTTACACAGATTACTGAAGTAGGTCCAGGTTAATGTATGCGAAGTTTTCTTGGAATCGGTTCAGATTTAGGTATAGCTCCCATATATAGATTCGTCCGATTTTAAGAAAAAGCGTCCTGAATATACCTCAGGACGAAGGGTATAATATAGTCGGCCCCGTCCAACGTTTGAGCATTCCTTAGTGGTTTTTATTCGACTTGTTATAAACCCTGAGCCTCAGTATGGTTGCAAATTATAAATATTCTACTAACGGCCATATATCCTTTCCTCCGGGATTTATTTCTTTTTGTAATTTACGCAATTTCCAAGCCAATTTGAGAGCATCTTCCATTGCTACTGCATAGATTTCTTCATGTGAGAGACTTTGTATACTGGATACAGTTTTACTTTCATCGATATCGGCAAATACAGATGATTCTGAAAGGATAAGAAATTTTAAACATTAGAATATTGGTTCCGATAGTCCTAGGATCGTCATAGATCAATGAATTGTAATGACACAAGTTTCCTCCGGTTGCTGGTTGAGCTCACGGAGGCCAGGGTCTTTTACAGAAATTTGTAATCTTGTGACTGAGAGAGTAACAACACAGATTGTTTGGGTTTTAATCAAAACTTTGGTTTATTGCTGGGTTTTCGGGGAGTTACAATTGTATATTATTGTATGTAGAGTTATTCTTTATTTAAATAAATACGTCCTTGTCTTGGCGTTGTGGGAGACCTGGATAAGTTCTCAAGTCCGAGATGAGAGCTCCGGAGACCTTGATAAGTACTCCATTGTTTCTGGCCGAATCCTTCATTGTTTCTGCTCGAGTCCTTTGTGGGTGACCTGGATAAGTACTCCCCCCTGTTAGCCCTGTTACTATGTGCAACTACGTATGGGGTTGTTTCCAAACTACTTTGAATACCGAGTTAATTCGTGGTCTTAACGGGTTAAATACACCGCGCCCAAGAGCTACGGACACTTCAAGGGGTTCTCAGAGGGTTAACTTTAACGGGCCCAAGAGTTGCGGACACTTCTAGGGTTCATAGAGCGTTAAATCCGACGGACCATAGAGTTACGGACACTTCAAGGGGTTCGTAGAGGGTTAATTCCGACGGACCAAGGAGTTACGGACACTGCAAGGGGTTCCTAGCGGTGTAAATTCCAACGGGCCCAAGAGTTACGGACACTTCAAGGGTTCTTAGAGGGTTAATTCCGACGGACCCAAGAGCTACGGACACTTCAAGGGGTTCTTAGAGGGTTAAATTCCAACAGCCCCAAGAGTTACGGACAGTTCAAGGGTTCCAGAGGGGTTGATTCCGGCGGACCCAAGAGTTACGGACACTTCAAGGGGTTCTCTGAGGGTTAACTTCAACGGGCCCAAGAGTTACGGACACTTCAAGGGTTCTGAGAGGGTTAAATTCCAACGGGCCCAAGAGTTACGGACACTTCAAGGGTTCCAGACGGGTTAATTCCGGCGTACCCAAGAGTTGTGGACACTTCAAGGGGTTCTTAGAGGGTTAAATTCCAACAGTCCCAAGAGTTACGAACACTTCAAGGGTTTTGAATGGGTTAATTCCGGCGGACGCGAGAGTTACGGACACTTCGTGGGTTCTGAATGGGTTAATTCCGATGGGCCCAAGAGTTACGAACACTTCAAGGGTTTTAAATGGGTTAATTCCGGCGGACCCAAGAGCTACGGACACTTCAAGGGTTTTTACACGGCGCGAGTTAATACTGACGGACCCGAGAGTTACAAACACTTCAAGGGTTCTATCGCGAAGGGACCAAAGAGCTACGGACACTTCTTATTAAATCATCGCCGTTAATGTTTTACCAGTTTTTATTAATAAAACAAGTTAAAGCTGTGGCAAGTTCGGTGGTACCGAGCATTTTTGTACCCCTCCACCACGAAGTGGTTATTCCAAATACGTAAAATTGGTTATTGTTGTAGCAGTTTATATGGATATAGTTTTCCTGTTTAAATTCAATCTGGTTCTGTCTCCAAGTTAAGAAATGCAGCTACTTCCACTGGCTGCAACCACAGCTCCGAGGACGGCATTCCTCAGAGCAAATGAGCAAACTTTTTGCGAAGACTTTTTTACCCAACAAGAACCTGTAATGTCATGATAACGGTTCAAAAATGCACATTCAACTTTAAATTACCTAAAGTGGGCCAGGATCATGAACCTATATTGAATATTTTTGATATATGATTCCGGAATATATAGCCACTCCTGCTGGAAAATGCATCTAAGCACTTCAAATAACCTAAAATGGTGCCGTACCTTTTTATAAAGCATGGAACTATATTGAATATTTTCTGATGTAAGATATAGTCATTCCAATTAGAAAATGCGAATGTAAAACAAGGACTCATATTGAATTTCGTTTAAAAAAAATTCAAATAGAACCATCAACATATCTATAATGGGACGGGACTATATACAGAAAGCTATATCGAATCATAAACCTATATTAAAAATTATCTATAAAAATATGTTTTTTATTCTACAATAAACCGATATTTTAAATAACAGCCCCTTCGATTCAAAAATGCGCCTAGAACCATGAAAATATATAAAATACGGTAGGATATTTATATGGGAGCTATGTTACAACCTCATTCTCATCCTCCATATAATTTTCAGTTTATAAAAAATTCATCAATGTTGTAAAATTTACTGTATTTTAAAGTCGTCTCTACCACCCACATTTTTTAAAATTTCATTGTTTAAAAAAGAGAGATCAAAGTACAAATATTTTTTTGTTTTCAAAATCAACATTCTCTTTTCAATTCAAGACTTTATCTCTCTCGTTCTCTAACTTACCCACATATCTCTTTCGTTTCAATTTCTCTTCGCCGCCATGCCACCAAATTGCAAAATCTTCAACATTAAATGTTGCCCGTTGCCGTTCCTCTTGAATATCGGGATTTATTGTTTTTGGAATAATACTGTTGTTGTTGCTGCTGCTGCCACTTGTTGCCATTGCTCGCCGTTGAATTACTGTCAAGTTGCGTTTCTATAAACGTTACAAGAAGAAAAATGAAAAAGATTAGATTTATAATCGATCTAATGAGGCCGAATACCTACAGCCAATTGAAATACTATTCTGGGTAAACGCATTCTAAATAAAAACCGATATGAATGAATGAAAATACGACGCGATGTTATGAGCGCGTAGACCACAACGAAGCAAATGACGACAACTGTTTATGTTGCTAAAAAAGAGCAGGTGCCCCACTCAATCATTGATTCCAAAAATCATACAAAGCTTTTTTGTCTCCCCAAATTACAGTGGTTATCTCAAAAAAATATAGCTATGTATGATAACAGAACCTTCAGTGGATTCAAAAAACAGACACAGTGTTTCGAAATGAACAACATATACAATAAAATACATCGATTATTTAAGGGCAAGGCGTGAATTAAATAAAAAAATATTTTAAAGGTCCCAAACAATGCATTGATTTTTAAAGAATATTTATTATAATGTTCCAAACAATCCGTGGAATTGAAATAAATGGGCCTGGAATTTCAAAAACTATTTTTAAGGGCCCAAACAGGACTTGGATTTATGAACGATTTTTTAAAAATATTTTTTGAAGACCAAAATCAAGGGTTTTTCAAGGACCCAAACAAGGCGACGATTTAAAAAAAAAATATTTTAATGAAAAAAATTTTAATTAAAAAAATTGTTAAAGGTTCCAAACAAGCCATAGTTTAAAAAAAAATTAGCGTGGATTAAAAAAATATATTTTTAAGGACCCAAACAAGTGTTGAATTTTTTAAGAATATTTGTTAAATACCCAAACAAGTCTTGGATTAAAAATAAAAATATTTGAGGACCAAAAACGAAGCCTGTTTATATATACCCTTCACCACACTGTGGTACAGGGTATTATGTCTTTGTACATATGTTTGTAACAGGCAAGAAGAAACATGATGGTTCCTTTTGAGAATATGCATAGAATCACTTTCTAAATCGATTAATGTATGTCCGTCCGACGGTCCATGTTAAATTGTAAACAAACAAAAATTTGGCATAGGTCACTTATTAGGCCCAAGGACGAACCCTATTGAAATTGGGAAAAATCAATTCAGATTTAGATATAGCTTCCATATATATTTTCGTCCGATTTAACGTAAATGATACACCAAAGTCCCTATATATCTTTCGATTTGCACGAAATTTGGCACAGCGTAATTAATTAGGTCTAGAATGATATGTGTTAAGTTTCATGAAAATCCAATTTAGAATACCCAAAATTGCGGTGGACTTTCTAATATTTTCTGAAGGCACAAAACAAAGGCTGAAGTTATTTGATTTTTTTTCTTTTTTTTTGAAATCCCAAAATATGGGTTCATTTTTTTTTTAAATTGGTTTTTTTGCAGGCCCAAACAAGGCATGGATTTTTTTAACGAATATTTTTTGAAGCCCAAAACAAGGCGTGGATTTTTTTAAAGGTCCTTGTAGGGCGTAGAGTTTTTAATGAATATTTCATACAGATTCTTGCAGGGCGTAGTGATTTTAATTAATATTTCATATAGGTCCTTGCAGGACGTAGAGTTTATTTAATGAATATTTCATATAGATCCTTGCAGGGTGTCGAATTTTTGATAAATATTGCATATAGAACCTTTCAGGTGTATACTTTTTAATGATTATATCATATAGGATCATGCAGGTGCGTATAATAATCCTTCGGATATAATTTTCAAATAGGTCCATGTTTTGACATTGCCTCCATATAAAGGTACAGCCCCGCTTAAGGTAATTTGATGGTCATTTTCCAACCTATGTTTCTTTAATTAAGTATTTCGAATTCCTAGTGGATAAAAAACTACTTCAAATTGTCAGTATAGATCCATATTTTAATATTGGGGCCTTTAAACCATTCCATTCTTCACTATTTTTATGGACCCAGGCACAATTTTCCATCGAAATTGCTGTAATTTGCATTCCAGTTTGTTGGTAATTTAAAAAATCTGTTGGCAGAACATTTTGAATGAACTATGTATGCCCCCATATATAGAGATCCCGCCCAAACCTAAGTAGATATAATTCGGTATTCAAGGTGCTTGCTGGGTACAAAACTTTTCCGCAGGCGGTTTTCAATATATGTATGTGGTTAGGTTTTGATATAGGCCCACATATCAACGTTCCGCCCTATCATCGTCATTTTCCATCCTAAATGTATGTAAATGTATAAACAACTAGTACACAATTCAGACCGAATGACCACCTCACAGCGGAGAGTAGAAAAAGTTCGGCTCGTCCAACCGTTTTTATTGTTCATTAAAAAAAAAACAACGAAAAAGAAAACCTACGTTTTTACTTATTATTATTTTGTAGGTGTCAGACAATCCCGACCGATTTTAGGCTCGTTAAATATCCACTTTATGGAGGAGAGTAGAAAATCTTCTATAAGTTCTGACTGTCTCGAACTTACACACTTTTTCACTTTCTCTAATTTTTCAGCTGTTCAATATGGATCCTTTGTCATGCATTTTAAAATTTGGCAACCCTACAAAATGTCCAACTCCTTTGCCATTTGTCATGTCAGCTGTTTGTGCCATATGTCCAGTCAACTTGTGGAGCCTTGTATAGCAATTTCTAATCGGGATCGCTCAAACATTTGTGGGTAAGATACATTTACAATTCCTTTCTTATACTCTTTATGGCCAATTGGGAATAACATTTTGAGATAATTGTACTAAAGATTTCATAGCTGTTTGATCGGAACCTCAAAACCCTACTGTTAAATGCTCCTAACTAACTCCATACGATGTTTGGGGCATAGAAATAATAAGGTATTAAAATAATATTCCTAAAACATTAAAAAAACGCGTCAAATATTGTTTAAAAGCTTTTTTCCTATTTGCAAATTTCTTTGTTCGGGAAACCATCGGTCGGTCGGTCTGTCATCAGATAACAAGAAAAAAAACAAAACACAAACAACTGATTATCGTTCTATTCTTTTGTGGCATTTGGTCGGATTTTTATGGTCCCACTCTTTGATATTTATTCTTAACACAGCCACACCGGTAAAATCAAAAGTGACACCCATACATTCAACCCAACCCGAACCCCCATTACTGGATAAAAATTTTCTCTGTTTATTTTTGTTGGTCTTTTATTCTTCTTCTGTTTTGCAGCAGTAAGAGAAATTGAAAAATAGAAACATTGGAGAATAGAGATAATAATGAGTGCCAACAACAACACCGACAGCGGCGGTCACGGCAATAACCGATGGAATAAATTTAGATTTTTAACTCAAACCCTGTTCATTCTTCTATTAGCCATGTCGGAATTGAAAACAACAGCTGAGGCGGCTGCCTATTGTACCAAAGATGATCGTTGTGTCGAACCATTTAAGAATTTGGCCCGCTATGACCATTATCGTATCTATAATGTGGAACTGGACACGGAGGAGCATGTTGAGCTGTTCAAGAAATTGGAAGAACAAAGTGATAGTTTGACATTCATTGGACATGCTCGTGAGGTGGGACAAAAATTGTCCATACTGGTAGCTGCTCACAAAGTGGCTGATATGGCCGATTTATTGGAACACTACAAGGTTAAACATCGTATTTTGGTAAGTTGGCAGAAGGGGGGTTGGGAAATGTCGACTTAATTTGTTCTTCTTCTGGGTACCCATACATTCAGAGATGAATGTCCATTTTTTAATTCACTGGAACAATATGGATATTTGTGAGAGTGTTTAGGCCTTTGTGTTTCAATCATTGCGTAGAACACATCTACACGACTGAATCTCCATTTAAATAAAATACTTTTTATTGGTGGCAATATCAGCTCTGCGACTGAATCTGCTTTTAAAAATAAAATATTTTGAGGGTGGCGAGTCTTCTACCAAGGATTTAAGACTGTACCCTATAGACAGATGCCTACACCGAACATTAGAAACTCATATTCTTGGTAATTACAGAGTTAATCTTTATCAGGATCTTAATAACTTCAAGGTGATGCCCATATTGGCAAATTTAATTTTAAAAGGAAAGTCAAGGGTCAAAACTGAACTTTGGGTCCATATCCCTAAAAGTATGTGTGAAAGACGTTAGAATGTCTTCTGTGTATGTAAGGTCCTTAGTAGTCTAGTGTGTGTGAAGACCTGTGGAAGGTCTTCTGTGTATAGAAAACCTTTAGAAGAAGGAATACCACTAGAAGGTAGTCTATATATAGATGTTACCCGACAGAATCTACTTTTAAGTAAAATACATTCGATGGCAAGTCTTCACGCAGGACAGATGCCAATATCGGCTACGCAACTGAATCTCCTTTTAAATTGAAAATATTTTGTAGGTGGCCAGTCTTCTATCGAGGATATAAAACTTTGTCCTATATACAGATGCCAAAATCGGTTATACCGAACTTTAGAAATCCCTTTTCTCAGTATTTATGAAGATATAATCGCGATTTTGAGAGCTTCAAAATGATACCCAGATTGCCATATTTAATTTTAAATCGAAATGCAAGTTCATTTCATAACGGAACTTTGAGGTTCATATCCCTAAAAAATGGGCTTCAGTGGTAAAAATAATTCAGGAACGGACCTTAAACTTGCCATAAATCTAATATTTTGCTAAGGTGGATTATGTTTTTGTTTTTCTTTTCAGACCTACAACTTCCAGAAGAAAATCGATAAAAATTACGCCTCTGTTCTGCCTGTGGGTACAGATCTTTCGAAATTCGATTGGTATCATTATTTCCATTTGGAAACAATTTACGAATGGTTAGAATCACTTGCCAAAAAATACCCAAATGTTGTCAGCATTTTGGATATTGGCACCAGCACCCAGGGTGTACCCATTAAGGGTGTCAAAATATCCCATAAACCGGGCAACAAAGCCATTTTCATTGAAGCCGGAATTCATGCACGCGAATGGATTGCACCAGCCGCTGCCACTTATCTCATAAATCAATTGTTAACCTCCACAGATGACTCAATTAAATCTTTGGCCCAGAACTATAATTGGATCATCTTACCCAGCATTAACCCGGATGGCTATAAATACACTTTCGAACATGATCGTATGTGGCGTAAAAATCGTCAACTTTTTGGTACCGCCCGTGGTGTTGATCTCAATCGTAATTACCCAGATCATTGGAATTCCACCGGCAGCAGTAGTGATCCAACACGTTATGATTTTGCCGGACCCTCGGCGGGCTCGGAAGTGGAAACGCAACGTATCATCAAATTCATTGAAGAGAATGTCGAAAAGGAACAAATTAAAGCCTATTTGGCTTTACATTCCTATTCACAAATGATCATGTTCCCGTATGGTTATACCAAGGATCGCGTGGAGAATTATGATGATCTTAAGGAGTTGGGACAAAAGGCCACGGAATCAATTAAATCGCTGACAGGCCGTGATTATGTTAGTGGCAGTATAATTGAAACGATTTATCCCTCAAGTGGTGGAAGCATGGATTGGGCTTATGCTGAGCATAAAATACCAATTGCCTATACATTTGAGTTGCGTGGCCCACCCGATAGCCAGGATATGTTTATACTGCCGGCAGAGGAAATTCTACCAACATCTCAAGAAGCATTTGCTGCCATTAAGACCATTATTGAAGGTGCAGAAGCCAAGGGTTATTTTAAATAATTTTTGTATGCCATTTTTTATTTTTGCGAGAAAAATCTCGATTTTCTAATTTTTTTTACTGATAAACTAGATGTGTGTAATCTCATATATTTTTTTATATATATTGTTATATTATTCTCAAATAAAACGAAAAGATAACTGCATTGATATACAAAAAAATTTTATGTCATTTTATAGTAGTTCCGTAAGGTAAACAAAATAGATATCAAAGCGTCTGGTGAGGAAATCTGTTGTTATTAATTGATGTCATCTGTTTTTCAGCGCCGTTGTAATGTGATTCCTTGGTGAAAGCCGCGGATCAAATATTGCATTTATTTGTACTTGACAATCTGAAAGCAAAAAAACGGAATTAAAGATAAATCGAAATTATATGGAATTTTGGGTTCGGCCTTACCATTTTCCATTAGAAACAGCATACGATCATAGAGTATAACACTTTCAATGAGCGGGGCAAAAAATAAACGCAATGTATAAAATATCACAATATTTTTCCAATTTAATAGATCCGTTTGAGTTATGCTAGTATTCAGGTCGCACAGTGGTATTGTGGCACAGGGTAAATCTTTGACTGCTTTATAGAAATAACTGGGAAAAAGCAAATGGTGTTTAAATAGTCAATAAATAGACAATATCGGTCTACTCAATGAAGCCTTTCCGGAACCCTCCAGAATGACTTCATTGTGTAGACCCTTGCCATTATATCCTCAGAATGTCTTCAGCACAAAGAAAGTCTTTTAAGGGTCATCTAAAAGTACAGGCTTTCTGGAGCCATCAATACCTTCTGTAGACATTCTATATACAGAAGTTATTCTTGAGGTGCATCTATACACAAAACACCTTCTAAAAGTCTTTTATGCAGAGTACTATATTCAGACTTGTTATAGATAGAAAAGCCCCTAGATGTCTTCATACAGTCTTTTTTGCAGAGAATACTATCTTCAGATTTTTTTATAGACAGAAAACCCCATAGAGATCTTCGTACAGAGTACAGACCTTTTAGGCTGAAAAGGCCTCCTAGAGTTCTACTATGCTCAGAATATCTTGTAGAGGTTTTTTATGATCAGACAGGTCTTCAATAAATAGAAGACCTCCTAGTGGCATTCCTCCTTCCAGAGTTTTCTATACACAGAAGTCATTAAGGTCACATAGAGGACCTTCTACAGGTATTTCATACACAAAAGGCTTTCCAGAGATCTTGAATACACATATCGTCTACAGGTCTAGAAGGTATTCTGTGTATAGAAGACCTTCCTTGCTTGCTCTTCTTCAGATTCCGACCACTGATCGATCCACTCCAAGCTTTAGCACCAACCGCTTCACCTTTGTCGCAAGGCGTAGAATCGAGGTTTGAGACAGAGCCCTCTACACGTTGATCACCCTTATGGATGACAGTTTGTGTCGGGATTTTCTCAGTAGCTTCGAGCTAGGCTTGGGATCAGAAGTCAGCTTCGAACCCTTGTCAGAGACAGTGGGCTTCGACGATTCCACTATTTCACTCGATTCAGTGGACTCCTTGGAGATTTTTGATCGAGGACTTAGATGCGGGAGGAAGATCCATTCAATTTGGAGCTCACGAATACTTTCGAACTTTCTTACGAATCTCATCTCTCGTCTCGCCCCACGAATTTGCGAAAATACGAAACAGCTTCCTAGTGTAGTGTTTCGCATCAGATACTTCTTGGGCATTTCTAACCTTTGAGCAGCTGTCCTTTGCTGGGCTCTCGATAGATTCCCCATCGTCGGCAAGTGCCGACACAGGACCTGTTGGAGTCAGAATTTAAGTCGGTCGGTCGTAAACCATGTGTAGACTTGGGCGGAATCATCGTGGTGTCCAGCTCATCATCCGTCAGAGTGAGATTTGGTAGCAGTTCCTCCGGAAGCGTATCTCCACGTTGCTCTTCCGGTACAAGTCTGTTTATTTAGCCGAAGATTTCTCTACTCTGCTCCTCTAAACTATCGCGGATAGCCTTAAGGGTCCCGTATAGGTCGTCCCCTCCCAGAACAACAGTCTTGTCCATCAATCTTGATTTGCTCGTTTGCCAATTGAATTGCCGGTTCGTCAACGTTATTCGGGTTTGAAATTAATGCGCTTGTAACAGATAAAGCTGCAGGTGCCAAGGTTTCCACGAAGTGCAGAGAAAAGTTGACCTAGGTCAGTTTCTCCCTGCACATCACGGAGACCCCTTTCCATCCGTCACCGGAAAGACGTGCCTAGTAGGAGATTCCCAAATTCCCTAGATGCTTTTTACACATAGAAATCCTACTAGAGGTTCTCTATATACAAAAGATTTTTTGTGGTTCTCTAGACATAGAATACCTTTTTGATCTTTTAAGGTCTTCTATGTCCAGAAGGTCTTTTAGAAATATGAAAACTATTCGTAGGTCATACATCCTAAGAAGATCTCCAAAGCCTACTTTTTGTCCACAGAAGTTCTTTCAGATCTTCAAAATTTCTTCCGAAGCTAGTCTGTAGTTAGAATTTTGCTTAATATATTTTTTAAATCACATTCACTCACTCCGCAAACTGCATATCCGGAACATGCTTGACACTACTCAAACGTGTATGCCTCAGCTCAGGATAGTGTTTAATAATAATTCGTTCCGTTGCCGCTCTAAACGAATGGACTTTCAGGTACTCATAATCTTTCAACGACAAACGTTCATGATATAATTCAATGGCATGACAGGATATTTCTCGGGCTTCATAACTTAACTTTGAACGTGAATTATTCGCACGTAAATAATTACTTAGCGGGTAGCCATAATCTCCACCATTGCAACATTCCGAACTTGTTAATTTCATATAACAACAACCGACAAAATTTAGAAATTTCGCTTGTCGACATTTTAGAAACATACGCATCAGTATTGCACCCAAATCACCACATGGATGTAGACCGATAATACCAAAGGTGTAGTTTTTATCATTTTCCAACTTCATATTTTTCTCTATGGTATGGAGAAATTCTTCCGAACTCATATCTGCTGTTAGACGGAGATCAACATGTTCGGGTTTTTGACTGGGTATATCGGGAACATATTTGCGTTTTAATTTCTCCATATTATCATCCATTTCATAGGCTTGTGCATTTAGCTTGGTTTGCATTTCCAAACAGCATACTTTAATATTGAAAGCGTAACCTAAATTTCTTGCCAAATGTCCCAAACCGGCACCAAAGTCTACAACAAAATCGACGGGATTTTCTTGGCATATATGTTTGCACAGCGAGGCCATAGATTCTAGTTCATGGCGTTTCTTGGGTTTAACACCCTTAATGAATATGTGTTTGAGTTTGGGATGATCCAGGAGAGTACTTCGGGGCAGTGATTCCTGAAAAGAAAAAAAATAAATTTTAAAAACTCATTCTTATCTTCGAAATACAGTCGAAATCGTTTATAAAGTAAATCATGGGAAGTATTAAATAAGGGGCATATTGGGACTTTTGGATGCCGTTCTTATATCAGAGATGCTGTCATAAACAAATTCGATTGTAAACCCTTCGATTTCTCTTACCCTACACTTCTGCTTTCGATCTATGCATAGCTCTTTAAATGCTTGCTTTAAGGCCAATATGGATAGTGGCCAAACCCTACTCGTTGTGGTGGATTTTGTACTATCGGTATTTAGGAGATAGCATAACTCTTCCGGTGGTAGGTCCTCAAAATATGTACGCCATGCTTTTGGTAATTTTCCCCAATGATCATCGACATAGAAATCCTATAAAATCATGCATATTTTTAATAATTGGGATTGACAATATATCATTGGTACTTACCAGAATATAGGAGTCTATTAGCCAGTCATATTTTCTAATTATTTGAAGACATTTATCTAATTTAGTTTTTAATGTGGCCTGTGTTTCCATTGTTTACACTTGTTCACGTTTATGTTCTCCAGCGCCTTTCAACAGTTCAGATCAGCTGTTCTTTGTTTATATTTAACAGCTGTTGCTTTAACAGGTGTTTTTTGTTTTGGCGCAAAAACAGTGATGGGCAATGTTGGTATTAGTACTAAATTCCAAATATCTTTATACTATAAATGTATCCTACTTTATTGAGAATACTTCGAAACGTCTTCCAAAAACACAAGCCCCAAACTACTGAAGATCTTCTGTGTACATAGGACTATCCAAAACAATTGAAGACATAAAATTAGTTACGCGCAGCCGATCAAGAGCTACCAACGCAGCAACTACGTGGGTGCAACATTACCCGGAATTCTTACTCCGGATTCTACTGGCCCGAGCCGGAATCGAAAAAATTCCCGGACGATGGTTAGATTTAGTTTGTCATAGCCACATCGATGATAGGACAATATCGGTAGGATACAACAGATGCTGATAATGGGTACATTTTATGACTTGTTCCGAAGCAGAGTAACACCTACAGTCTTCAAAATTGTGATGAATGCAACGAATTAAGATAGCATCGTACGAAATATGGTGGAGGAGGCTTAGCATTTATATTACGTCATTCTGTTCAGTGAAGACATATCTAGATTGACTCTAGTGACCCACGCATAGAATATATGGGAGTACCGTAGCCGTAATTTCATTGATGTTGAACCACCTTCCTATTAGCATATCCATCACTTCATATCCTCTGAACGCCGTACTTTCCTTGACCACAGGAAAGTCAATTGGCAAGAGTTCAATGTTCGGTTGCAGAAGGAATTTCCGGGGCAATTTCAATGCAGCCGCTAGCTGTATAGCTGCTGTTCGAATAGCCGAATTAAGACATAATCGGTATCGGATCGTCGCTCTCGAACCCAGAAAGGACGGATGATCGGGTTATGTGCGTGTTATTTTAATCGGAAATTCATAGAACATAACAATAGTGACAGAATGGGTGTATTCCAACAGATGTGGTTGTAATTTTGCATTCTGTGTTAATCCCATATTTTTGTATAATCTTCATAACACGGCACCACCCAACATCACCACCGTTCATATTTGGATATAGCTCCCATATACATTTTCATTCGATTCCATGCCTATAATACGATTGAATGAAGTTGATTCAGGAATAGTAGAGTCCACCAAAGATGATACAATTTTTAGATCGTAATTAGCAATAGTTTTGTAAGATTTTCTCAATGGACCATAGGTCTCGGCTTAGCATTAGTTTAGTAGAAACAATGAGATTTTCTTGAAATTTGTTCCACAGGTAGGCATTGTTACACAAATTATTATTATTATTATTTTTTTTTTTTTATTTTGGTAGTGTTGCCAATTCTCAGCTGTGTTGGTCGGTTACCCGCAGTAACGGCACCACCCAACATCACCACCGTTCATATTTGGATATAGCTCCCATATACATTTTCATCCGATTCCATGCCTATAATACGATTGAATGAAGTTGATTCAGGAATAGTAGAGTCCACCAAAGATGATACAATTTTTAGATCGTAATTAGCAATATTTTTTGTAAGATTTTCTCAATGGACCATAGGTCTCGGCTTAGCATTAGTTTAGTAGAAACAATGAGATTTTCTTGAAATTTGTTCCACAGGTAGGCATTGTTACACTAATTATTATTATTTTTTTATTTTGGTAGTGTTGCCAATTCTCAGCTGTGTTGGTCGGTTACCCGCAGTAACCCATGGTACAATTATAAAAGGTAACAGCAAATCCCAGCTGATTCGAATCCAACGTAATACTAGTGTCAATATAAATTTGACAAATTATGTTTTTAAAAATCACCCAACAGGAAAATTGGGAACGCATACAATTTGAAATTGTTCTTTATTAATGTGCTCCCGTATTCAATTTACTCAATCTGCCTGCTGGGAAAGTTTGAGGAAACAAATCTTTCTTGAAGGAATTACTCGCTATTCCCAGCATTGTCATATGTGTTACACACATATATGGCAATGGCTCAATTAAAGGAAAGATGTGGAAGCGATAGAAATATAAATTTGATAGATTTTCATTCATGTTTTTCAATTTTTATTTTGAGGATTCGAAAATATTCCATTTTCAAAATAAAAATAATTTGATGATAATTTGTATGTTTGTTTACATTTTTCTGTCAAATGAGTTGACACTAGTATAACTTACAACAATAAATTTCCATGTGGTTGTTGTATCGTTTTTTGTACAACAACACTTGCTGTTACCTTTTATTATTATACCATGGCAGTAACCATACACCACCACTAACGTGTTTATTGATAATTTACACTAATTAAGGAGATATATTTAGGGGACGTACTGGGATATTCGGGTATGGGTACCCGAAGCCGGTGTTAGTATCTGTCCACAGGATATTTAGGCTAAAAATATCTCCCTCTGGATAAATATGAAACCCTGCAAATACATAGAAAATCTTTTTTATTTCGCGAAGTGGGTATGTGTCCATAGGAGATATCCCCATAATTAGGGTGAAAAAATATCTCCATAGTTAGGAAAAAATACCTACCTTTGGATATAATGTCAGAAAAATCTGATCTTTTTTACTAAATTAGAGTTCTGCCTAAGCCTCTGAGTGTAGTGACCGCTAAACAAATCGTCTGCTGCCCTTACTATCCGACCTTTACAGGCTTTGTTCAAGATTTTTATATATGTTTGACTAATTTCATGTTTGACCACGCCGTTTTATTATTCAAGCAACAAAAAATTCTCTCCTATAGAAAAAGTAGACGGCGTCAAAAGCCTCTTTCGCGGCTTCATACTCTTCAAACAGCTGTTGTGTAATATTTACTTTTTGTTTTTGTTCTTTGTTTTTATTCTGTTCTTTTGTCGAGATATGGCTTAAAGACAAATCGTAATATTTATAATTTATTAATTCGTGTAAAATCTGAAATAAATGATTAAGTTTCTAATAAAATTGTGTGAGCTTTATAAATTACACTCTCTCTTTCATTACATATACATTAGAGAGAGAGAGCAAGTATGTGCACAAAGCGGAGAGAGAAAGAAAGAGAAAATGTGTTTACCCATCGACCCTCAGTTACGGTAGCGTATATGGCCGAGCATGCCTGCATTAGAGAGAGAACACAAAGCGGAGAGCTGTGAATTGACGTGATTGCGAGTTGTTGTTTTTTGTTGTGATAAGATCAATGAATATAAATGGTGACAATTGGAGCAGTTCATAAACAAATATAACCAAATATATTCCGGAATTTGTGGTGATAAGCGTAGTGGCGGACCCCCCTTCACTCACTCCTACTGTTCAGCTGGTTGTTATCAAAATACATACATATGTATATACACCAGTTGTTGAATGTGTGAATTCCATCCAGTCAAAGGTCTCCGCTGCTGCGGCCAGCTACTACTGTAATTACGACGTTGGACTTCTGTTCGAATGAGAATTGTTTCTTAACTTGATGCCACAAAGCTCTGTTGTGTTCAGTTTAGATTGTATTTGGGCATACAACAAGTTAGACAGCTTTACCGGTTAACTTGTTTTGCTTTTGAAAACATTATTGGCATCTGGACATTGGCGTTACGATCAGTCGAAACGACAAAACAGGCAAAAACAAGATTTTTTGAATGGTTATTGCACATCATATTAATTCTAGAGTTTGTGTGTGACTGGCGGAGTGTACTAAGAGACTGTGGTGTGTGCGCGCGAGTGTATATCTTACTGGGTGTAAATATTGTGAAAACGAAATTGTGAAACTGCATCTATCGTATACTAATAATTCCACAACAACAACAAAAATCTAAAATAATCATTAACAGATACAAAACAACGATAATGAGTGCTAAAATTAATCCCGACTTACAAAAAGAACGCAATACCGCCACATTTGTGCCCAAGGAATTCACAGTTTGGTGGAAGGGTGGCCAAAAGAAATATGAACAGTTACTACAATTGGGTAAATATTTTAATTTTTTACTTATTTCAAATCAGTTAATTTTTGTATTCTTTATTATACATTTTGTATATTCTCCTGCAATTATTCCGATTCTAATTTCCTTTGTTTAAAATTCAAACATACTCGTTATTATTTTAAATAATAATTGTAGTAGTATTGTCCACTAATGTGTACTTGACCGAAATTTTTATGGATTTGTTTATTATTATTCATCGATAGAGATTTATTTTGCATTAAGCAGTTTTTGTTTTTTCAAAAACGCTCTCGAAGCAATTGTAAATAGTTTTTTTTGTACAGAATCAAGTGTTTGTTGTTAAGTTATTTTGCTGATGGGGAGATAATTGCAAGTGACTGGCATTTTTTATCTTTGTAAAATAATTGGCAATATAAACCGGAAGGCCAGTTGAAAACAAAAAACTAGGGCCAATGATAAGTGAATTTTTTCGAAGTTCATTGTCTGCATTTAGGGGAAGGGGTACATAAAAGTCATGGTCCAATAAAATATATGAATATGGGTTTAAAAAATGCTTTGTTGCATGCACCTCAAAGTATTGTTTCATATACAGGGAGTCATTGATTCGAAAGGTTTTGAGGCACATAAGGCCAATTTTGCCTTTTGATGACATACTTTTTCACTTTTCTAAAAGGATATAAGTGGGTTACATTTGTGGTTTAAACAAAATTTAATTGAATAAAAATTCCTTGGTTTCAAAATAAAAAAAAACTGTGTTTTTTTTTTAATGTGGATTGCACGTCAGTATTTAAAGATCTTCTTATTTCTAAACCGCTTCGAAGAAAGACAATTACCCCTTCCGGTTATTTTCACATGTCATTTATTTGTTATTTAAAATATTTTTAAAAAGTTCAAATGTAACGTGTTTTATTAAATTAATGACTTTACAATTTGATGTTTAAATTTAATTAAAAAAACTTTTAAAATCTTGGATAGATAATTGTGGGCAAATTTAAAACATTTAAAGAGTTTTTAAATAATACGATATTCATGAAATAAATCCATGTTTTCTTAAAGGTCCCCAAAAAACTCATTTGGTAATTCAATTCTTAAAGGTCGCCAAAAATATTAACTAAATAAATCCACGTTTCTTAAAGGTTATTTTTAAATAAACCCACATGGTCAAAATATTATTAAATGTTATTTAAAATATTTTTAAAAAGTTCAAAAATAGTAACGTGTTTTATTGCTGTAATGACTTTACAATTTGATGTTTAAATTTAATTAAAAAATCTTTTAAAATCCTGGATAGATAATTGTGGGCAAATTTAAAACCTTTAAAGTTTTTTTAAATAATACGATATTCATGAAATAAATCCAAGTTTCTTAAAGGTCCCCAAAAAAACTCATTTGGTAATTCAATTCTTAAAGGTCGCCAAAAATATTAACTAAATAAATCCACGTTTCTTAAAGGTATCTAAAATATTCCATTAATGAATTCACACTTCTTAAAGGTCCCTAAATGATTCATTTAAATAAATCCACGTTTCATAAAGGCCCAAAAAATATTCCTTAAATGAACCACGTTGTTTATAGGTCCAAAGTATTCGTTAAATAAATCCACTCTTAATTAAGTTCCCTAAAATATTCATTAAATAACTCCACGAATCTTAAAGGTCCCCAAAATATACATTAAATAAATCCACGCTTCTGAAAGGTTTCCAAAATATTCGTTAAATAAATCAACGTTTCTTAAAGGTCTCCAAAATATCTATTTAACAAATCCATGCCTTTTGTAGGTCCCTAAAATATGCATTAAATAATTCCACACTTCTTAAGGGTTCCCAAAAATATTCATTAAATAATTCCATACTTCTTAAGGGTCCCCAAAATATTCATTAAATAATTCCACTCTTTTTAAGGGTCCCCAAAATATTCATTAAATAAATCCACACTGCTTAAGGGTCCCCAAAATATGCATTAAATAAATCCACACTTCTTAAGGGTCCCAAAATATTCATTAAATAAATCCACACTGATTAAGGGTCCCCAAAATATTCATTAAATAAATCCACTATTCTTAAAAGCCCTCAAAATATTAATTAAATAAAGCCACGCCTCTCAAATGTCCCCAAAATATTAATTAAATAAACCCACACCTCTTAAACGATCCCAAAATATTCATTAAATAAACCCACACCTCTTAAACGATCCCAAAATATTCATTAAATAAACCTAACCTCTTAAACGATCACAAAATATTCATTAAATACGCCTCTTAAAGGTCCCCATAATATTCGTTAAATAAATCCAAGCTTCATAAAGGTTCTCAAAATATCTATTAAATAAATCCATGTATTTTGTAGGTCCTCAAAATATTCCTTAAATAAATTGAAAACTAGTCGTTAAGAAATCCTCGCCTTTTTTTTTGGTCCTTAAAAAATATTCTTTACGAAATCCTCGCCTTGATTTGATACTCAAAAAATATTCTTTAAAATTTCCGCGCTTTGTTTTGGTCCTTGAAAAATATTTTTTAATGAATCCACGCTTTGTTTTGGACCTTGAAAATATTCTTTAAGAAATCCATGCCTTGTATAGGTCCCTGAAAATTATTCTTTAAAAAATCTACGCCTTGTATAGGTCCTTGAAAATATTCTTTAATGAATCCACGCCTTGTTTTGGCCCTTGAAAATATTCTCTAAGAAATCCACGTCCTGTTTTGGTCTTTACAAAAATATTTTTTTAAAAATTCAGTACTTTCTTTGGTCCATGCCATTTTTTTTAAATACACTCATTGTCCTTGAAAAATCTACTTTAAAAATCAACGCCTTTTGTAGATCTATAAAAAATAGTCCTTGTCTAAGTTCTACAAAATTTTTCATTAAAAAATCCACGCCATGTTTTAATCATCGAAAAATATTCTTTAAGAAATCCACGCCTCAGGGCTTGAAAATTTCCTTAAAAATGCACGCCTTGTCTAAAGACTTAACAAAATATTCTTAAAAAGTTCACGCCATATCCGAAGATTTAAAAAAATTTTCTTTAATAAAAACCCACTTCTTCTTTAAAAAAAATATTAACTGACAATAAAAAATCCACAGCCTAATGTGCATTCCAAAAATAGTTTAAAAAATCTACGTCTTAATGAGAATTCAAAACGTATTTTAAAAAATCCAAGTTTCGCTCATTGACGCCTTGTTTTAGGACTTAAAAAATATTCTTTAAAATGAAAATTGTCTCATCTGACTTCGATCATTTTATTATCGCTTATTTTTATGTTTTTTTATTGAAAATTGATAATTTCTCAAACGTGATTTCAACAATTAGCTTGTAATCATTGCAAAGTTCAAAAACAACAGTTGCAGCAATGCAAACTGGTATACGTGCAAATTTAAAAATTAACCAATTATGAAAACAAAATATATTTTTCATTCTTTGTTCCCATAAACAGGAACATTGTGCAGAACTCACTAATCGCAAAAAAGTCGAAATATTTGTTTTGATTAAACGATAAAACTATCAATGAAACACTCTAGAAGGGGGCTTATAGAAATTTAGCCTAATCTTATCTGATAACATGAATGGGTTAAGTGGCACCCAATCACCCCACGACGTGATGGTGTTGGTGTACTACAACAACATGATTAAGCGTTCAATTTCTATTTTTATAATAAGGCAATTTGCAAATGTAAAATAAAAACGGTTTATCAGCCGGGGTACAAGAAAAAAACTACCCCACGTAATATTCTTACACGTTAGATGCTTGAGATTATATTCCACTATATACAAATACTTTTCAATTAATTCCACAAACATCCATTGATAAGCTTATAAATCTTCGTTGCAAAGATAATCGTTATCATCGAAATCAAACTATACCCCTGGGGTAAAGTTTAAAAATCAAGTGGCTAATCTTTTTTGCTGTTGTTGTTGCTGTTCTTGTAGACCAAACGCTAATGACATGCAAAACTTTTGTTTGTTTCTAATTATTCAAATAGAAATGGCTAACAGAAAATAAAAGCCAAGAATTTCATAATATATTCATATAAATGTACATATTTATTGTTTGTTTGAATATTATGATGAGAAAAAGATGAAACTTGTTCATAAATTGCATCCGACGTAGCAATGAGTCAACAGATTTATTCCCACTTAGCAGCATTTTTTAATGTCTGGCTAACATAGTCCACTAACTACACAAACCCCTTCTCCCGCACATAACAATAGAACCAAACGTCCATGTATAGACTAAAACATCGTATTTAGTAGTTATTCTGTCTTTATTAGCCCTTGTTTCTGTTTAGACCTGTCTGTTTGTGAGCTCTTGTTTTACCTTGTATTTAAGCCTGTACATAGTTTAATTACTCCACATTTTATTGTTGTTGTTGTTGTTGTTAATAATTCTAAATGTACTATTAAAGTGGAATGTTTTGATTTTGATTTTAACGATTCCCAGTTAGATAACGAAAGGTCATTTGACAATGACATTTACTTTTTGTGAGGGCTTCTTGTGAAATTACAAGACTCGAAAAGCCCGACCAAGACAATTCTGTAATGACTTCATTAAACAAAACAGTAATGTATTGTAAAATTTAGATTAGGTTTATTTAAAATAAAATAAGTACTGGGAATTTATTCATACACTATTAAGCCAGAATTTTTGTAAGGATATTTTTTTTAATCTAAAACGTAGGTCCTTTTAAAAAGAAACTACAACAACAACTAATTCGATTATCACATTTTTCTACTTGCAGAGGATATATTCCTTAACGATCCCGAATTGAAAGATGATCTCCCAATTTCTTATATGTCACACAAGGAGCTGTACGAACATGCCGTGCGTAAATCTGTACGAATTGCCGAGAAGATTCGGGAAATCCGCGACAGTGGCGAAGATAATGTTGAGGTCTATAAGTAAGTCAAATAACCCATAAAAATAGGAGTCTTTGAATTCGTCTTTAATTATATATTTTTTCTCTTTTCAGCGCTCTTCTAGGTGGTTCCCTTGGTACTGCTCTGCTCAAAGAAGGCAATCCCATGGCATTGCATTTTGTTATGTTCGTGCCCACGATTATGGGGCAAGGTACCATGGATCAACAAGTTGAATGGCTACCCAAGGCTTGGGATTGTTCCATTATTGGTACATATGCTCAAACAGAATTGGGTCATGGTACATTTTTGCGTGGCCTCGAGACACGGGCCGATTATGATGAAAAGACACAGGAGTTTGTACTGAATTCACCTACTCTAACTTCATACAAATGGTGGCCTGGAGGATGTAAGTAATTTTCAAAATTAGTATTCTTTTAAAAAAATAATTCTTATTTTTATATTCCTTTTTAGTGGGTCACACCGCCAATTATGCTGTGGTCGTGGCACAACTCTTTACGAAGGGCCAATTCCGTGGTCTGGCACCATTCATTGTACAAGTACGTGACGAGGAAACCCACATGCCAATGCCGGGTATCGATATCGGCGAAATCGGCTCCAAATTGAGTATGAAATCGGTGAATCAAGGTTATTTGGGTTTCAAAAATGTACGCATTCCCCTCAATAATATGTTGATGAAAAATCAACAGGTCTTACCCGATGGCACCTATGTACCACCCAAAAATTCCGTTCTCACTTATGGTACAATGATGTTTGTACGTGTTGCCTTGGTACGTGATGCTGCCATGGCATTGGCTAAGGCGTCAACAATTGCCTGTCGTTATTCAGCTGTACGTCGTCAGAGTCCCATTGATCCCAAAGAACGTGAACCACAAATTATGGATCACACCACCCAGCAATTGAAAGTATTTCCCATAATTGCCAAGGCTATTGTCTTCAAGGCAAATGGTGAAAATATTTGGAATATGTACAACACAATTACCGCCGAGGTGGAGAAGGGTGCCTTGGATCGTTTGCCAGAAATGCATGCTTTGTCATGTTGTCTAAAGGCTATTGTTAGTTCAGATGCTGCTGCCGGTGTTGAGACGTGTCGTTTGGCCTGTGGTGGTCACGGCTTTATGGATAGTTCTAATTTCCCCACATTATATGGTATGGCCACAGCCGTGTGTACTTATGAAGGTGAAAATACTGTAATGTTGTTGCAAACCGCTCGTTATTTGGTTAAGGTATATGGTCAGGCATTGAATGGTGTTAAATTGGTGCCAACCGTAGCCTATATTAATGAAGCTATTAAAACGAAAAAGTTTAATAGCTTTGATGGTTCTCTTGAGTCGATTGTCCGGGCATTCCAATTTGTGGCAGCAAAGTAAGTTGAAAAGAGAAGTAATCTTTTGTCATATAAAATAATGAAAATGTTTGGATCTGTCAATTTTTTCTTTATCACAGCAAGGTGCGTATTGCCTATGAGCGTATGGAACAACGTCGCAAGCAAGGTTATGGTCCAGAAGTAACTGCCAATATGTGTGGCATTGAACTTACCCAAGCAGCTGATGTGAGTATTAAAAAATTGTCACTAAATCATCATTAACAAATGGCCTTCAAAGTACATGGCTGTGCCTCCTTGAAAGAAATTCTTTAAAATATCCATCCTAAAAAAATCTCTATTTATTGGTTCTTGAAAAAATATTTTTAAAATATTCAACAACTCCTGGTCCTTAAATATATTTTTTAGAAATAGCTAATCTGCTGTCCATTTAATTTTTTTTTAGAAAAATTCAACCTCTGTCCTTTTAAAAAATATATATTTTTTAGAAGAATCCAACTTGGTAGTCCTGGAAAAAATATTCTTTAAAAATCCACGCCTTGTGTGCATCCTTGAAAAAATATTCTTTAAAAAATCCTCGCCTTCTTTTGGTCCTTCAAAAAATAATCTTAAAAAATCCACGCCTTCTTTAAAAAATCCTCGCCTGTTTTGGTCCTTCAAAAAATATTCTTTAAAAAATCCACGCCTAGTGTCCTTGAAAAAATATTCCTTCAAAATCCTTCAAAAAATCCAAGCCATGTGTGGATCCTTCAGAAAATATTCTTTAAAAAATTTACGCCATCTTTAAAAAATCCTCGCCTTCTTTTGGCCCATCAAAAATTTTAATTTAAAAAATCTACCCCTTATTTTGATCCTTGAAAAAAATATTCTTGTCTTACAAAATTTTTGTACTAAAAATTATTGTTTTTTTTCGTGTCTTACAGCTCCATGGTCGTGCTTTCTTGGCCTCTTCTGCCCTCTATGAATTGACCAAGCTATCTTCACAAGTTTCCAAGGCCTTGGCTGATGTCTTAATGGTCATTTTGGAATTGTACTTAGTTGATGCTTGCCTTAACCGCCTTGGTGATTTCTTGAGAGTAAGTAAACCTGTCAATTTTATTAGGTATTGAATTTTAATATCCACTTTTCTTTCTCTCCCCCAAATTAGTTCATTGATCTGACCGACACGGATGTCAGCAATTTGGAATTACGTTTACAAAACTGCCTTAAACGTCTCCGTCCCAATGCCGTTGCCATGGTTGATGCTTTCGGTATTCACGATCGTATTTTGGACTCCGCATTGGGTGTCTACGATGGCAATGTATATGAACGGATCTTTGAAGAAGCCAAGAAGAGTCCGTTGAATCAGGAACCCGTCAATCAATCATTCCACAAGTACTTGAAACCATTTATGAAGGCAAAAATGTAAAGGGTTCCAGTACTAAAAAATGTGATCATTATTATTGTACATAGTATTATGTATACGCATGTGTGTGTAATTAGTGTAAATAATTGTTAATTTTGTTAAAAATAAAATGGTTGTTTTATATGTTTTTTATAAATAAATAAAAAATAAAATTTTATAATATGAAAAAAATAAAACTTCTTTGATTTCTTAGCTTAAATGCATATATTTAATATAGACTTTTTTATTTGTTCATAATTTATAATAGGATTCAAATAGAATTAAATTGTTTTCAAATTAACATAAAAAATTGGAATTTATACATAATTTATTTACAAATGTATAGAGATCGTTAGTTTAGTTTTCGTAAAAAAACGGAATTATTTAAAATCATTGTTGTAAAAAAGTTCAAAGGAGGAATGTGTGATCATAGTCTTTTTTGTTGTTGGCCTTTAACAGGAAGTGGTGATGTATATTAAACTCTCTCCATTTCATTTATAGTTGGTCCTTAGCAGTAGATAAATTCATTTGTTCTGATTTCGAGCAATAGCAATAATTTTTTTTACGAATTGGATAAAAGATTTAAATTAAAATTAAATGTATATTTCCATATTTCTTTTGTTCGTTATATTCATCATCATATTTTTTGCTATACATCGTACGGGATTGTTTTTTGGTTTGTGGTTCCATATTTTTGTTTTTTTTTTCTAATTCTAAGCAAATTGTGCACTACTAAGGCTATTTGTTTGTGTCTCCGATTCATCCTCATCGCTGTCGTTTTGATCGAGTTTTTCAAACCCACTTCGTTTGTTACGTTCCATCAGTAGACCGCCCAGTTTGAAGCCATCCGGTTTGGCGGGAAAATCCCAGGCGTGACGACGATTATTGCTGCCAAAGGGCATGCAACCTGAAAGGAAAGAACAAAGCATGTTTTTTTTTGAATATTCAGATTTTTAAAAAATATCCATGCTTATCGCTGTAACATCCTTTCAAATGTGTTCAAAACTATTCCAAAAAACTTTTAAAAATATTCAAATAAATTCTCAAACAAATAAAATATTAAAACTAAAATTTGATTATACACGCCTGTAATAGACCCACAAAAATGTCCTTGAAAAAATCCATGTCTGTAATAGACCCTCAAAAATGTCCTTGAAAAAATCCACGTCTGTAATAGACCTTGGAAAATGTTCTTTAAAAAATCCACGCCTATAAGAGACCCTCGAAAATGTTCCTTACGCCTATAACCCTCAAAAATGTCCTTGAAAAAATCCACGCCTATAATAGACGCCTATAACCCTCAAAAATGTCCTTTAAAAATCCACGCCTATAAAAGCCCCTCAAAAATGTTCTTTGAAAAATCCACGCCTATAATAGACGCCTAAAACCCCTATAATAGACGCCTATAACCCTCAAAAATGTCCTTTAAAAATCCACGCCTATAAAAGCCCCTCAAAAATGTTCTTTGAAAAATCCACACCTATAATAGACCCTCAAAAATGTCCTTTAAAAAATCCACGCCTATAAAAGCCCCTCAAAAATGTTCTTTGAAAAATCCACACCTATAATAGACCCTCAAAAATGTCCTTTAAAAAATCCACGCCTACAATAGACCCTCAAAAATGTCCTTTAAAAAATCCCCGCCTATAATAGACCCTCAAAAATGTCCTTTAAAAATCCACGCCTATAATAGACCCTTAACATTTTTTATAAATTTCACGCTCACTTAAAAAATCATTAACAAATCTACGCCTGTAATAGGCCCTTAAAAATCGTTATGAATTTCACGCTGACTTAAAAAAAGGCTCATTAAAAAATTCACGCCTATAAACCCTCAAAAATATCATTTAAAAAAGCCACATTTATATTTTTTAACAATTCACGCATTCTAAAAATATTCTAAATAAATGACAAATATTTTAAAATAAATGGATGAATGTTGTCGGGACAATACACACAGGACGAACATGCAAACAATAAACAAATGAAACAAAAACAATAACATAATGTTGAAAATTAAACATTTATTTTTAAAAATATAAAAAAAGTAGATGCCAATATGTGTTTTTGATAAATTACAAAACAAAAAAAGGTAAATAAAATAAATTTGAAATGTTTTCAATAATTACAAAATATATGTATATGTAAATATAATTTAAATTATAGGTAGGTACATACATGTATAAATTAAAAATGATCATAAACTATGGAAGTAGTAGTACAGTGACTCACAAATAAATCGATGCATTTATTGAACAGAAGGTAAGCAAAGGCATGCAAGCATTTTTCAGTCTGTGGTAACGCTTCTGTGAGAATATCATCACAACGGAACAAAAAAGAACAAGAACGGAATGACTATTGGAATTAAAACAAATACAACTGTAACATGATGAAGCAAACTAGATTGGTAAATTAAACTTACAAAGAAAAAAGGACATACAAAAAAGTATATAAAGCTTTTTAAAATACACACATTATGATGAACGTACAAATTAAAAAAAATACGAATAGATTTTTTTTGATTAAGTAGCAGCCTTATTAAATCAAAGAAGGAAAAAATTATAATCACAAAAAATTAAACATTTAAACATCATTAGTAATGACAATGATAAAAATGATGCATGATAATATTGTTGTTGTCGATATATCTAAGGCAAATCTTCGGAAACATTTTGTGCAGAGGCTACCAATTTACGATAGACCAATTCACTGGGCTGACCCACACTTAAACCACCCGCATTACCTCTTCGACGCCTTCTGGCTATCAGCAATGCCATGGCAAATGTTAGAAAAGCAAAGAGTAACATCAGGGAGGCCACCAATATAGCTGTGGCTCCAGGTTTATGATGTCCCGTCGACGCCGAAGAATCATCATCTGTCGCCATCATCACGGCCATGCCACCATCAGCAGTCAGACCAGCTGCTACTGTTAAATTTCCAGATGCCTGAATTTTAACATCTGCACCTTCAATGTTTGCTCGAGGTTTGGCGGCTGATAATGATATTGATTTGACCAGCGATTTATGTAAGAATTTGTGTATACGTGTTGGATGTAATTCGGCAACATATATTTCATTGCCATCCACGGTGACGGCGACATCATGTGGATTGGAAAATTCCAAGTTATTAGGTCCAAATTTTCCCAGAACTTTTGTTGTCTTGAAATCCATAATATAGCCACGTACTTCATTGTATTGTTCTGTTTTAACGCCAAATTCAGCGGTGGGACCATTTACAACAACAAATTGTCCTCCTAGAGAGATAAATGAAAAATGTGTATTAAAATATTTATTATTATTTATTTTTATTCTACAAAAATCCACGCTTATGCCTAGGAAGTTTCTTTAAAAAATACTCTCTAAAAATCCACGCTTATATCAGGGAAGTTTCCTTCAAAAATATTCTTTAAAAATCCTAGGGAGTTTATGCCTAGGGAGTTTCCTAAAAAAAATACTCTTTAAAAATCCACGCTTATATCAGGGAAGTTTCCTTCAAAAATATTCTTTAAAAATCCATGCTTATGCCTAGGAAGTTTGCTTAAAAAATACTCTTTAAAAATCCACGCTTATGCCTAGGAAGTTTCCTTAAAAAATACTCTTTAAAAATCCTTGCTTATGCCAGGATGTTTTCTTCAAAAATATTCTTTAAAAATCCACGCCTATCGCCAGGATGTTTTCTTCAAAAATATTCTTTAAAAATCCACGCCTATCGCCAGGATGTTTGCTTCAAAAATATTCTTTAAAAATCCATGCCTCTCGCCAGGATGTTTACTTCAAAAATATTCTTTAAAAATTCACGCTTATGCCTGGGAAGTTTCCTTAAAAATGCACGCTTATTCCAGGGAACTTTCCTTCAAAAATATACCTTAAAAATCCACGCTTATGCCTGGGAAGTTTTCTTCAAAAATATTCTTTAAATATCCACGCTTATCGCCAGAATGTTTCCTTCAAAAATATTCTTTAAAAATCCACGCTTATCGCCAGGATGTTTTCTTCAAAAATTTCCTTTAGAACTCCACGCTTTTGACTGGGAAGTTTCCTTCAAAAATATCCTTTAAAAATCCACGCTTATGGCTAGGATGTTTCCTTCAAAAATATTCCTTAAAAATTCATGCTTTTTCCTAGGAAGCTACCTTCAAAAATATCCTTTAAAAACACGTTATGGCTAGAGAAGTTTCCTTCAAAAATATTCCTTAAAAATTCAAGCTTTTTCCTGGGAAGCTACCTTCAAAAATATCCTTAAAAATCCACGTTTAGGCCTGGGAAGTTTCGTTCAAAAATATCCTTTAAAAGTCTACGCTGTGTATGTCTGGGAAGTTTCTTTCAAAAATATCCCTTAAAAATCCTCGCTTTTGCCTGGGAAATTTCCTTCAAAAAATATTCCTTAAAAATCTACGCTTATGCCTGGGAAGTTTCCTTTAAAAATATCCCTTAAAAATCCATGCTTATGCCTGAGAAGTTTCCTTTAAAAATCCACGCTTTGGCTATGAAATTCCCTTCAAAATTATTATTTACAATACATCCTTGATCCTCTAATATCACTTTTGAAAATGTATGATTCTTGCTCTTATTCTTCTCTAAATTTATTAAAATATAATTCCTATTATTTAATTTGAAAAAAAATGTAATTTAACTCACCTTGAGCTGGTGTATAATCCATGCTAAACAAACGATCACCAATCAATTGTGAATGATATTGCGAATGGAATGTACCATTGGACCAGAAGAAACATTGAATACGGCCATTTTCACGATCAGCTGTACACACTAGCTCTTGTTCGGGCACCAACGTTAGGGCATGTGGTATGGCAAAGAAATATTGTGGTGCTACATCATATGATTTACCGGAAAATGCATTTTGTCCCCATGACAATATACGTTGGCCATCTTTTGAATATTTTATAATGCGGGCATTACAATAACCATCTGCGACAAAGAAATCACCATTTTCCAAAACGGCCACTGAAGTGGGTTTACAAAAGGTGGTTTTGTTTGATCCCGGAGTAAATGCTTGACCCAATTTCATGAGTGGTTTATCATCCGAGCCACGTGGACCAAATTTAAAGACCTGATGTAAAGCAACATCGGTTACCCAGACATTATCTTCGTGATCGATGGTAAGGCCATGGGGCATGTAGAATCTAAAAAAAAATATGGGAGTTGAATTAAATAATTTCTATTTATTTAAATTTAGATTTACTCACAAATTTTTACCCCATTCATAGGCCAAATTTCCAGTTTCTCTATCCAGTGCCAAGACCGTGCTATCACGTATGGGTCCTTTATTGCGATGGCGAAATACATTGCCATTTGTAAATGTATCTTGATCCCAAACACGATCACACCGATGAAACATTACAACATTACCGGCCTTATCAAAACTTACAGCTGTTACCGAACCCAATTTGACATCCAATTTTGGCCATGATGGTTGATAAACATAGGCTGTTATTGTAAGGGGGAAATAAAAAGATTAGAAAAATATTATAAAAAAAAAACTAATCAGAAACATATGTGACGGAAATCAAGGTGATGCCATTGGTCTCAATATTTTTCTATTAAGGAATATTTATCCCAAATATTTCATTTCTTTTCAATACACAAATTATAGCATCATCTGATTTACCTTCACATACTCGTTTCAAAATTTAATATATAAAAATAATCGGCATCATTTTAATCACATTCTGACATCACAATCAACGTAATACTACAATACGACTTACTTATATTTAATTTATTAATTTCTTGCTGGACATTGATCTTTGGTTTATCCGGCCATAAACTGGTATCGGTTGCGGAAATGCTGGCACTGTTTAGACCCGCTGCATTACTGCCACCACCGCCCTGCATAATTTGTAGAAAACGTTTATCATTGTTTAGTAATTGATCCTCGGCTACTATCGGGTAATAGCGTTGCAGATTTATTTTCTATAAAAAACAAATGATTATCAAATATATACAAACATTTAATATATAAACAAAAATAAAAAAATAAATATATTATTAAGGTATCAAATTTTTATTATTGTAAATTAAATATCATGAAATGCAAATCGACCAATACTTTGGACATTTTCGAATGATTGAGAGTTGTTTGCGGAGCTTCAGTGAACGGAGGGCAAAGGAATATTAGTATCAGATGCGTGAATTTTTAAACGGAATATCAGTCCGAAAGACGTTGATTTTTATTAATATTTTTCAAAGGAACATCAGATCGATATTCGTTGATTTTTGAGAACATTTTTGAAGGGAATATCAGAGCCCTAAGGCGTGGATTTTTAAGAACTTTTTTGAAAGGAATATCAGAAGCCTAAGGCGTGGATTTTTTAAGATTTTTTTTAAAGGAATATCAGTGCCCTAAGGCGTGGATTTTTTTAGAATATTTTTGGAAGGAATATCAGTGCTTTAAGGCGTGAATTTTTTAAGAATATTTTTGGAAGGAATATCAGTGCCCTCAGGCGTGGATTTTTTAAGAATATTTTTGGAAGGAATATCAGTGCTCTAAGGAGTGGATTTTTTAAGAATATTTTTGGAAGGAATATCAATGCCCTAAGGAGTGGCATTTTTAAGAATATTTTTCGAAGGAATATCAATGCCTGAAGGAGTGGCATTTTGAAGAATATTTTTGGAAGGAATATCAGTGCCCTCAGGCGTGGATTTTTTAAGAATATTTTTGGAAGAAATATCAGTGCTCTAAGGAGTGGATTTATTAAGAATATTTTTGGAAGGAATATCAATGCCCTAAGGAGTGGAATTTTTAAGAATATTTTTGGAAGGAATATCAATGCCCTAAGTCGTAGCTTTAAAAAAATCAATGGTGTGTCAGAGCCCTAGGCATGTATATTTTCCATAGTATTTTTTGTAAAAGGAACATCCGAACCAAGGCATGGCTTTTTATGAAATGTTTTTAAAGGGTTATTAGACCGAACGGCATAGATTTTTTAAGAAAAATTTTCTTAGGGACATCAGACGGAAAGGCGTAAATTTTTTATATTTTTCAAAGGAACTTCAAGCCGATCACCGATACCGATATTTTGTGATTTAAATCCTCTTCAAATATATAAATCGTACGGTTGTCAAAGACATAGGACAACCAGTTTGGTATGTGAATATGCAAAATTTTATGAAATAGTTATGGTCCGAACTGGTAATTTGGATACTGGTAATTTGCATATTTCAATCCTAAAGTATTTACTCGTCTTCTGATAGATTATCTTCTGACTATTTTGAGAATAGCACCAGATTCTTTAATAAAAGTGTTTCTGATCCTTTATAAAAATACATTCCAGCCTTTTCTGAGTTGATACCTTGATCAAAAACACAAATACTTTGTGGTCATCTATGATAGACCTTCTTGATTTCTATTAGGTTGTCCCATAAGTTTCTTTCGCGCCACGCTATGAATGAATCTGACTGACTATGCTTATATAAACATGCATGCTTATCTCTTAGCCCTTTATGGCATCGGCTTCAGTCGTCCCAGAGCTCTTTTAAAGTACGTTTTTTTGGTGACAAAGCCTCTTTTAAAATTGTTTCTGCTCCGTTCAATATGGCATTTACGGTATGTTATGCTTCATTGCTTTAAAAAAGGCAATAGTGCGAAGAACACTGCAGACGAGATTTGCACCGTTTACAGGAGTGGTACTACGACGGTTAGGACCGTCCGCAATTTGTTTAAAAAATTTAGAGCCGTCAATTTTGATTTGCAAAAGGAAGACCACAGCTGTCGCCCAATAACGACCGATGCGGATCTTATCAAGACTGTGCTCGCTGAAAATCCGCGAGATAGTGGATTACACTAACTTTCCTAAGACAACGGCACATAGGCATTTCATCAAGATGGGATATGAAATCGATATGAAAAGGGAAGAAACTTATGGGACAACCTAATATAAGAAGCCACATTAGAAGAGTTATCTGAAAAGTCTTGTGAATAATATCCAATAATTATAAAAATTTCCACAAAAATTCTCAAACCCACCTCGTTCCAAATTTGCTATAGGAACATTTCATATGATATACAATATCTGAGAGATAACAAAAAAAGTACGAAAAAACACGGCCATAATAAATGACGTTACAGAAGAGGGCATAAACAAAAGATAAACAAATCGTAAACGAAGACGGACAACAAAAATAAATAAATAAAAACCAAAGTGATGTATGTTTTTGTTTATATGTATACAACACTACACTACAGGCGACTGAAACCACCTCGCTGAGATGTGGATGTAAAACAGCTTGCAAACATATGTTAGCAAGGCATACGACAGGGAAATGCAAAATTGATCATGGCTTCGTATAACTTCAAAATTAATTCATTAATCCATTTTATCCAAACGAACCTCCCAAAAAAAACCTTATTAATGACTGGCTCCACCACAACTCCCAAACTCTCTTGCACGCACACACTCTGTTTATATACATAAAAAAACATATGTACGCACGTAACGTACATACACACAAACAAACATACAAAACATAAGTTGGTTGTTGTCCGTTTGACTTACCTCATCTGTTGCTCTGGTTGTTGGCACAATTGTCGTCAGGGTAAAGAGCAGCAACAACGTTTGGGCCAAATATAGTACTGCTGGTGCTCCATATAATGACCGTGATGATGACGACGATGGAGTTAAGCTTAACAACATTTTTATTTTTCTGTATGTCCCCGCTGAGCGCTACGTATGTGGTTTTGCGCTGTGCCTGTGTGTGTTTTCCTTTCTTTATTAATTTTTTTAATTCTTTTAGATGTGGCTGTTTTTTATTGTTGCTGCTGCTTTGAATATTCTTTTGTTTGGAAACTATTGTTTGTGTGTGGAATATTTCGAAGGGAATGTTGTATTTCTTTTTGTTGAATATTCAATATTCGCTAATGCCACTAATGCAATAACATTTATTGTTTTCTATTTTATTTTTATTAAACACTATTATTTTAATTCTTTTATATGAACTTATTTACTATACACTCTCTTTTTGCTACACATCGTCTAATTTGTTTCGGAGAATTTGCTAAAATTAAAATTCAGCAGCATTATCCCCTCCTTGAATTTACTTACTGAAGAAAAATTGAAAAACGTTCCACCTGCTAACGAATGGAAGGAGAGAACAAAATGGTCGATAAAAATGAACTCAAAGTGGTATAAACGAAAGTTTACGAATGAGGTGAGATGGAGACAAAGTGGGGTTTTACACTGTTGGTCATGGACATTGATCATGAGAGTTTATTCTCTCTCTCATTGGTAAATTTGAAATAGAGTAATCAGTAAATTATATGACTTTTATGTGGTGCTTACTTGTCGATATATGGGACTGTGAAGTTCAGAAAATGTATATGCTCATTTATGGACCGGTAAAGGTAAAATTGTTATGGCTAATGCAAAGCCAATAGCCTAAAAAATAGCAACCGGTCGTTTCGTCTTTGAATACTAGCCAAACCCAAAGGAAGTTGTTCGTGGAAGAAGCTGATCGAAAAGAGGAAAATTATCGAACGGCTAAATTCTGAGTGGTACACAATTGGTCCGTTCAGCGTGACCGTTGTGCCACTAAAGTATCAATTTTGATACTTTTTTCGGCCTTGACACTCTTGTGCCACGTTTTTATTTTGATACCAGCCACTTTTTTTAAAATTTGGGCAACTTCTTCCTATATTTTGCCACTTTGTATTAAAATGCTGGTACACGAAGATATTTATTAAGGAAATATTCAAGTGGACCGTTTTTCAATTGGTGTTATTGAAATTGTTTATTAGAATTTTTACATCTTGTGGTACAGGGAATTGTTATTGCGCATGTGATGACATGCGGAAAGTATTTTTGTAACCCAAATGAAGGTAACATTAATTATCCGAATAGGATGCAATTTAGTAAGTTTCATTTGTTTAGCCTATCCAAATTGTTGAGGATCGGTTAACATATAGGTATAGCTCCCGTATAAAATTCCACTTTTTCCCAATTGATGCGACATTTTTCATTGGGTATCGAATAGAGTCTACAATGACTTTTCATGGGAAACAGGCTTGGGATGAGAATAATGTGAATTTTGTTAAAATCGTCTCAAATATTGAAATATTTGAACAGAAGACTTAGCTTTTGTCCGATTTTAAAATTTGTAAGTACCGTCCATATATAATTTTATCAGATTCCATGTTAAACGGCATTTACATTAGAACTTTTAGGATTTATTTGACATATATGCAAAGGAATTGACAATTAAAACCCACTGGGTTAACGAAATCCGGTTAAATGTAAACGTACTATTAATATGTAACAAAATAGTGTGCCACTTTTCGTGCCACATTTTCAAAAGATTTGTGCCACTTTTTTCAAAAATTATACTTTTCGAAAAATGTCAGCGGTTACGCTGGGTCTCTTCCAGTACTTTTTAGTAGTAAAGCTAGTAAAAGGGAAACATTTCAAAATCGCTCTCAGAGTACAAACTTATTTGAAAAGTTCGGGAACGCAAATCTGTTAAATATGCCAAAATTAGAGGACAATACTTCAAAATCAGCATAACAGCCAATCAGAAGTAGGCATTCCTGCTTATCATTTTTATTGGGTCAAATTTCCCGAGTAAAACATTTATAAAGAGAACGCCATTTTGTTTGTGTTCTCTTAAATTTGATTCAATGTTTTACCAGTTTTGTGGGTTCAGGAACGTTTTTCGAGTAAAAAGTTGCAAAACTGGTAAAATTAGTAGATTTTTTTTGTTCTGGAACGGAACTGGTTTGTTTGCCTGAAAATTTCGGGGAAATTCGAAAAATAAACTTAAGACGATCAATTATTGTGCCTTATAACAATACAAGTTTTTTACCGACCGACCAAAAGTGGAAATGATAGGAAATCTCCCGAAGAGCTTGGTCTAGGCACCGTATGATTTATTTCCCCACATCAACAAAAAAATACATTGCCAATGATTTTCGTAACCATAAGATGCTATATTCAATAAGAATTTCTCCAGGTATTCTATGAGAAGTCTTTTTTGTCTGCTATAAGAGAACCTTTTGGTTTGCTATGACTAGACCTCCTTCCCTTCTATTGGGAATAGTTTCTTATATAACGACTATAAAAGAGACCTTCTATAAGAAGACCGGTTATTCATGAGAAGTACCAGATGCTTATTCCATAATTACGAGGAAGGTATTCCCTTAATAATAAAAATATCTGCCACGCCCACAAGACCATAAACTTTTTTCTGGAATTTTGCACAACTAAATTGTAAAGTGGCTGCCTTATGTCCTTGATAGCCTCACTAAATCAAAAGATCTCTATGATCAAGTGTGATCAAGTGTTACTTAGCTGGCTTATGACAGAACGGTTCCATAAGCCGAGCTTGAAAAATATATCATAATTTCATCAATAATATGGTCTTGTACGCATCTCATCCAATTTGAAAGACCATTTTCCGAGATGTCTTCTACTTGATCTTTCCATCGGTTTCGTGTCCTTCCCCTTCTGCGTGAACCATCACTTGGCTCGCTTCATATGCCTTTTGAGCTGGGGCATCATCAGACGTAGTCGCTGCAGCTTGATCCGTCTTACTATATCGATGTCCAAAAATAGATGGTATATCTCATGGTTCATTCGAAGACCATATTCACCATCGACGCAGATCGGCCCATAGATCTTTCGGAGAATTTCACTCTCATACACTCCAAGAGCTGCCTCATCTGCTTGCGTAAGCACCCATGCTTCAGATCCGCATAACAGCACGGGTAGTATCAGCGTCCTGTAGAGTTTCAGTTTGGTCTGGCGGGAGGTGGCCTTGCTTTTGAGTTGTTTGCTCAGACCATAGTAGCACCGGTTGGCCATCACTATCCTTCTATGAATTTCAAAACTGATGTCATTCGTTTTATTTATGGCGGTACCAAGGTATATAAAATCTTTGTCTACCTCGAAGCTGTAGTTCTAAAGTTCCACAGTTGGTCCGAGTCTACTGGACGTCTTGCGCGTTGATACCATCAGCAGGTTTTCTCCACATTGGCAGACCCACATTGGCAGACTCCTTCTCAATTAGTTCATAGGTGGCTGTTACCGCTCGCAATGTTCGACCCATTATGTCGATGTCGTCGGCGTAGGCAATTTCTGTTCATTGTATCTCGTATGATCTTTATCATCAGGATGTTAAACAGGTCACACGACAAACTGTGATCTTGTCTGAATCCTCGTTCAGTATTGAAGGGCTCCGAGAGGTCCTTTCTTACTCGAGTTGCTGACGAGGAAGAGAGAGTTTAGGATTTTCTTGAATACCTTGGGCTACAGCATAAATTTATCAGATGTAATTCAGTAATAGAATGGGGATTTTATTCTTCACATTACTAATTTGTTCCAATAGCTCGAATTTTTATACCAATTTCTGGCTTCAATATTTCGTTTAAAAAAATACCATGGGCCAACGGCAAAGACTTTTTGAAACAAATTTCTTTCCAATATATTCCATTTCTATTTTTTTAAAAAAAATTCAATTTAAAAGTAAGGCCTTGCTTCAATATCCCAATCCAAAATACTCTTTAAAAATCCACGCTTAAGGTTTTAATATTTTCTTAAAAAATATATATATATTTTTTTTAAATCCACTCCTATAGCTTCCATATTTCTTTTTTAAAAATTCACTCCTATAACTTCAATATTTCTTTGGAATATGTTTTTAAAAAATCCACGCCTATGGTTCTAATACTTCTTTGGAAAATATTCTTAAAAAGTCCATGCCTATGGTTCCTATATTTCTTTCAATAATGATTACAAGATTCACGATTTCGTGGCCATTATTTCTTACAAAAATATCCATACAAATCACACGCCTATGGATCACTTATTACTTTCAAAAATGTTCCCATAAAATCCACGTCTATTTGCCCAATAATTATTACAAACCTATTTTTAAAAAGTCCACTCCTATATTTCTAATATATCTTTCAATTTTTTTAATCTACGCCTTCATTTCATCACTCTGCTAGACATTACTGCAGTTTTTGTCTGTGTAAACAATATATAATTGAAATATGTCATGCGTGAAAAGTCATGCCATACCAATTTATACAACTCTGAACTATAAACAATAATCAGCTGTTTACGGATTAAACGTTCAACGTTGGAGCAATTGTAGACTGCGGGAATAGTTAATGGGTATATTTATCATAATTTCATCAATAATATGGACCAAACGGGCGAACAATTGCATCCCAATTGGCGGGCCTTAGCTACACTTCATATTCCGTTGAAAAGATTCATCAAAGAAGGAACCCAGCAGACGCAACAAGGTACCCATACTACGGCCAGTGAAAAATATGAAATTCAAGGAGTTGATGGAAAGGAAATTAAGGAATTCTATGAGGAACTGGTTAGCAAAGAAACCAAAGAGAAGAAGGAAGAAGTTCACAATGAAAACAAATCAAAGAAACTTGAAAGGAAATCATCCAAACCTTTGATGAAACGAACACCCTTTGAGGTGGGGAAATATCAGCGCTATGCCATGTCAAATAATGTGGAAGAGTTACAAAAGCTGGACTATAGAGATCAAAATGTAAATGTTTGTGATGGCTATGGCTGGACAGCCTTAATGATGGCTGCTTGTGAGGGCCATGAGGAAGCTGTACGATTTTTACTGCAATTGGGAGTTGATAAAAATATAAAAGACAAATCCGGTAAAACAGCCATGGATTTAGCCAAAAGGAAAGGCCATATTCATATACAACAATTACTAGAAACCCCTTTGGAAGAGAACTCTTCAAGTAGTGACGATGATGCAATGGAAACCATTGAACCTTTCTATTGTGAAATATGTAAAAGAACCTTCTCGGAGACAACAAGACGTGAACATGAAACCTCAACAATTCATCAATTTAATGCCCAAACACCGGCCAGTAGTAATAAATTACAAAAATTCAATATACCACCACGCAACAAAGGCCTCCAGTTGATGGTCAAGCAGGGTTGGGATAAAGAAAGTGGTTTAGGGCCCTCGCAAACGGGGCGTTTATATCCCGTTAAAACGGTGATACGTAAACAGCGTAGTGGTCTGGGCACGGAACAGGAACCAGCCAAAGTTAGTCATTTCCAGGCATTCGATAGGGCGGCTATAAAACGTCACAATTCCGATTATTATAAAAAGAAACCACGAAATCGTAATGATATACGAAGGGAAAAGGTGCGCGAATGGAAACGTGATAGACGTTTGCGGAATGAACTGAATTAGGTGCCAAAAAGGGGATGCCATTGTTGGCCCTAATCATATCAAATAACGACAATATCTCATATGCATATAAATATTACAATTTTTAGGATTTAAAATAACTTACAATCATGTCCAAAACAAATGAGCAAAAATGCATGGAAATTTTGAAAACGACGGAGGAGGTATGTTCGAATTTCAAATATGAAATATTTAAATGTTTAATGTTGTTTTTCAATTCCCCTAGGTGGCCGATAAAGTCCTGGTCAACAAACAGGAGCTGGTCGCCCTCGACAAACGCCGCCAACAAAACCGTGAAGCCATACGTGAATTAGAGAAATCTACTGATAAATCCGAAAAGAAAGTATGGACTACAATTGGCAGTATGTTGGTGAAAATGGATAAAGCCAAGGCATTGGAATTATTAAAAAAAGGTTATCATCAATTGAAAGTATGAGACAAACTTTAAATTATATTATATATTGTTTCTTTTTTGTAGACCAACAACAAATTGAACGTGAAATACAAATTTTACAATCCGATCAAAAGATTTTGGTTAACAAACATCGTGACTTGGAACATTTTAATCCGTATACTGGTACACATTTGAAACCGTTGGATCCCAAAGAGTTCAATGCTCTTAAAGCTAATTTACCAATGTTGTAAATATATGAAAATAGAAATAATTAAGAGCTATATTTAATAATTTTTAAAAAATGTAATTGAAAAATTAAAAAAAAAAAATTAAATTTGTAAGAATATAAAAAATACCTATTTTTAAAAGCATGTAATTTAAAAAAATCGACAAATCTTGCTTTTGGTCTTCTATGAGAAAAAACTTTGGTCTTCTATAAGAAGACCTTTTGGTCTTCTATAAGATCTTTTGGTCTTCTATAAGAAGACATTTCGGAAATTTTTATTGTCCTATAAACACTTTCCAACCGAAGTGTCCATGAAATACCAACATTTTAGAGGATGACAAAAGTTTTTAAACTTTCCGAAGGTTAAACAGGCCGGCCAAACCTTTTGTACCCTCCACCATGATGATGACTATCAAAATATCTCAAAATATGGGGCCCGCGTAACATTTTTTGAGCTACGTAATGAGGACCCAAAATACCAAATTACAGCCAATTCGATAGGAAAACGTGACCAAAATCTCCAAAAACCGCATATTGGGTGTACCGTTGTATGGGGGCTATCCTGAAACTTGTGTCAATATCAAATTACAGCCAATTCGGTGGAAAAAATGCTACACCAATGTACCAGCAATGTCTGTGCAAAATTTAGATCCCTATCCTAAATATTGCGATCTTTATCGTGATTTCAACAGACGGACATGCATAAATCGACATAGAAATTTTTTCCGATCAAGAATATTTATATATCTGTGGTGTTTCCGGTTTGATATATTTAATATACACTCCATTTAATATGCAATCCTCCTGAAAGACAATGTACAATATATATCGGATGTTTTGACCCGATATAGAGGTCCGGTTCTTTCTTACGTATCTTGATGGTCGATTATACATTCCTGGGACTTTAGCATTCCTGATTATTGGTGAGTCGAAAAATTCCTCTCAGAATTTTCAATATAGGTCTATGGCCAATAGCCCACTTTAAACGTCCAAATCTAAAATCAATTGACCCTCATATAAAAATAGGGTCTGGTCTGCAATAAAATAACTTTTTTTTTGCTTCACATTTTGAAAGTCTCCACTACAATGTATAGATATTTATCTCTCCAAAAACCGTTATAAACATGATGGAGGGTAGTGATACCTTTTTAGAAGACCTTCGGATTTGTGATACTCTTTGAAAAATGGATCTCCAAGTCTTCACTGAAAATAAGACTAGGAGGTCTTCTATAAAACCACAAAATATCCTCGTATGAAAATACCTTCTGTTTCGGTTTTTCTATAAGCAAATTTCTACTTCAACTTTCTTACATTTTGAAAATCTTGTCAAATTCTCGCCAAACAAACGGTTGCAAAAATATTCACGCGCCAACACATCCGTCTGCATGCTCACACATATCTCTCTCTTTGCATAAACGTCACTTGACCAGTGTGGTGTATAACATTGGCAAAGAAGGCATCCAAACAAAACCTGCCTACGAGATGATGAGAATTCTGGTTGGATTGACTTTTGTTGGGGGATGGATGGGGGAGAACACAAATTTTAACTACTTTACCTCTCTATGTTTTCACCACAAGCACATGTGTGAATATGTGTGTGCATGAATTGCTCAGCATGTATGTACGTATGTGTTCGTTTTTGATGGAGTATGGTGTATTTCTCTGTCATTCATTCTCATTCTTGTTTTTAGTTGTTGTTGTTGATGGGAGCTATAGAGTGGGGGGTTTATCTGGCATTGTTGTTGTTGCCTTTGTGTGTGTGAGTGTGCTTGACTGTTGGCGTAAATTAAGAAAACATTTTTACGGATTTCAGTCGTTTGTCAAACTTTGCAAAAGACAAGTGCCCGCCGTCGTTGTGTCACTGTCGCCGTGTCGCGTAAATTATTTGAGAGAGATAAAAAGAAAATAAAGAAAAAAAAAACAAAAACAAATCCGAAAAAATACTTGCCCCTACTTCCCCCGCGCTCTCAAACCAAGTAAGCATTGTGACAAACGTTTTTTAAGCTACGTTTCGTTTCATATATCGGTTTGTTGTTAATATTTTGATGTCGCGCTCGTTCGTCCGCTGTTAATGAAACACGTTTTCGAAAGAAATCAAATGAAATAAACGTAGATTAAATAAAAAAAACAACAACAAAGTGCGTGGTTGAAATCTGAAATACGAAAAAATACAACAATAACAATGTAATGTAAATCTACAAGATATGTTTACCTGGAAAAAGAGATAACTGCTTCTAGAAGGATTACTAATCGAGAATTTTTGAAATTTCTTATTGTTTTGAAATTTTGAAGTGCCATAGTTCGTCTTGTGTTTTGGAAAATTCCATCAGGAAATATTTCAAATACCATTGGAGAAGTTAGTTTGGAGAAAAGCCTTTTGATTAGAAGTAAGGGGAGCAGCAACAACAAAGTTTACACCACTCCTCAAGGTGGCGGGGGCTATGTAATGTGTTACTGTATTTTGTTTGAGTGCAAAATTGAGTAAAGAATAATAATAAAAAGAAGAAATAAACGTAAAATAAAACAACAAGGAAAAACGTGCGCTTACGTCGTTTATTAAAAAAGAATAAAAAAATAAAGAAAGAATACAACAAAAACCAAGTGAAAAACTTGCCAGCCAGCCAACCAACCAGCCATTCAATTATTACACCACTGTGGCAATGAATTCACCACTAAGAGCACATCTATCTCAATAAGAATTGACAGTTGGAAATAACAACAAACAGCAACAGTAGTAAAGCAAACATGAATTACTTTTGCTGTTAACAAATAAAAACAAAATTCTAGTCTACAACAACAACAATTACAAAATAATTAAAAAAAAAACAGAAATAAAAAATTAAATACCAAAAGAATTATCCCTTTATTTAAAAGTGAAATTAAATTTAATCATAAAAAAGGTTTAATTCCCGCTCTTTTTATTTTCTTTTATTCGCTGGTCTGGTGTGTGTGCTTGTGCGTGCCTGCATTTAACGTCGACAACAAATTTGCATTTCCTCTCTAGCTCTCTCGTCAATCAAAATAATAATAAAGAGGAAATTAAAAGTCATGACTGGCATTGCATTGTGAATGTACCAAAAAGAGAGAGCGGCCAGATTGTTTTGTTTTTGTTTTGGAGAGAAAGAGTGTTGTAGTGTTGATTATAAGCTGGCTTATCACAACACAACACAAGGCAAAACACCTTACCTCCCACCAATTGTCTCTCTCTCACACACACCCAACGGTAACACTCTCCTATGCAAACAACCCACTGGTGGGAGCCCAACCAATAAGTGAGTGAGTGTAACAAATACAAGAGTAAAGTCAACCATTTATTGTGTGAATTAAAAAAAATAACAGCTGAAATAAATAAATAAAACAGAAGAAAATAAATAAAAAAGAAGCAAAAAGAAAATAAGAAGAAAAAATCTTTCAAAATAAATTGAAAACAAGTTTTATGCATAATTAATATAACTTCAAAACAAAAAAATATTTTATTTTTAAAAAAAAAAAAAAAAAAAAATCTACCACAAAAACAACGCTAAAGAAATTAAAAGTTCCCCCCGTCTCCAACATTACAAAGGTAAGTGTTACTAAACATCCAAGGGCCTTATTAATGATTTTTAATGGATTGTCCTACCTCACCCCTTTCCCGCACTAATTGTAAACCTTTTCCATCTTCTTTTCTTTTATATTCCTCTTTATGCTATTATTATCATTATATTCTTTTATGTTTTTCTTGTTTTTTTTTCACATTGTGACGTATTTACTGTCCTTGTCTTGTAACCCAAAGTTCTAGTCTTGTTCTTTATTTTTTTTTTTTACAACAAACCTATCTCTCTACCTACATACATACACACGACAAAAAATCTAGCCGTTTTTTGTTCTGTAGGGTTCTTGTACTTGTGTTGTGGTTCTCTATGAACGACCTTGAAATCGAGAAAATTCCTTAAGCTTTTTTTCGTCGTTTTGTTGTTGTTGCATTGTTTGCCGACCGGTCGTTCTTTTTCGTGTGTGTGTGTGCGTGTTTTGTTGTTCGTCATTTGTTTGTTGAAGTGTTGGGTTATGTTGGCTATGGCAGTTACATCAAACATGCACAGACAGAGTTGTATTATTGGTGATGTTGGACCATTTTATATCCTTCGAGGGAATTTTTCACTCAAAAATTACATAAAAATCGACTATCGTTCTTTGGAACAGGAAAAAACGTCCTATGGAAGACCATTTGGTCGTCTTATAGCAGATCAAAAGGTCCTCATATAGAAACCAGAAGGGTTTTTTTATATCAAATTACTTTAGACCAGTATTTCTTATAAAAAACCATTAGCGCTTTTTACTGAATACCAGATGGTCTTCTGTTGACATCAGAAAGTCTTCCGTTAACATCAGAAGGTCATCTTATTTTTATAGAATACCATATGGTCTTCTTGTAGAAGACCAGACGATCTTCCAATAGAAGACCAGCAGGTCTTCGTATTGAAGACCAGTAGGGCTTCTTATAGAAGTCTAGAAGGTCTTCCTGTAGAAGTACAATAGGTTTTCCTATAGACGTCGAGAAGGTCTTCCTTCAATAGGTCTTCTTATAGAAGTCCAGTAATTCATCTAATAGAAGACATGTAGTGCTTCTGATAGAAGACCAATATATTTTCTCATAGAAGACTAGTAGGTCTTAAAGAAGACCAGAATATTTTCTAGAAGGTATTTTATAGAAGACAAATAGTTTGTCTTATAGAAGACCAGAAGATCTTCATGTAAAAGGCCAGGAGGTCGTCGTATATATGCTGGTAGGTCTTCTTATAGAATGCTGGTAGGTCTTTTTAACTGTAGGTGTTCTTATAGATCCATTCATGAAGGACCAGACGACTAGATGATCTTCTTAAAGAAGACTTGAATTTCTTTTCAACCAGTAGGTCTTCTTGTAGAATACCAGTAGGTCTTGTTATAGATTCATTTATAAAAGCCCAGATAACTAGAAGGTCTTCTTAATTAGGATTCGAAGTTCTTCTCAAAAAGGCCAGTAGGTCTTCTTGTAGAAGACCTGAAGGT